TTTTCCTTCCCCCCCAGACATGACTATAAACTATCCCTAGAATGTTTTTCTCCACTTCTGAGACTTTTTGCTACGACTTTCAAAGGCGGCGGGACTGAACTGACGTATTTTCTACAGAACGATAAATTCCTCGCCTCTCAGCTGCCGCATCCGTTCGAGTCGAGAGCCCAGTATGAGCGCTCATTGCGACTCCCCATGGGACCGGAATGGATGACGAAGGAAACCTTCCAGGAGGCGACGAAGCCGAGGGTGTTGTTGAAGCAGGGCATTATTGCCCCCATGTCGCGTCCTTCGCGGTAAAAAGGGAGCGTCTAAGCGAGGCCGTCGGCGACACTAGCCAGGCTACATATGTGTTTTGCCAAGGGCAGATAAGTTGAGTGATGTTGGTCCCTTTGGATGTCCCTCTGGGGCTTAGTTAAAAGGATCACGGAAATGTGTCGTACCATTTCATATATATGCATGACAGGCCACTCGGGCTACGTATGGATTACTCTAGAATAACTGATCAGGAGCAAAAACAATTGCAAAAGCATGTTGTGACGCTTCCCAATACTCTCACAATGGCCAACCACTTCTTTTTCTGCCTAGCCAGACTTGAATCCAGGCGAATGTAAGTGCCCGGGCTTTCCAAACCGTCCGCGCCATCATATGATACACAAGAAGAAGAAAAAAGAGATTCGCTCTCTCACACAAAGAAGAGTTCTACCCGGCGGCGGGGAGAAGTAAAAACGATGGTTTCCAGAGCAATCCCACACCAATCCATACTTGGGGATCGTCGGACATCTACAAAGGATTTGATCAACTCTTGCCGAGGGTCTTATGCACAAAAGTTTTGGAAAAGAAAAGAAACAGAAAAGGAAGTAATTAATGGGAAAGGAAAGAGAAAATGCATTGGTAGTCGGGGTGCGCAATCCTATCGAGAGGAAACGCTTAGAGTCCGACGACTCCCAAAGCCCTGCCCAAGGCATCGCTTGGGGTGACGTAGAAAGCTAGGGCGATGATAAGGTAAAGCCCCAGCAACATGGCGCCCTCCAAGTAGTTCGACCGGCCATCTTGCACGGTGTACGTAACAACCATGACGGAGAAGGCAAAGGCGACTGTTTCGAAGGTCTCGAAGTGGAGGGACATGGGCTGATCGAGGACGGCCCAACCGAGAATGACCAGAAAGGGGGTGACGAGAAGGGCAATCTGGATGCTGGAGCCGATGGCGACGCCCATGGCGAGGTCCATCTTATTCCGAACGGCCACGACGACGGCTGTTACGTGTTCGGCCGCGTTTCCGACAATGGGGATAAGGATCATGCCGATGAAGTTCCTGCTGATATGGGCGCTCTCGACGACGTCGTCGATGCTTCCGACAAGGTAGTCGGCGCAGATGGCAACAAGAACCGTGGTGACGACGAGAACAAGGGCGGCGGGAATCGCACCCATGAGGGGGACTTCTGGCTCATCTTCGGAGAGTTGCTGCTCCGAGTCGAAGAGGTTCTGGTGCGTCCGGAGCTGGAACCAGAGGTACAGGACATAGAGGAGAAGAAGAATGATGGCAGTGCCTCGAGATAAGAGCAGGACAGTCCTCTCCTTGTCTTCGTTGTTCCCATCCAGTACGTTGTAGAGCTAAGTGAGCGGAATAGTCAGTTTTTGTAATTGAGAGAGCTAGCTGTTTTTGGGGGAAGAATTCAAGAGGTGTTTACCGTGGCCGGAATGACAAGCGACGCCGAGGAGAGCGTCATCAAGGAGCAGGTCGTCTGGGCCGTTGCAGAGGCAAAGCCCTGCTCCTGGCCGAGTTGAGTAGACGGGTGACGCATGTTGACAATGCCGCCGAAAAAGAAGCACATGCCCATGACGAGGAGGAGATTGGAGAGGATGGACCCGAGCATCGACGACTGGACAACCTCGATCTGGCCTTCTTTCAGGGCGACAATGCTGACAATCAATTCGACGGCATTACCAAAGGTCGCGTTGAGCAGTCCACCGATGGCGTCTCCCAGCTTCATGGAAATTTGCTCGGTGGCGAAGGACAGGACGGCGGCAAGAGGGATGATGGCAAAGAAGTTGATGGTGAAGACGGCGGTGGGGCTCCATTGTAGCTCGCCGGCGACGATGCCCAAGGGCACCATGATCAGAAGGAAATTGACATAATCTAACAATAGGTTTCAGTAAGGATCGCGATATCCGGAAGGGGTGGGCCAAGACCAGAGAGCCAAGAAGACTGGGGAGCCAGGAAGGGGACCAAGTACTCACTGCTGTATAATGTGAGCTTGGTAACATGCCATGTTTCCGACGGATACCTGATAAGACGATTTGGGTTGTCGCGGCCTGGTGTTCTGTCGTATTTCAGAAGGAAATGCATAGCTGTGGTTCTAGCTCCATCGTGATCGCCATCGCCGTTGGGAAGAGCATCACTGTTGCTGGTGGCTCGACCATTCACCAGCAAGGGGGAATTTTCATCGGGTTCACGAGCAGCAGACATAGTGTCTTCGGAATTCCAAGTGCGTCTCAACTGTTCGCGAAAGCTGGGGTTGGCCGCTATGTTGCAGATAGTGACATATGGTCAGCCAGAAGCACGGGATGAGCCTCGAGTGGTGAGAGTGGTAATAGAAGGTAGAACGAGAGCTTGAGATTTGGCCAAGTCCGTTCTACTCCGCAGTGGGGAAAAAAGGATAAAGGATATAAAGAAGAGAAAATAAAAGCAGTACGAAAACTCGAAGAGGCCCTTCCGAGAAACAAAGCACAACAAAGCCGCCCAAAAAGCTAAGCCTGAAAGGAGATAGGATAGGATTTGTCCTTGTCTGGCGGTCTGGGACTGGGTCCAACTGGTAATTACTCGATGTACTCACTCGATTCTCCACAGAGAACTCAGTATCGAGCTCGGTCTTGGTTCAGGAGAGCCAAGGACCAAGAATAAGAAAACAAATAGACAAAACAATAGTCTCAAAAAATCGACTGTGTGAGAAGCAATTTGCGGGATTGTATGCGCTCAGATGTGGTTCACATTAAGCACGTTTGACATGAGAGGAATTCGGACATGATGAGCTGAGATAGATGGAAAAACGACGAGAGAACCCAGACAAGTACTTACACACCATGGTGTTACTAAATTCTTCTGGCGAAAATAACGCCTTCCTAGAAAAGTAGCTAAAGGATTATTGAGGAATCAGGCGGTGACAGAGAGGCGAAGCTCGTGAATTGATGCCAATGAACAAGCCACGCTGCAGGAATTCAGAGGACAGAGTACGGTAAATCTCTCGCTTCGTTGGCGCAAAAGACGGGCGAAGGGTGAGAGACGGGGATACGAAGTACTGAGTACGCGAGTCGGGAATCCAGCCGGCCGTACGCAAAGATCTTTGTGGGGAAAAAGAAAAAGAAGGACCGAAGGAAGGGGCAGAGCAAGATGGGGTTGCTTTGCGCCGCTCGAGATTGTTGTGTTGTGTGTTGTCGTGTCCAGCAGACGATAACGTAGAACTGGTGAGAGTAACGAAAAAGAAAGAAAAAATAAGAAAGAAAAAATAGGCGAGAGAGAGAGAGAGAGAAGAAGAAGAAGAAAAAGAAGGTCGAGAAAGGAGAGTAGCGGTCACGTTGAGCTGTCGTCGCGCAGACAGCAATGCGTATGTGTGATGGTAGTTTGAGGTTTGAGGTGCAGAGAGAACAAGGGCCGACGCTTCTCTTGGCTGTAGTTTGTTGCTGCGGGTGAAGCTTGTTGAAACCGTGTTTGGTGACGGTGGGTGATAAGCTGAACTGGGAGAGGAGTGGAGGTTGGTTGGGTTGGTTGAGGTCGGTGCATGGGCGGCCTCTTAATTGTCATCCTGCACGGTACTTTTCCAGCTCACTGTGCCGGATGTCGTAAACAAGGTAATTAGCGGGAAAGAGGATAAGGTAAGCAAAGCGCTAACGAAGTACCTACATACCTTATGCACCACCTCGTCAGAGATCCATTATTTCCAACAGAAACAGGAGCGAGATCCATAATCCTGGGCGTGGGGTGGGACACCAAGGTAGGTACGGAGTACAGGTACCTGAGGTCATGAGTTGGCCCAAATCTCTCCTTGTCATTGGTCACTTCGGCCTTGGTCCCCGAAACAGCGCGCTAGTTTCGTCACTGTTCGTCCGGACAACCGGGCTTGTCAATGCCCAAAGTATTCGCAAGTAGTTTGTACTCAATAGTCCATAGGCATGTACGGAGGAGTACCTATGGCGTGGCAAGACAATCCTAGGTACCTTAGGTACCTAAGGTACCTTAGTGGATCGTTACGTGACTCGCTCCGGATTCAATGTTCCGAAGTACTTCGTACCTTACCTTACGGATACTCTTTGTTCGTGAACATGAGGTGAACATCAATTGCTACACCTTCGTAACTTGGAAGTCAACTCAGAAATACCATGAGAGCGAATGTCACGACCACTAACTTTTGCCAATATGATCTGCTACACTATGAGGTCTTCTGAAGTGTCCCTTCGTGGTTATTAACCAATACTCGCCTCTTCCTCGGACGGAACAGTTGCTATGCGCTAGTCTGGCGCCGTCAGGACTCCAGCATTGTGCTGCCTAATTATTCGTTCTCGTGTGCCCCCAGGGGCGCCGTAAACCCTACGATACACACGCTTCTGAGAAACTAGGAGAAAATTGTGTAGCTCGGACTTCATGACACCGACATGCCCAGAAATGCTGAGCTGGCGTTCGGTGCGACGGGCCCTTTTTCCTCTTCAGACCAAAGTCACAAAAATGGAGAGCGATCCAAGTAGTGAATGCGACCTCGAGACGGAAAAAAAGAAAAAAAGAAGAAGAAGAAGAAGAAAAGGTAAAAAGGCCCCGAAGAAGAATGGAAAAAATAAAGGATGAAGTCGAACCAAGCAATAAAGCCAAGAAACCGAAAAAGAACGGATAAGGTCATGTTGGGATGGTGTGAAAGAGTGGGCTGTGATGCGTCACCTCTTCGATATCCGTACAACGTACTGCCCTGCCTTATTCCGATTCGACTTGGAGGAAGCAATGCTATCTAAGGTATCTATTCGGTAGCTCTAGTTTCTCGGTACACATCGTTTGCAGAGCCAGGTCTAGCACAGATACAGGTTGATATCCTCCAGGTATGATAATCATCTATCCCCGCTCTCGTCTACCCGACGCCTCTTTGGGGCCTTCCATTGCGGTTGCTCTCGGGGAAGGCAGGCATGGCACCTAACAACCGAGTAACAGATAGGCCTCGTAGGTAACCATGGCACGCGCACTGCATATAGTGGTGAACACTCGTATCTCGCGTCTGACAGACCAGAATGCCGCCCATGTTTCAAAAACGGAGGGAGAAAGAAAAGGAAAGGAAAGAAAATGCTCTCGTCTATGCTATCCTCACCACATTAATGCCCTATCCTCCCCTTCCCTGTCAAATCCCACCCATGACTGTTGATTCCTCCAGTTAGCAATGACTACACTCACGAGGCTTCTTTTTGGACGGGGCCGACTCACTTGCGGCATATGTCAAGTACCATGTCAAACTGGCACCACCGTCTATCCACGCCGGATCAAAGTGAGTCTGGTTAAAGAAATCCCACGCAGCCGTTGGATTGACCGTCGCCAAATTCCCAAACACGATGCCTCTCCAGCCGCCTTCGACGTCGTGCGCTCGGCCTTGGCTGAAATACACGTCCCATTCCTCGTCGACGAACCGTTTCGACCGGATGAAAGGAGACGGAGCCAACAGCGGGATCATGTGGATGCCTTGGATGTATTCGATGTTGGCTCCGAAGTACGTAGTGTGATCGCACTTGTTCTCGAACAAGATACCCGCCACCTTGTTGCCGACGAAGCGCTCTGGCTGGACCTGATTGTCGATGGTGTAAAGATAGTAGTGCCTGAGGGACCGCGCTAGCACGGCCAACTGAAGATTGCCCCTGAGATGGCATATCCACGATCAGTTGCTGTCATGCGAGAAGGTACCAGGAGCAAAGTTAGGGGGGGGAGATACATACCGCATGGCCATATTGGCATCGCCCGTCACTGTACCCCACATCTTAACAGCGTACGCCTGCATCATGTCCTCTGAGCTCGACTCTTGGTCCTAGAGGATAACACAACGTTAGTAAAAAAAATAAAAAAAAATTAAAGAGAGAAAGAAAGAAAGAAAACCACAGCCCCCGGCAGACCACTTTTCCACGCGCTTACCTTTCCATCAAAAGACGGGAAAAGACCGTGGGCCCAGCTGTGCCCGTGATACCAATCGAAAGACCGCCATTGGGGGAAATATCTGTCCTTGGCACTCGGGTTGGCAAAGTCGCGAATGAGCAAGTCGACATATGCCTTGTTCTCGGGGATCCAACTCGGATCCATATGGGCAATGGCCGCAGCCGCGAGGATGTGGTAACCATAATGAAAATGATGGTCGTTGTACATGGTGTTACCAAAATCCACACCAGTGTCTCCTGTGACATACGAGCCCGACGAGACGAGACCGCCCCAGACGCCTGCGATAATATCAGGGCCCGCAAGCTTTGTTATAAGAGGAGGCAAGAATGACACTCACGTTCGTATACCAGAGGGTGCTTCTGTCGATTGGCGGCAAATCGACCGAAAGCGTACTTCAGTCTTGGAAGCGCTTCGTGGGCCAACTGCCTGTCACCGAGCAGATCATTGATGGCAACGAGCAGAATACCGAACTTCGCCAGTGTCTAGCGATTTTTTTTTTGTCTCTTTTAGTTTCCATCATCAAGGTTTCACGGACACGAGAAGAGAATCGGATAGACAAACCTTCCCGCTGAAGTACATTGAATCGAGATCGGACAGCTCCGCCATGTCCTGGGACGCTTCCCGGATTGCGACCCTGCGCACCGCAGCCCTCGCCTGATCGGACATTTTCGTAAGGGTCCCGCGTTCTGGATCCCAGGGCGCAAAGTTCATATCCACCGGCAGCTTGCGCTCTACCATGGTCCATCGGTCCGCCATGACGGCGGTGGCCATACCTTTTGTGGGGGTCTGAAGCTTCATGTCGCAGATAGCCGATCTGGTCTTGTCATCGAAAGAATCGACATGATGAGGCAGAGCATACATGAGGAGTCTGCCTTGGGGGTGACCTTCCTTGGCAAAGTCGAAGGTGTAAGAGCCGATGTTGTGGCTAGCGGTCCCGGTAAGCTCAACGTTGGTGGGGAAAACGCCTGCTGCCTCGTCATAAAGGCCCTCGCCGTTGCCCGGGTCCTTCGCGACTTGAATGATGCCGTAGAAGGGCCGCCGCGCCTCTGCGTATCCGTTGTTGACAACATGCAGATCCAGGGGGTCACCACGAGTCGCATAGGAGTAGACACGCCATGTTCTGCCGTCTTCCAGGTGGAAGTTGAACTTAACAACGCCCGGTTTGGGGTCCCACATCACACGGGTGACGTTGCGGAAGAAGACACCTGTTTGGATGACCGGCGTCGCCCCGGCATACTGGGCAGTGACGAAGGCCATGCCCTGCACAAGCGGAAACGACACAGCCGGACTTGAGTTGCTACGAGGCCGGAGATGAACTCGTGCGGAAAAGGCCGTTATATTGTCGGTCGCCAGCGTCGCCTCGCTACCGAGCTCTTTGGCACTGACAATGATAGACTGGATACCAATGGGGTTGATGAAATACGAAGAGGCACCGGTTGGCTTTGTCGGACCATAAACCCTCTGGTCTGCCTCGATGTGCGAGATGGCCATGCCATGGCTTCCGGCAGGCCCTCTCCCTGCAGCCCAGGCTATGGAGTACGGATTGATGTACGTCGGTGCTGACTGATCTCCGACGAGAAAATTGCCGAAGAACTTATTCGTTTGGATGGGTGGTTGGGATATGACCCCTTTCTTCTCGGCGGGATGGTCATTGCGAACCTCGAACTGAGGTGGGGGTGGCGCTGTGGAGATGGGCTCTGCGAAGATGTCGGACGAAGGCATTTTGAGCTCCTCCGAAGGATATTCAGGAACGGGTAGCACATGCCCCAACGAAGAGGAGTCAACCTGTATGGTTGTCGTTGGAGAAGGGATAGGATCCTCTATGATCGGGCACGAGGTGACTTGGCCTTCGGTTTCGAGCTCGCTGACCACGACACCTGTTGTTTGCGGTGTCTTGTCAGATAAAGTTGCTGGTATCTGGACTATGGCACTGTCCACAGTTCGAGTGGTGACAGGGACAACCTCGTCTGACACGAAGCCTAAGAGGCTTGACACAGGTGAGGCCGTAGGAGAGGTCGAGACAGGAACTGACGTGGTCGAATATACTGTCTCAGTTCGGCAGACCACGGGAAGGTTGTTGTCAAATAAGGAGTCTCCAAGAAGCCGTGGTTGGAGTTCAACTCCCAGGAGAGGCTGAGTATCCGCGCCAGGTCTATGAAGATGCCGATGAGGATGCAGTCGTTCCTGATCACCCTCACAGAGAGCCACCTGGACCATGGTTAGCGTGAGTAACCATAGCCATGAGGCCATGGCGGAAGCCCTGGATACGAATAAAGATGACGAAGGCGACATAGTCTGATGGTATATTCGTCGCTAAGACCTGATCCGTCTATGCTTTGCGAAACATGCGGTTTGAAAAGGGGTCCTGGGACTGGCACATTGCGGATTTGTGATCCGAACAACGAAATCCCCCCGGGGGCGGTTCCCTCGACCCTCAAGTAGAAAATCAAATGCTGGGAGGTTTGAACAACGGGAGGCCACCATCGTGGCCTCTCCCGAACTACGAGTCATGGTAGGAGGGAGCATCATGCAACACTGGACACCCGCAGAGTTACCGGCGCAACGTGGATGTGTGAGGCACGGGCATGTCTCAAAAACACGACAAGGTCTTACCCACGAGGAATGTGAGAGATAATTTCTCGTCCACAAAGGGAAAGACAGGGTCTGATTCTGACGTCCCGAGTGAGACAAGAACAGGCCCAAAGATGAGGGACGATGAATGAGATCGAGGACAGTAGGAGATGAAGGAGATGGTGTTTCGATTTGAAGTGTCTAGTGGGAGGAGAGAGATAAGTTGGTCTTGCACGGAAGTGGTGGCGTTTCCAGTCAGACCTGAGGGTGGTTGTCAGTATAAGAAAGAGGGCTAGACACTGAAAAGGGATGGAGCTGATGTTCACGAAGCCTCCAAACTTCTACTTTCGCGCACAAGTCAGTCATGGAAACTTGTCGTTTCCATCTTGGCGGCATGACCCAGTGTTAGTCGCGTTTCTCCTTCCAAATCCCTCTTGTTGGGTTGGATGCTGACGTACATCCCGTTCCCGTGGGTCCCACTTGGTGTAGGTACTAGTACAACGTAAGGTACCTTAATAAGGTAACCTGGAAGATACCGATACCTTGGTACGGATAATACCTTCATACCTTACCTTAGTACAAGTGCGAAGTACATATGTAATTACCTTGTCGCTCCCCACCAAATACCTTACCCCAAGACGACGGACAGACAGCTCCCCTATCAACACTTTGATGACACAGGTATCAACGGACCAAAACCAGACTCAGGATTTACAGGAGACGCCACTTGGCTCAATCCATTGGGTGGACTTTTTTTTCAAGAGAACTTGAACAGAGAGAGAGCCTAGAACATCTAAAAGGGGAAATGTTCCGTGCATTCAGATTGCCCCATCTTGGCACTGTCCAGACTCACTTCGTTGGAATTCCAGTCTAGCGAATTTGCATTCGTGGCATCGTTTCATGAGGCATTGGCCACGGTGTATAAGGTCCTTCCCGTGATAGGACTACGTGTATATACCACCACAGAGTGTCACGATAACCACATCGCTCAAGTATTCAATGCTTTCAGTCAAGGCAGCGTCAGCGTGTACAACGGTATCATTGTAAGGGTATCTCCCACCTAAGGATTAAAAAGTTGCAGAAACGCCATAACCACCACCCTCGAAGCTAGACCTGACCTCATAGTCCGAGAGCGCTGTACTTTCCCCTCTGAGTCTCCTCCACACCAACTCGTGAACTCCTCTCCCCGGAGCTATCCCGGATCTGTAATTGGTGTTCATGCCGTGCCGGCGCCCGACCATTCTTGGGCCTCTTGGGCCTCGCAAACCCATCCACCTCAATCTCCGCCGCATCAGCAAGTCCGTAACTTCCTTTGTTCACGTAAGGGACTGTAGTAGTCTTGCCCGCTGTCTCAGTCTCGCCTCCACCCCTCCTCTCCGCCCTTTTCTTCTCCCTCTCTTCCCTCTTCCTGTTCCACTCGTCCATACCCTCCGCCTCCCGCCGACAACGCCTCACCTGCTTCTCGGTGAGAACCCACGGCTTGGAGAGCACGTCCCTCCGGAACGCCGCACGCCGCTCCCAGAGCGCCACCTCCTCCTCCGTGGACCGTAGCACCCTGACCTTCTCAATCTTGACCGTCTTCTCGTCTCGGAATAGAGCGACGCTACCCTTAACATCGACCACCGAGCCGACGTCGACGTTCTCGCATCCGGGTTGTTGGTATTCCAGCCGTGGCTCAGACAGAGACGCACGTGCCCGTGCCCGTGCGCTGGCAGCCGCATCAGCGCTTGTTGTACTCTTGTCGTCGACGATTTCGGTTAGGGCGCATCGTTTCACGACCACGTTGCATTCGATGCAAGCGCCGCTGCTGTCGTCGACCGTGTAGACTCGACGCCCGGGGAAATCATCGATGGCAACCACGACGCCGACGATCCGGATCCATTTGATCGGCAAGTTACCGTGGAAGTAGACGTTTTGGCCTGGTGTATGTTCCGGTCAGCGACTGTTTTAGGCGTGCTGAAAAAAAAATTAAAAAAAAAAAAACTCGTCGGACTGTCAACGAAGCCCAGGCTCTCTCCTTTCGTCCATACCTTCAAAGCCCGGGTGGGAGTCGAGGTCATGAATTGATGCCGCATCCAATAGACACCATGTGTTGGATGTAGGGGCGAGGTCGAAGCAGTACTGTGGATATAGGGTCGCCGGTGCACCCGTCATGATACGACGGGCATCTTTGTTCGTATCTTGTTGAGACGGGAAGCTTCAAGGATTTCCGACACTGGAAGTCGTGAAGTGCCTTTTTGGAGGGAGGCGAGCTCCAGGTGTACGAAGTAATTCTTCGTACACGATCAGGGACGCGTCCCGGCCTGTGGCCCGCCTTGGTATTGCCGCCGGTAGTGTCATGTACCACTCTATGGGGAGTACCTTACATCTCTGTTTCACGTTACGTAAAGTAGGTACCTAGGTACAGTGCAGTCGTCCCACCAGGTTGACACCTTACTAAGTACCTTAGTAATTGCCTACCTTAATTACTGCTTGGTACAATGGCCTGACAAAAGTACCGAAGCACCTTGTGTACAGTACTCACAGCCTGAAGCGCTTCGGTTCTTTTGCCCACTCTCTCTACCTATCTTTTAGTGAGAAGGTCGCCCGAATAAACTCGATGAACGCCGTCATAATTAGGTGTTGATGCAGATACGGTGACACGAAGTCCCTACGTCGCGACCTTTAATCAGCTTGATAGGAAATATGGCCACTCACTACGCCGTACACCTCCGGTATGATAGTCGGTGTTTCTAGTAATCGGCGCCGACAGGACGGTATGTATTCGAGGACCTTTGTAGGCGGCTAAGAAACTAATAAGGCAATTGCCGAATAGAAACACCGCCGGAGGGAGGACCAAGGTGATCGGATCGGAGGTGTATTGTCGATATGAACGGCGACTCAACCAAATAATGGAAGAGGGAACACCACCGCAACAGAAGACCATGCTGTCAGACGAGAACTCCTGTACCACGGATATCCAACCCCGTCGCCTCCCCATTCCGCGGCTGTCAACGAAACCCTCCTTAGCATTGTCGCGTTTCCACTGCAGTTCTCTGGATAGAGAAGTCCATCTCCTTGTGTCGTCTGTGGACAGACATTCACGAAACCAAACACGATGTGGTTGAAGCTTTTCTGGAGGTGAGTGAGGGATGACGACTTTCACCCAGGGCTCCGCCCTTTTCCCTACTTTCAGGACCCGTGAGACGCCTCCAGAGCAGGCACCAGGACATCTCTGAGGCCTATATGTATCACCAACACGGTGTGGCATTGAATCCTAGGAACGTCTTGAAGCCGACGTAAGGGATGAAGGAGACCCACGCACCGATAAAAACCATCGCCTATACGCCTCATGCTGGCCGCATCTTTAGGGCTTCCTGCTCGCAGCCAAGTCTAAGTTCCATTTCTTAACTGGTTACTCATATTGGCCACTACCGTCACTACAAACCGATGACGCCAAATGTGGTTCAATATCGGCGCTATGATACAGCAGAAGCTGAACAATCCCCTTACGGCACCGGTTCGATGCCGCTTAAAGTACAGTCCCGTATTTGCCCCTCGAGGAGCGCGCCGCGCCCCCTTTTTTCCTGCGAGCGCCGCGTTGACATCAGCTTCTCGAGTAGGAGCTGAATGATCGTCTCGTGGCCTTGACCAATGCCGTGTGTTATGCCGAACAGCCCTATTACCTGGTACAGAGTAATATCGGCGCCCCTACCGAGTAGAAGTTGAGTAATTGTCTGGTGGCCTCCGACCGCTGCCGCCTGAAGTGCTGTTCCGAAATACCCGCCCTGCGCGTTGATATCGGCGCCGTTGTCGAGTAGAAGTTGAGTAATTGTCTGGTGGCCTCCGGCCGCTGCGGCCTGAAGTGCTGTTCCGAAATACCCAGCCTGCGCGTTAATGTCGGCGCCGTGATCGAGTAGAAGTTGAGTAATTGTATGGTGGCCTTTCCACACTGCCGCCTGAAGTGCTGTTCCATAGCACCCACCCTGCGCATTAATATCGGCGCCGTTATCGAGTAGAAGTTGAGTAACTGTCTGTTGGCCTTGCCAGGCCGCCGCCTGAAGTGCTGTTCCGTAGTAGCCACCCAGTGCGTTCACTATTGCCCGTGTATTATCCGGCGCTTGAGTCCTCTCTCTGCAATCCGCCTGTCCTCCTTCCAACACCTCCTGGGACTGATTGACACCATCTGTCAAGTAAGCAGTGTCTCCACCTTGAAGGAGGTTCACTATAACAGAATCGATACCCAGAAGGGAAGCGTAGTAGAGTGGAGAGGCTATCTCGTCTGTTAGTCGAAAGCGGTCTGCATCCCAGGTCGCTACCCACTTCACAAATAATGAGTGGTGAGTGAACAGTTGCAGGATTTGGGCTTCGAGTCTATCAGCCCGTCCACTTCGGTAATGTTCTGGCCAGTATCGAGCGGCATAGAATTGTAGAGCCAAGGTGGCTGGCTCAAGAGGTACGAGCTCCCTTAGAACAGCGAGACAGATGGAAGCCACGTCTGTATGGGCATCCTGCGGTACCACACGGTAGAAACCGGCGTCGATCCGTTCGGATCCCGGGTCTAGTTCTAAGAATTCACGAATAGAGAAATGTGCGAGTCGCACGGTATCGCCATAGTACCGATCCTTGTCTATCTCGACGAGCCCCGGACATACCCGATGTATCGCCTCAGCGTTCTTGAGTTTGCGCTTTGTATTATACGTCGGTGGATCGTCAAGTTGAACGGCGATTGCGTCAGTAAGCTCGTCGACCTTCAAGGGCCTGCTAGCACAGCAGAGTACTGCCAACATTTGCCGGGCATAAGGCTTCGACGCAAGTGGGATGTTGTCGAGCATTCGTCTGTACGTCTCGTCGAGTGTTGGTGGTAAAGACTCGAGTTGCTTCTCGAGCAGGTCCTCACTCTCCGGACAGTCGGCTAAAATTTTGAATTGACACTCCACCCATCGGAACCTGTCTCGGGTTAGCAGAGAGCCGACAGGGTAGAGTCCGGTCCTGACAGCTAAACTTACACGCCTTTTGCGCCTGTGGTAAGCGCCGTTTCGATTTTGTCATGAAATTCGGCCCATCGTTGAAGTCGCTGCTGAAGATACTGGGAGATGAAAGACGCGATATCGCGGTCGATGAATTCGTTCTTCAACTTGATCGTCTCCTCGGGCAACGCTTTCAGTCCTTCACGAATATCGACCTCGTCTCGACTGGAAACAAGGAGGTGCAAGCCCGGCTCGTCCTTGCGTAGGTCGGCAAGGATATCTAGTAGGGTTCCACGATGCTTTTGCCTTGGGCTTTCGTCCAATGCATCCAAGACAATGTAGACGTCGTTGAAATCCCGAATGACATCATGCAGGCACTCTAGGAGAGCCGACTCCGGCGGTGTTGCGTGACGATAGGCGTCGTACAGCCCCGAGAGATGCGTATGTCCATGGCCGAGTTGGGAGGACAGCTGTAGCACGAGAGCACGTAGCATGGCTGACGCATCCTGCTTGCTTTCGTCGTTGAAAGTAAAGAAGAAGAAGGCCACACCGATGCGCGGGTGCCCCCTGCGGTGTTGGAAGACGGAGTGGATCGTAGTCGAGGCCAGCACCGATTTACCGCATCCCGCAAAGCCCGCCAGCCAAAGGAAGGAGTTGGGTTTTGTGAGCCAGGTGGTAAAGTCGGGGCCTTCGGTGAACCAGGACCCCGTGCCGGGATGCTTCCTCTTGAGAATCTCGTTGAAGTTGATCGAGGCATCCGGGGCCTTGAGCCACGCTCTGATTTCCGAGGAGACCTGGCTCCCCCTGACGAGGTCTAGCAGCGCCCTGTTGTCGTCGATGCTAACCTGGATGTCGGCGATACCACGCTGGATGTTGCCAATGTCGCTCTGCTGCAGCACCTGGACGGCAAAGGACAGGCAGGATATAACATCATCAACATCCTCGTTCAGCCTCTGCAGAGTACGCTCACGGAAGGGGTAGGCGACGCGGCGGCCAGCGGCGAGAAGGCCGGCCATGGTGCCAGGGCGAAATGTTTTGTCGAACTTGTTCAACTCGTCCTTTAGTCCATAGATGGCCGCGGCGCAATCCTCTACGGAGGACCTCACGCTCGAGAGTAGGTCGTCGTCTTCATGTTGGGAGTTGCGTGCGTCGAGCTGGCGACGCAGGTCGTCTAGGAAGTCACGAAGGTGAGCTAGTTTTCTGGTCGTATGGTCGATGGCGGATTGTTGTCCTCGGAAGGCCTCATAGTAGTTTATCAGGCCCTGCGATGCCGTGATGCCGAGGGATACGACACCAACTATGCTTCCGGCGACCGAGAGAGGATCCGACATTTTTACATTTTGGGGAAGAAATGACGAGGGAGCAAGTTTAGGAAGTTAGCCAAGTCGCTGCCTGATCACAGAGTCTGGCGAGGCAGTGCAGCGCAGAGGCACGGCCGACATCGTTCGATTGGCCAGGCGTTTTTGATCCATCACCGGCAACGCAAATCGTCAGCTATTCCCGATCCCTCTCCTCTTAATACTATACCCACGAAGATAGCCTAGACTATGAGTCTTGACGAGGAGGACCATCTTGTATCCACCCCGCCCCGACTGAAGTTCCAATGCAGCAGATGCCGGCTACATCCAATAGCACAACCGCGCCATGATCAAAGAAAGCGATGAATGCTTCCCAGTCTCTGTCTCAATCAATCAAGGCATTTCGAAGGCGCATTGACTAGCCTAAACGGAGTACCCAACACGTTCTCAGCGTGAAAATGTTAGTTGGCTGAAGAGTGGACGACGGAGATTCGACAGCCTCCCAAGATTTAAGCTCCTGGACGCTGTGTGAAGTTGCTACCTGAGTGGGCCCTGGGTGTACTAAGTATCTTACTCGGTAAATTCAGGCACCTTATTACCTTATTAGTGTACTTCGTGCTAAGTACACACCGAACAATTGGTGACATTTGTTATGATAGCGCTATGTTATTAGCGAAGAGGGCCCTATGAGCCTGCAAACGAATAGGCATATTTCAGATTGATTCAGGTCGAAAGCCCGATCTGGCAACATGCCAGCATGTCCACTAAGGCATTGAATCCGCGAACCATATCAGCTGGATGGGCGTCCGAGATGGAGGACGCAGCTCCCTTCAGGGTGTTACTCTACGTGGCGGATAGTTTCGAGAAATGAGAAAGCGGCCACCATGGCAGCGACACACAAATTCATTATCAGCTTAAAAGCGATACCTAAACCAACCGTAACGCCAATGATCCATCCGTTCATAGCTGCAAGAGAACCCCAGACCCAGAGGCCATGCATATAAAATAAAATAAAAAGACCCACGCCATCCGTAAGTAAAATAAAGCGCCGAGGCCATGCAGAATCACTTCCTGGACCTTCTCGCCCCCCTGCCGTTGTTCTCCGCGGAAGTTTTGGGCTTCTTCAACCTCGCAGCCGCAGCCTGGAACGCCTCCTCGGACGGCTCTTCCTCCTCGATAGCCCTCTTGTTTCCCTTTTTCTTCTTCGTCCCGGCGCCGTACTTGGCCGCCAGATTATCGAGAAAGCCCGCCCGACTCTGCTGGTTGCGCAAAATGAGGGCGGCCAGGTCGTCCTCCCCACCACCCTTGCCCTTATTACCCTTCCCCTTGCCCTTCTTCGCCTTCTTATCGCCGAACAGCTCGTCATGCACCCCTAGTTCCTTCGCATACTCTTCTGCCTCGGCCGCCTCGACCCGCGCGGCCTTGGTGCGTGCCTCGCGCTTCTTCTTGCTCTCCTTGGTGTATGCCTTGAAAGCCGGCACGTCCTCCGAGGCGATGGCCGCGTCAATGATGGCGCGGAACCGCTCGTCGTCCTCCAAGACGTTGCTCAGCATGACCGACTCGTAGACCTTGTCCATGTCGCCCTCGTGCTCCTCGTAGGCGATGAGCACGTCGTCCTTCTCCTCGTCCGAGCCCTTGTACTTCTTTGAAAACTCCGCGATGGCGTCGGCCGATATCGCGTCCCGGAACAGGTCCCGGTAGTAGTCGCTCCAGTTGAACCCATCTGCGTCGACGATGGATTCGGAGGTGGAACCGGTCGCGTCGTAGCGCTTGCGCCTAGCCGGGTCGGAGAGGATCGCATAGGCGAAGGCGATGGCTTGGAATTTTTCGTTTGCTTCGGATTTGCGCTCTGGAGGGACCTTGTCTGAAATGGGTTTCCAGTGATATTAGTTCGGTTCCTTTCAATCCCACGATGACCGGCAAGAACGAACCTGGGTGGTTTTTCAAGGCGGCTTTGCGGTAAGCAATCTTGATCTGATCGGCTGTGGCATCTCGGCTAAGGTCGAGCGTCTCGTAAGGATCGATGGTCGGGAGCTCGCCCTCGACCATCTCTTCTGGGGACGGGGATGACATGATCGGTACAGCAGTTATGCCCAGTGGTTTTCAAAGCAGATCAAGGGCCTGGGACCTTGGGACAGATTCTGGCAGAGGCACTTTACGCGTTGCGACGCGACTGGGATGCTCGGTACATACATTGTAGCTTCAACGGATCTTCGCAAATAATGTGGGGTTGTCTGGTCCAATCATCAAGCACCTACGAGTCCAAGCGGCCCCATCCCGTACCTTTGCTGACCACTACCTGGTACCTAGGTACCCTAGGTAAGGTAGGTACCTACCCGGGTTTAGGGGGGTATAGGACAGAGCCCGATAACTGGTCAGTCTGTCAACAGTCTTAGAACATCATGTCGACAGAAATTTCTCTGTCCTGGCTCTGGTCAGAGCAAAAGTCTCTGTCCGAGCTCTGACCTATAAACCCCCCCTCCCGGGTAGGTAGGTATGGTGTATTGCCTCTCCACTGAGGTATGCCAGGTATCTTCAGCGAGGGGTACTTTGGGTGCACGGCTTGGTAGGTCAACAAAGCCGCATAGGTACCCTAGGTAGGTATCCCGTCATTCAATACCTTAGGTAAGGGCCCTGCTTCCTCTCCCCTTTGCGCATTCTAATTATTGTGTACTCCGTACTCTGCTCGAGATATTTACCCGTCTCGTCTCTTACTCGTTCAAAGGCAACCGTGACAGGCATGGCCTCGTCCCCGGACACTGCGCCTCAGATCAGCCCAGGCGATCACAGAGCATACATGCAGTATGCGCTCAGCCTGGCGAAGCAATCACCACCCAAGCCGTCCAACTACAGGGTCGGGGCCATACTGGTGGACCGGTCCACCAACGTGGTCCTGTCAACGGGCTACACGCTGGAGCTCGAAGGCAACACGCACGCGGAGCAATGCTGTTTCGCGAAGCTGGCGGAGCGGCACGGCGTGGCGGAGGAGCAACTGGCCGACGCCATGGCGAACGCCAGCCCCCGCTCCCTCGTGCTGTACACGACCATGGAACCCTGTTCCCAGCGAATGAGCGGCAACCTACCATGCACGCAACGGATCCTCCGCCTGCGGCCTCTCGTGAGCAGCGTGTATGTTGGGGTGAAGGAGCCGGAGAAATTCGTGAGCGAGAACACGGGACGCAAGGCCTTGGGGGACGCCGGGATCGAGTTTGTTCATGTGGAAGGGTTGGAGCGTGAGATATTGGAGGTTGCGACGGCTGGACATGTGAAATAGAGTGACAGTCCGTATCCACACTCCGTGCGTTGGGGAATAGAGAGCATCACCACTCTGGATAGGGCTTTGCAGAGGCTAAGCGAGCGTTTGCTGCTGCTCCCCCTTTGCCATCCCATGATGGGGCCGGAACCGGGGACTGCAAGCAACGCAAGGAGCCAAACAATACAGGTCGATAAGAAGAAACATAAAAGGAAACAAGTTGTCGCAAACACCGGTTTACACGTAGATCCATTCCTGCAAACAGAGTAATATATATGTATGCTGCGATATAGATGTTTGGTTTTGCTTTGTTTGAGGGTATGCTTTTCCCTTATACGCCACGTCCCATGCGTAGCTATTCACTTGCCTTTGGTCACCCGGGATTAAATTTATACATTACCAAGTGGAAATATGATCTCAGCCAGCTGCCCTACAACATATGTACATCGATCCCTGCGGTAAGGCATTCTTGATGTAATTATGCCCAGTTGTAAAAAGTGTCGGTAATTACCTGCCTACCTTAGGTAGGTAGGTAGGTAGGTGTGAAGTACGAAGTACTTCGCAGTCTGGATGATACCGAAAGGACATCGGTACTCCGTACTTTTTTCCATTTCCGGTTGTCTGGAATTCATGAGGGTCGTTTTCATCATCATGCAACCCCCCGGTCGGTTGTGTTCCATCATGTTCTGTTCGTTAGCCATTAAGTACCTTACTCAGTACGACGTACAAAACGTGTGCTTATTGGCGTGATGTATAATTATGTAGCTCCCCGTCTCAGGCAGCCCATCCCTCTTGACTGTGCAACTAAGGTATGAGTACCTATGTCAGATGAACCACCATGTACTTTGTACGTACACCTTACATCAGAGGATTAATCAGAAGCTGGTTGTCATTCCAACTTCCCTTGTCCCCTCCCGTGTCTTGGCCTTTTTTCTGGCTACCTACTGGTATATTAAAAAGACCAAGACATGGAAAAGGCAAAGATTACATATATAAGGTACCTAGGCTATAAGATAAAGGCATGGGAAAGAAAGGAGGGCAAATCATCAACGGCAAAGTTGCAATTGTGGATGGTACCTACAACTACACAATTATTAGGTATCCCTCCCACATGACGCATGGTCAGTCCATGTGGTTTCTCGAGGCTGACCCGATCAAACGGGTGGGAACCCGGCGTTCGTGCGGGTCAACGCCACCGCCCAGCCCAGATCATCCCAGCCTGGTTTGTTTGCTGGCTCGGGTCTTGACAGGGGTCCTTCTCGGAACCCTTGCACACAACGGAGGACCATTTACCGGGATGGATGTCTACTTCGTACGGAGTGCTTTGTGCTGAGTATGCGAAGTAATAATCGTACACGGATACAAGTTGTTGGGACGGAATTTCATGTAGGAGGTCGCCCGGGTCCCTCCCTTCCCATGGTGGTCGTCAGGCTGTCACAGGCTGTCGCGGTTTCGTTTCTCAACCGCTTCTGAGAGAAGTATTAAAGCCCTCATGGTGTCTGTCTTGTAAGAACCTATCTTTGGTCGGTTACGAATGATATATTTTACTCATTCGCACGTTGTACTCCGTACTCTTCAGTCCAGAAACAACATACGTTGTATCACGAACACTACCTACTCCATACGTCTCTCTGACCTCGGGTACCTTCCAGGTTTACTCTACCTACCTACTCTGACACGAGGTACGAATACATACACAGTTCGCACGTACGTTGTAAGGTAATTACTTCATACTAATTCGTTAGTGTCCCGGCCCGGACCTCCCTAGATTATCATAAGGTAAGGTAGCTTTGAGCTCTGAGACCAAACCCACCCGTCATCCACTTCCACTTCCTTTCTCGCATCTTTCATTCCCAAGGGGGCCCCTGCACAAAGACAACGCTCAGTTCAGTTGACAAGGTAAGTATCCATAATAAATACGTTGTACTGATAATGATCCCAGCTCCCCAGCTCCCCACCTCCCCACCTCTTCCTCCTCATACAACGTACACATTCTTTCTCACCGCCAGCCCGACGACTTTTGTCTTTCGTCAACTGGCTACCAGCTACGTACGAGTTTGCTTCCCTCGTTGGTAGCTCATCGAGATTTGCCACTTTTTATTTTTGTTGTTGTTAGTATTATTATTATTATTTCCTCTCTGCCCTACTTCAATTGGGAGGCATACCATCCGAAAAGGTTGGTTGGGCTCCGTTAGCAACCACCACCGTTTCTTTCGACGACCGGCTAGAGCCGGCCAGCAACGCCCTCAACTTTGTTTGGATTTCCATCGCCAAACCTTCCAACACGCTACACTTCTCTTCCATAGCACGACAACTCGCCCTTCGCCAATTGCTCTCTTCGTCTTATAAAGAGCGAGGGAGTGTTGTCCGCTGCCAGCTGTTCCGAAAAATACCTTTAGTCCAACTGTTGACTGCCTGCCCCTGTTTAGCAGCTTTTGCTTAGCAGCTATGAGCGACTTTCAGCAAGTACGTGGCAGAGGTCGTGGTCGCGGTGGTGATGGTGGTGGTGGTCGAGGCAGTGGTCGTGGTGGTGACGGTCGAGGTGGTGGCCGAGGCGGTGGCCGCGGCGAGTTTCGAGGCGATTCTCGGGGCGGTGGAAGAGGCGGAGGTGGCCGCGGTGACTTCCGAGGCGATTTTCGGGGTGGAGGCAGAGGCGGTGGTGGTCGGGGCGACTTCGGGGGTGACTACCGGGGTGGAGGGAGAGGTGGCGGTGGCTTCCGAGGAGGTAGGGGAGGCGGCGGCTTCAGTGGTCCCAGACGGGAGGACGAACCTGAAGTCTTCCGGTACGTGTTCCATCATAACACGAATACTCCCCGGCATTTACATGTCTCCATTTCCATCCCTCTTTCGGCATGCTAACCCACCCGTTAATAGTCAGGAAGGTTTCGGGGCCCCCTCTGTTGATACTGCAATTCAGAAGCTTGAAGACTCGCTGGTCAAGGGCCACCAAGACCAAGGAACCGCCCTGGCCAAGAAGATGGCCAGTCTCAAACTTGCGGGGCCTGGAGGCGATGAAAATATCTTCCCGCTTCGTCCTGGCTTCGGTACCCAGGGCGTCAAGGTCCTCCTGTACGCCAACTACTTCCGTCTCGACGTCAAGCCCGGTGTCCTGTACGTCTACAACCTCGAGGTATACAAGGGCAACATGAGAGCCGAAGCCACGGGTCGCAAGCTGCGCCGCATTATCGAGCATGCGGTCGCCAAGCTGCGCCAGATGGATCCCAGCGCCGTCCTGGCTACCGAGTTCAAGAGCAAGCTCGTCTCCCTGAAGAAACTGCAGCTCCAGGGCGACGTCATTGATGTCGATATCGAGTCCGGCAGCGGCAACAACACCGATAGTTACGTTGTCCGACTCACAGACCCCCTCGAAGCCGACATCGCCGGCGCCCGGAAGTATGTCAACGACATGAACGACCCCACAGACCCTCTCGGCCATAGCTTCCCCAAGTTTGCCATTGCCGTCGACGCCCTCGGCATCATCCTCGGCTACAAAGGTCGCAGCGCCGAAGACGTGGCTACCGTCGGCACCGCGCGTTTCTTTCCCGTCGGCGTCGGCAGCGCCCAGAGCCAACTGGGCGACAGGAACAGGCTCTCCGCCGTCCGCGGCTACTTCCAGAGCGTGCGCCTGGCCACCGGCGGGCTTCTTCTCAACGTCAACGTCACCCATGGCGTCTTCAAAGTGGCCGTCTCTGTAGCCGAACTCCTCCGGTGGTCCGGCTTGGACGTCTTCGGTGGCAAGGGCCAACAGCATCGCGGGATTGAATCGAGGCTCAGGATGGTGAACAAGTTCCTGGCCAAGACCCGCGTTAGGTACGTCTTCAGGGACGCGAATGGCAAAGACATCGAAACCAAAAAGACCATTTGCGGCCTAGCGAACCGTCGCGAGCTCTCCCGAGCGGTGGTCAATGGTGGTGTTGTGCAGATTGACACCTCGTCCGGCTTCGGCGGCCCTAAGGAGGTCAAGGTCCGCTTTGTGCCCTATGAGGGAGAGACGACTGTCCTGGGAGGGAAACCCCCGGGACAGTACACCGTCGCCGAATATTGGAAGTGGAGTAAGTTTTGCTGTCATGCCCGATCATTTTATCATTTTATCCATTACCCCCTGAAGGGTCATCATGTTGCTAACACCAAGCTAGAATATGGGCAAGAACCGGATCCCAGCCTTCCGCTCATCAACCTCGGGACCCCCGACAAGCCCCGATATGTCCCCGCGGAGAAATGCACCATCGCCGCCGGTCAGGCTGTCAGAGCCAAGTTGTCGGGTGATGAGACGACGGCCATGCTACGATTCGCCTGCCGCTCACCGTTCGCCAACGCCCTGTCCATCACGACTACGGCTCGTGACGCACTCGGTCTCGATAACAATCCCGAACTAGATCGTTTCGGCGTCCAGGTCGACAAGAAGCTTCTCATCGTCGACGGCCGCGAGCTGATGTCGCCCCGGATCGGCTACAGAGACCCTAGGGCGGAGCGGGAGAAGGTCGCCAACACCGCCAAGGGAGGGTGGAACATGATTGACGTAAGGGTAGCCAAGGCCGGCACCGTGATCTCCAACTGGGGATGGCTACAGATTTTCGGCAACCGGTCCTACAATGCGGCCGAGGCTGTGGGGAAGTTCGTTGAACAAGTCAACGATAAGATGGGCATCCTCATCGACAAGAAGACCACCGGTCGCGGCATCGAGGTCCACATGTCTCCGCATGACAACTACGAGGCCAAGCTGCGCGACATCTTCAGGTCCCTAGCGCAGAAGGTCCGCCCGGGGACCAAATTCTTCCTCTTGGTGATCCTTCCGGCCCAGGACACGGGTCTTTACAGCGCCGTCAAGACCCTGGGCGACGTTGAATACGGCTTGCACACGGTATGTGCCGTTGAAAAGAACTTCAACAAGGCGAGCCCCATGACTTTTGCCAACATCGCGCTCAAATGGAACCTCAAGAACGGCGGGATCAACCATCGGGTCCAGAATCAGATCCCCATTGTCAGGGATGGAAAGACCATGGTAGTGGGCTACGATGTGACCCATCCCACCAATTTGAGTTTCGCTATCAGGGACAAGGAGAAGGCGGCGGCCAAGAGCAGAGAGGGGCCGCCGGAAGCCGGGCCTGAGAAGGCCGCGGAGGAGAAGGCCGAAGGGGAGGAGGCCAAGGGCGGCAAAGGCAAGGGGAAGGGCAAGGGCAAGGGCAAGGGAAAAGCCCCTGCAAAGCAGCCGGAAGAGAAGTCGGCGCCCCCTCCGGGTTCGGCAATGAAGAGGGAGGACTTGCCGCCCAGTCTGGTGGGCCTGGTAGCCAGCATCGACAAGGACCTCGGCCAATGGCCTGCGGTGGCGTGGGAGCAGCACTCGCTCCAGGAAATGCTCGATCACCACCTGGCGCGTATGTTCGGCTCGCGACTCGACCTCTGGGCCAAGCACAACGCCGGGAAGCTTCCCGAGTACATCGTCATCTACCGCGACGGTGTATCGGAAGGGCAGTTCAGCCAGGTGCTGAACATGGAGCTGCCACACATCCGCCGGGCGTGCCATGAGAAGTACAAAGCCAAGAACTTGAAGCCGCCCAAGCTGTCCATAATCGTGTCGGTGAAGCGGCATCAGACGCGGTTCTACCCGGCCGAGGAGGGCCACACGACGCAGTCCCGCAACATCAAGCACGGCACCGTGGTGGATCGCGGCGTGACGCAGACGCGGTACTGGGACTTCTTCCTCACGGCGCACAATGCCCTCCAGGGGACGGCTCGCCCCGCACACTACACCGTGCTTCTCGACGAGGTCTTCTGCTCCCGTCACGGGACTACCAGCGCGGCGGCTGATGAGCTGGAGAAGTTCACTCATGAACTCTGTTATCTGTTCGGACGGGCCACCAAGGCTGTTAGTATCTGTCCGCCGGCGTACTACGCCGATATTGTGTGCGAGCGTGCACGTGTGCACCGCTCTGAGATGTTCGACGTCTCGGAAACGGCATCTGTTATGACAGGAGGAGGAGCAAGAGGAGGCGCTGCAGACCCTCTGGACCCGCTGAGTGATCCCAAGGCTGTGCACCCGAATCTCAGGGATACCATGTACTACATTTAAGCTGCGGCTATCTGCTTTCTGTCTCTCTTTACTTGATGGTACGGGTCATATCGGACTTTCATGCGATGGATACATGAAATGTCCTTGTTGGATAAGGGATGGACGCCAGCAAAACATCTTGGATGTTAGGTGCGGTGCTCTATTTGAGGTTTGATGACAGAGACAGACTGCATTTAACTCTCTCAGGCAAACTAGCTTCGCATTACCCATGACAAGTAGCATGATGATTCTCTTAGGTCCTGTTATAACGGCCCTCCATACCCTCCCTGATCCTTAATGTTCTGATCTACGTCTCCAACTCTCTTTTTTTTCGCCCCGTAATGCAAAGTCACACTGGACCCAAGATCACCCAAAGAACGAAGAATACACCCTTCTCGTTACTGCGTGTCGTCCGGCGGCATTTCCCAGCCCTTCCTTTTCTTCCCAGCCGTCGTTCTCGGTCCCTTTTCGCCCGAAGTGTCCGTCTGACCTGCACGCACAAAACGCAAAACCCAATCTCTAACCCGCCTAGTCTTCTCAAACTGCGGGTGCGATCCTCGCTCGTCTGGCCTGGCCCTGGCAAAGTCCCTTGCGCAGTAATACCCTTCTTCATCTCCAGGGTCCAGTCTCCGGCGATGAAGCAGATACAGCTTGGTCAACCCCTTCCGCAAGCTCTGGCCGTACACGCGGCCCCTGAACACGTTCAGCGCCACGTTCTGCAGGAGTACGACGTCCTGTGTCCTCAGCTTCGACAGTCCGTCCGCCAGCAGCTCCGGCTCCTGCTTTTCGGCCGTCCTCTGCCTAACCGGAGCGGTGTCCGCACTAGGAGCAGCAGCAGGTAGCCAGAACGTCACGGCGAAGCCCGCGCGAGTTTCGTCACCCAGCAGGACCTCGACGAGGGACATCCGTGTGCCCCAGCGCGTGACGACTGTGCGAGGGGCGGCGATGGAGATGACGCCGGCGATGAGATTGACCGTCACTGTCTGCGGGGCGAGAGATAAGAGGTGTCGTGCGGAAGGGATGTCTTCCAGGTCGCTGAGGTGCGTACTCGCCGATGGGTTGCCTAGGGGTGGACGGGCGGACGAGAGGGAAGATGGATGGTCTTCTCCAATGGAGGAGAAGGACTTGGAGTTTCTAAAAAGTGAAGTTGTCTTCGTCGTATCGTCTAAGGAAGGGGACGCGGGAGGGAGTTGGGAGGAAGCGATGTCCTGGTGGCAAGCAAGGGAATGGTCGTAAAACCGCGAAAGGAGGGTCTGACGCTGTTGTTCTTGCGAGGCTACGCTTCCATCTTGCACTTCTGGGTCATCTCTCGTTGATTCAATGGAGAAAGAGAGGCTGGCGGTGGAGCAAAATTTGACATCGTTCGGAGTGACGAAGAGGTTTGGGAGCGCATGGAGGTGAGAGTGACCGGTTTCGAGATGCGGTCGTTCTAAAGGCAAAGAACGCCATGACACTTTCCTGGTGCTGCTGCAGCTCCTGTAGTTACTGGCATGCGTGCCTTTAACTGGCCCATGGTCATGAGCAAGAGAAGGTATCCCAAGAAAGGTTGAGATGGGAGCCGTGAAGTCTGTCAGAAGGTCGGCTGAAGTCCAGTCTATGGAGTTAGGATCCGGGGCGCCAGCGAACAAAATGATTTTGGGCGACATGCAATAGGCTTAATGATTCCAAGAAAAAAGTATGATTCCCCGAAGTAAAAGGATGATGAATTGCAAAGGGTAAATGCAGCATTTTAAGTCGGGAAGTTGTGCATGTTACCTTGGTGTGTGTTGCTACTTTTCGTCTCTTCACCGAAGGCATCCAAAGTCACTTTAAGATTAGGACGCTAAGGTAAGGTTTGAGTACGGGGTAAGCACTCCATATCTCACGCCGTCGCACCTGTCCCAGTGTTCACCGAGAAGCGTTGCGGAGTCACCGAGATAGGGACAATTCAAGGGGAGGTAAGGAGTAAGTAATTACTAACCGACCTACAAAGTACGCGTATGTACAGATAAGGTAATCAAGGTACTTATAATTACACTGCCGTGAATCGGAGCCGAAAATGAAGCACAGGGATATCTCAATGTAGTTTGACCTCGGCATCCACACAGTTCCCTCTTTGGACCCGCCTTGGACTTAACGAAAACATCATAGCCGAACGCCATCTCAGTGTCGCATAGCAGCAAGCCATGGACTCTTATACTCTGAAACATACGTGGCCGCTTGTGTGCTAATAGAAACGAGCTGGCTCATCTTCAATCTGCTTAGAGATTGGTCATCTACTCTTCTCATGTTGCATTGCTCAATATAGAGTCTCTTCTGCGTCTTCTTCACCATGTCTTCAGTCTTCACCATCAAAGAGCACATCATCGACGCGTCTCATATACGAGAGTTCCCACGCGCCCTAGCGAATTCGCAGGAAGATGTTCTCAAGCTCGCCGTCAAAGAATACATTCCCAAAGACAATCCGAACCCTCAACCCGGCGACGTGACCATCCTGGGAGCCCATGCCAACGGCTTCCCCAAGGAACTCTACGAGGCACTCTGGGAGGATCTCCACGCGCATGCGCGCCGTCATGGCTTCCGCATCCGTTCTATTCTGATCGCCGACGCCGCCTGGCAAGGCTATTCGGGCGTGCTCAACGAAGACAAGCTCGGCAACGACCCAGGCTGGCTGGACCATCCGCGCGACATGCTGCATCTCGTCAACACGCTCCGGCCGCCCCGCCCCCTCGTCGGCATCGGCCATTCCTTCGGCGGCAACGCCGTCGCCAACCTAGCCCTCTCCCACCCGCGGCTCTTCACCGCTGTCGTCCTCCTCGACCCCGTCATTTCCAAGTGGTCCGCCTCCGCCAAGGGTTTCGTCAACGCGTCGCCCGCCGCCAGCTCCGCGCGTCGCCGCGACCTCTGGCCCTCCCGCGAAGCCGCCGCCACCGCCTTCCGACGAAACCCGTTCTATTCCGCCTGGGATCCGCGCGTCCTCGCCTCGTGGGTGGAGCACGGCCTGCGCGAGACCCCGACGCCGAGGTACCCGGGCCAAGCCGACGCCGGCAAGGTCACCCTCACCACGACCAAGGACCAGGAGGTCTTCACCTACTTCCGTCCCAGCTGGAACGCCTATGACGCCGAAGGAAAGAACCTCCTGCGGCCCGAGCTCGTCCCGGACATGGACCCGTCGCTCAACGAGCGTTACTACACGTTCCCCGTGTACCGAGCGGAAGGCGCCAGCACCCTGGCTAGGTTACCGACCCTGCGCGCCCCGGCAATGTACATTTTCGGCGCCGAAAGCGATCTATCGACGCCCGAGCTAAGGGAGGAGAAGATGCGCGCCACGGGGGTTGGCGTGGGAGGGAGCGGCGGCGAGGCGAAGGGCAGGGTCGAGGAAGTGACCCTCGAGGGCAAGGGTCATCTGATCCCCATGGAAGTTCCCAACGTTTGTGCCGAACACTCGGCGAGGTGGATTGCCAAGGAGCTACAGGTGTGGAGGGCAGAGCAGGCCGAGTACGAGGCGTGGGCGAAGCGTAGCCGGGAGGAGAAGACGACGCTCACAGGCGAGTGGCAGAGATACCTGGGGAGGCCAGAGCGGCCGGACAGCAAGAAGGGGAAGGCCAAGATTTGAGGAGCGCTAGAGTACCTTATGACTACGGAAGTGCCAGTATCCATTACATTATCATCGTAGAGTTTCGCCGATGAAATGAGGCGGTCGGTCGGTCACGTCCTTAGTTCGGAAGGTGGCGCCAATTAATATGTTAGATGCCCACAGCCACCTTATCGAGACAAGCTGTATTATATTAGACGCGTGGAGTACCTTATTTCTATATATCTATACTTATTTCCCCTTATTTTTCCTAATACTTAGATATCCCCGTAAAGTACTACGAACTTTATTTAGATAAATATATATATATATTTTTCTGTACTTTATTAATATTCTAATAGTTATAAGCCCGGCGTTTTAGTAAAAAAACTTTATTCCGATTAATCTAATAGCTCTATCAAGGTACAACAAACTATATTATATTAGACGTGTAGAGTACCTTATTCCTATATATCCATACTTATTTCCCCTTATTTTTCCCCTAATAGTTAGATATACCCGTGAAGTACCACGAACTTTACTTAGATAAATATACACACAATTCCGCGTACCTTATTTATGTTCTGATACATTCGGTTATCCTCAGCGTGTCCCTTGTCCCTTTATAATTGGCCAGAGCTAATCGATTTTCGGGGCAATGGATTATGGGTATATCCATAATTTCGCCCCGATTGCCTGATAGTGACCAATCGCGAAACAAGAAAGCTCGCGACAACAACCACACGACCGTCGCGTCGATTCCACCCACTCCCAACTTCCAATTCCAGTGAGCTGTGATTGCGTACGCTCCGTTGTCGCAAGCCTACCGTGCTATATCGCGTTACAACATCGTCGTACCCAATAAACACTTGATTCTGCGGCAACTCATATTTTCTGGTGACTTCTCTCCTCATCAGTCACCATGCCTCCCGGTAGGTCCGCTCGCTCAGCTTCCTTGTCGCACTCTACCTGTCGCATCGCCGTTGCCGCCACATGGCTCTAGCTATCGTTCTACAACTACCTCGGATATATTGGTGCGAAAGTTCGCATTTTTTATTAATTAGGTGGCTAATATTTTCCCATTAGCCCTGAGCGACCAAGAGAAGTCCGATACCGAAGTCGAGCTTGAGGTCCCCCTCCGGAGCAAGCGCTCTACAAGCAAGGGTAAAGACAGCGTCGGTTACTCAACCGATTCAAGCGCTAAGAAGAATGGAGACGTAGATGTGAAGAAGACGCGCGGAAAGAAAGGCAAGGCCAAGGAAGAGGAAGAGGAAGACGAGGAGGTGCAGGAAGAGGGTGAGGACGAGGCTGAGGAAGATGAGTATGTCTCTACCCTTGCCGCACTATTTTTTCCGTATCGAGGGTTCACAGCTGACATTCACTGTTTACAGGTATATCGTCGAGAAGATCATCTTACACTCGGTCGATGTGCAAGTACGTTGGCACGAAAACGCTCTTTGTTCCTTACGACACCAGATCCGGGAACAGTCCGCTGACCCTTCCTCTCTCAACAGGGCAATATTACATTCAAAGTAAAATGGGAAGGCTACGAGGACGAGGCAGACCAGACTTGGGAACCCGAGGAGAACCTATTGTATGTTTACCCAGCTCCTTTTCATCACCGACGCTTGCTTGCCATGCGCCCATGAGGCATTCATGTCGCACGGGTTATCGTCTATGAGATGCTTGGTTTCTCTAACTGGAAGAGCGAAATAGGGATGGCGCGCCTGACATCGTCGCGGAATATTACCGTCAAATAGGGTCCCGCGAACTGCTTCTGGAGCAGGCCCAAGAGGCCAGGAAGAACAGGAAGCGCGGACGCGCATCGACCGGTGCCACGCCGTCCAGTTCCTCCAAGCGCGCGCGGAAGAACGGGAAGCATCCCGCCGACAGCACGCCGCCGGCCAGCGCCAAAGCCAACGCGTGGAAGCCGCCGAGCGGTAGCTGGGAGGACGAGGTCGAGACCATCGACGCCTGCGAAGATGAGCAGACCGGCAAGCTCATCGTGTATCTCAACTGGAAGAATGGACAGAAGACCAAGCACGGCACTGACGTTATTTACAAGCGCTGCCCGCAGAAGGTATGCGTCTGGAGCAAACCCTCTTGCTTTATTCCCCTATTCCCGATGGCACATCCAGCCGTCACGTCGTCGTCGCTACTCGGCCGGTAATGAAGCTGACCATATTTCACCTCTTAGATGCTCCAGTTCTACGAGAGGCACATTAGGATTGTCAAGACGGCACCTGATGCAGTGCCCGATGCGGAGTAGAACGAGTAAAATAAAGGCCCAGAATTCACCAGTCTCCGGACGTTTGTATGTCTTTCGTTAATATCTTATGTCAAGGTATTGCTTTCGTTCTGCGTCATATCATGTTACTTTGCGCTTCTTGCTGGGTCCGCCTTTCTTGGCGACGTCGTCTTGCCAATGGTTTGGTAAGACTTTGGAAGCGGCGTTTGCTAAAATGAATAAATTTAACGCAAAATTGCGTTGTTGGAGTCGGGGGAAGTGAAGTATGTATGTTTCCTCCTGATGTTGTTCGGCGGGGGATTGGAACCAGAGTCCAAATTTGACACTGAATATTCTTGCCCAATGGCAGAATCATCGTGTCGCCTTGTGTCTACCCCGTCCGTGATACGGATACAATATCACGTGAGTCATGATGCGGTGTACATGTAGCTGAAAAGAAGAAAAAAGTACTCTCCCAGCCATTTTTCTCGGCGGAGTACGTACACGAAACTCAAATATTCGATTCGTATGCAGACCCGGTAAAAGAAAGCCCAAAAAGGAGGTTGGACCTCTCTGAAGTGAAAGCTTTGGCACCGAAGACCCACTAACCGGCAGGGGTGAGCTGGCACCGACCATGGGCCGCTCGGGGCGAGAGTGGAGACCTTTAGGTTCTAACGGTACCCAGCCTTGCCATTTTATTGACTTCAAGAAAGCTGGTGGCGGGGCAACCGCTTTAATACCAGCCCTCTCTGCTTGCTCATGAGCTTCAGTCCTTTGCGTATTTCCCCCTCTGCCCCTTTTGTTCTACTCTACTACATTTTCCCTCGAGCACATCATTTAGTATTGATCGTTATCAAAGTTCAAATTTAGAATCGACCGAATATTTTCAGCTGGTTGAAACCGAACCGTCTTGCTCTTCTAGACCTTCAGGCCACTGCCCACTCTCAACCAACCTCCGCCGGTTCAGACGCCTGTATACGGAGACAAATTTCCGGGAACTCGGAATAAGACCTCACTCGATCTCGATCTGTTGGAACTAAAAACGAGCTCCCTAGGATTACTTTGGTAAGTGCCTTTTTGGTTAGTTGAACTTTATAATCCACGTTCTACCACCACACTCGAGCTAACGACTCCCGAAGACATCACCAACTCCTCGACAAGGAATTCAAACCCACGTGCTGCTTTCAAGCTCAAATTGTCTCACATCTCGACTCCGACATTCCTCAATCACGGAGCCAGCCAGAACACATTTCTCGCCGTACTCCAAATCTCTGCCTCGAGTCTCTCCGGCCCAATTCACGTGGAGCAAGAGGTGGCACTTCGACCGCATCATACCTCCACGGTCCAATAAAAAGGACCCTCAGAGCATTCCCGCCCTCGTGAGGGACATCCACAACCATGGTGAAACCAAACGACGCCATCGCCATCATCGTCATTATCCTCTTCGTCGTCCTCGCCCTCGTCGCCTTTGCAATCTACCGTCTCGTCCATACCGCGCGCGACGGCATGAGTGTCACAAGTGCCTCTAGCGCGAGCAGTAGTGAAGACGTATAACACTGATCCCTTGCGGGGTCCGCATCTACCACTTCACGAAGAACCCGAGAGAAAACCACGTTGCCCATCCGGCTTGGTTATGCGCCGACGCTGAGTCGTACACAATCTCCAAAGCGGGGTTCTCCCATGTACGACTATGGCAGTCGTCAACATGGGATGGTGTTTATGAGCATTTCGAGTGACGACACGCAGCCAACCGCCCATCGCTGGCTCCTGGGGAGTGAGATGTTCCGCTAATGAGGAGGCGGACATGTTGCATTGCTTTCATGCAAAAGGGAGGCTATATTGATTTTTAGTCTTGGGTTTTCAACGGTTCACAAGTCAAGGGCGCACGAATATTGACGGACATCATGGGCGTTTCAATCATCTACGATTGTATGATATTTATGGCTGTTCTTTTATTTACGGCAGAATTTGGTTGCATCTACCCCCTACGCAGGGGTTATGGATAAAGGGGGAAAGACGCCAGAAGGTGGTATATGGGATGATATTACGGACGTATATAGAGCAAAATACCAGCCAATGGGGACGCCGACCTTGCGCGATCGAAACAAACAACGTCCGTATGTTTCTTCAAGCATATATGGTATGGTTAGGACAGGCAACACTATTGATTCACGAAGGTGCGTTTCGCTACCATTTATCATCAAGAACATTTATCATGACTCTGTGAAAATTTGCCTCCAAAAACGCTAGACATGTCTTTGGAGTTTATTATATTGTTCGCGCACCTCCCTTTCCCCCTCCCAGTCTTCCGCCGACCCACCGGTTATTTCTTCCCCTTCCGCTTCCCCTTTCTTTCAGGAACGCTAGCACTCCCTTCAGCGAGCTCTCCCGCTTCAACCTGGCCTTCAGCCTCGAGTTCCTTGAGCTTCTCCTGGCCCGAAATGAACATGGTCAAGTCGCGATTCATATCCTCCAGCTCGGCAATCTTCGCCTGCTGCTCCTGATCTCTCGCCCGGAGGCTTCCAAGCTCCGCCGCGTTGTGCTCCACACGCTTCATCAAGCCCTTGGACACCTCCTTTTCCTCCTGCAAGGCTTTCCCCATGTTCCTAGCCAGCTCCTGCGCCTTCTCCGCCTTCTTTCGATCTCGCTCGCTGTCGCGCTCCAGCTGCGGTATGACCTCGTTCTGCAGCCTTTCCAGGTCCGCGCAGAACTTGGCGTTCTCTGTACGTAGGGATTCCGCTTGTTTCAAGGCAGCCTCGGCCGTCGCCGTCGCCTTTGCCGCCTTGTCGGCAAGCTTGCTCATCATCTCTTCGAAATAGACGCGTTGCGACTCCAGCTGCGAGCTCAGGAGATGCGCGTATTCTTGTCCCATGTTCTCCAGCTTGGCGCGAGGAACCACGTCGTCCCGCTGGTGAGGGCCGTCTTGGGGCCCGCCCGTCTTTCCCGGGAGCTCAACGAGCTTGCCGTCGCCTTTCTCGCGGATAAGACGGTGCACCCACGTATCGCCCGCATAGTCCCAGACGTGCTGCGTCTCGATCTCCAATGCGAAGCTGTGTGCTGTCTCCTTCCAGTGGTCTTTTGCATGCCCGCCCTTATACCGTCCACACCCGACCCTGCCACAGATGAGGCAGATCCAGAGGTCATCCGTACTGTCGCAGACGCTGCAGAGGTTGGAAACCGGCGACCCAAAAGGCTGCGTGTAAGGGTTTGATGGGTCAAAATCCGGGTTGTCGCTGGTGTGGCGGCAGACGGGACACCCGGGGCTTTTCCAGTTCTCCAGACAGGCGCAGTGGAAGATGTGTTGGCAGGGAATCGTCATAAGTCCGGTCGTGTCGTCCATTCTTTCCAGGCAGACCGCACACGTGGGGAGTTCGATGAGGTTCGGTGTCGGCGGCGGAAAGGGTTTCAGGGAATGCAAAACGGCCATGGGACTCGACGATGTCATGGAGTTCCCGTCGGAACTGGAGGGTGCCATCGGCGTCTCGAAAGTGATGGATTTGACGAAGACCACCTGGAATATCTGGGGCTGTATGACAGAGTCAGTACGGAGTGGACTATTATATACGGGGACAAAGGAGCACTCGATCTTTGAGCTCACAGAACTTACCCCTGTGTTGTTGAACACCTTGCCGTTGAACTCCTTCTGCCATAACCGAGCCCGTTTGTCATCCCGGAACTTCATAAGAACCAGGTAGCGACTCAGCTGCTCGGTCATGACAATCCTATAGTGACTGATCCCCTCCTTCCACTTGTCACCGATAAAGCCCAGAAAGTCACCAGGCGTCCAGTAGCTGGGCACCGCAGGAATGCACAAAGTGGTGCACTCCTCCTCGCTCTGATCATCCTGGTGCTGCTCCGCAGGAGGTATTCGCAAGCCGGGACTGTCCTCGCCCTCGCGGTAGAAATGCACGATACCCCACCCCATATCAGTGTTCTTAAAATCGAGCGGGATGCACTTGGCCTTGGTGGCCGTGCCCACGCCGCTGAACATGGGACCGATGCCCGTGGCAGCAGGGGCGCCGCTGCTGCTGCTGAGCTCCTCGTCTTGGGCCATGTTCGCTGTTGTTGCAACCTTGTCCTCGCCTGGGTCTAGGCTTGCCACTCGGACCCATCCAAATCGCCAGTCCCTGACAGCAGTCTGGGGTTTGATCGCGGCGGACGCCGGTGGCGGGGGCAGACTCTTGGTCCTCGCCTTCCACTGGTGTCTGCTGAGAAGTTCAATGTTCTTCCCGTTATCCTCTTCAACTTGGGCCCGCGAAGGACCGCAGTCTATGACGTTTACAGACAAAGGTCCGCTTTGGCTAGGAGAACTCGGTGACGACTCCACGTGGCGATTCGTAATGCGTTTGGATTGGGACGAATGCTGCGGTTGAGGATGGAAACGTGATCCCGAAGCGATGGAGGCCTTGTTTTTGGGTTCTCGTCGACCGGGATGAGAGGGAAGCTCGTCGAATATATCGGCGCCGGGCGCAGGTAGCCAGATTTCGTTTGTCGGCTGTGATGCTGTTCCACCTTGTCCGTCCAGAGCTCTCCGCTCGCTGCAAGCTACCGGATTGGCGGTCGGATAGAGTTCGAACTTGATGTGATAAAAGTACGTAGGCATTCTTCACCGTCGTCGGAGGGAGGAACTCGGGGGGAGCCTCGGGTCTGGCTCACCTCGGGCGAATCAAGGAGACGGTCTGAGATCCGTGGTCTGGGGGCCTCGTTCGAGGATGCGACCTTTTGAGCTGTATATTACGGAGGCAGTGGGGGCAGAACGATCTCGATAAGGGGACCTTTCCACTCGTACCACGTACAGCACATTCCGGAAAGAGGCTGAGCAGAAAGAGGCAGTTAGGGAGTGAGTCCTGGATTTCAGTCAGGTTAAAGCCATCGTCGCACATGAGAGTGTGAAAATACCCCATTAAACGAAGCTAAGGACAGTGGGGATTATATGGAGGCACGGATACAACCCAACGTAAGAACGTAAGCTCACGTAATTATTGGTGTAGTACAGTTTTGATACATTCATGCTAACGCAAGTCGCGGACACGGGCGGAATGAACGATGTTGCCATATCTGGAGGCGAAAGAAATGGAATAGCAAAATGAGGCTGCAGTGCCTGTTTGTATTCCCTCGCTCAATATTATGTATGAGCCCTAAGTAGATTGGTCACGAATTCCCTAAAATCATGCTATTCCCTTGACCCGATGGTAGTTATCCCCAAACGCCGAAAAACTTGTCGCCACCGTGACCTCGACAAGTGGTCCAAACAGATCATGCCAGCTTACTGGCCACCACGCAGCCGAAGAACGAGGTGGAGGGTTGACTCCTTCTGGATGTTATAGTCACTCAGGGTGCGACCATCCTCCAGCTGCTTACCAGCGAAAATGAGACGCTGTTGGTCAGGTGGGATACCCTCCTTATCCTGAATCTTCGACTTGACATTGTCGATGGTATCTGAGGACTCCACTTCCAATGTGATGGTCTTGCCGGTAAGGGTCTTCACGAAGATCTGCATGCCACCACGCAGCCGCAGGACGAGATGCAGGGTGGATTCCTTCTGGATGTTATAGTCGGAGAGGGTGCGACCATCCTCAAGCTGCTTGCCGGCAAAGATCAGGCGTTGTTGGTCGGGTGGGATACCCTCCTTATCCTGAATCTTCGACTTAACGTTGTCGATGGTGTCGGATGACTCAACCTCCAGAGTGATGGTCTTGCCAGTGAGAGTCTTGACGAAGATTTGCATACCACCACGGAGACGGAGGACAAGGTGCAGGGTGGATTCCTTCTGGATATTGTAGTCCGAAAGGGTACGGCCGTCCTCGAGTTGCTTTCCAGCGAAGATCAATCGCTGTTGGTCGGGAGGGATACCCTCCTTATCCTGAATCTTGGACTTGACATTGTCGATGGTGTCGGATGATTCGACCTCGAGGGTGATGGTCTTGCCGGTCAAGGTCTTGACGACTGCAGATGACTGGTTAGTGTGAGGCCGGTCGGGAGCATGGTGATGGAATCAAGCGTACAGATCTGCATGCCGCCGCGAAGACGGAGAACGAGGTGGAGCGTCGACTCCTTCTGAATATTGTAGTCGGATAGGGTACGGCCGTCCTCAAGCTGCTTTCCGGCAAAGATAAGGCGTTGTTGATCAGGGGGGATACCCTCCTTGTCCTGGATCTTGGACTTGACGTTGTCGATGGTGTCGGAAGACTCGACCTCAAGGGTGATGGTCTTTCCGGTGACTAGGAGAGAATGGTCAGTAAGTCCGGCAAGCTTGAAAGCTCGAGAGAATGATTGAGTCGAGGCTTACGAGTCTTGACGAAGATCTGCATGATGACGACGTTCGCAGATGTTGAGGTACGTTTGGCTTGGAGTAGAGGGTGTCGTTGTGGAAATGTGAAGCCAAGGTGTAATTTGCCTGAAAATTGCAGAGGTGGGAGAGAGCAGTTGGATGATGGAGGGAGAAAGTTGAGAAGGTTGGGCGTTGGGAGGGGATCGTGGTTAAATACGAAGAGGAGGGGGGCGGCGAAAGCAGGACAAGCGTGAAGGCAGTGACGGTATGGGAGGGGATATGTTGCAGGCAGGGGGGGGATTAGACCGGGTGGGGTAATGTGATTCATCAGCAGTAACTACTTCGCCGCAAGGCATGGAAGCTGGGCTCCCTCTATGAGGCCAAAAGCAGGCAGTCAACTGAAGCACGGAATCCACCGGAAGACTCCAGAATGGGGTTTTGGTGAAGTTACCAGTACTTTCCTTCTCCGCAATTGCAGACGAAAGTCCATGTACGGGTACATTCCACGTCTTGCCTTATCTTTGCGCTACTGATCTGTACCTCCGTATCTCCTTATCGCACTCGCAAGTTGCTTCCCGTGGCAAGGCTGGAACCTGGTTGCTTGATTCGCAGGAAGTACGGAGCAGGTAACGATGATATTTCCCTCGCTATAATAATACAGATCTCAAGAAATAGTGAAAATGATATTGCAATTTTCAAACCGAGTTACTCATAGATAGTGCAGATATATTCATGCCTTACGAATACTCATAGGTGGTTCAGAACTTTCCTTACCTTACTAAGCTGTCCAGATTCTATCACATCTACGACTACATGGTATGCAACGGCTTTCGTTTCGCGTCGTTCCAGGTGTTCTGCCATTCTTCCCTGAACTCGAGAAGTCAAAGCGCAGTAACTTCGTATTTCATACATACTCTGTTGCAAACATCTGGAACGGCCTACGAAGTACTTGGTAGGACCTGTTCTGGTTTCATTTCATAGAACCAATCCGTACTGAAGCATCCCGTCCATTCCTGAATGATGCGTTCATGTGACTGCTTCGCAGCAGTGTTCGGACCCCAACGCCCCACAATGCATTCCTGGCCGATGAGCATAGCCTGGCAGGGCCAAGCACGGACGCCTCCTATGTACATACGGATTTAGCGGGTTCTCATTGTCCGATGCAGTGTTTCTCCTGTCAATCACCACCTAAAGGAAACTAGGTAGCAAACTACGAATACCTCTCCTTCCTTTGTTGAGCAGCATCCTTACATTGATCAAAATCACAGTAGAGAGGTAGCTATTCGGCGTAGACAAGGGGTGGAGCCTTTATTATGCTGTCCGTTGTGGTGCCGCCACCGATAATACGCCGGGCCTTTGCGGTTCTAGCGGAGTTTTAGGGATTAGATAGGAATCCATCCATCACATCATACACACGACGACGTTATAAGGACGCTGCGCTTCTTCAAGATACCCTCCTAGACATGCACTTCATGCTTCTACAATATAAGGTATCTGCTATACCTTTACGATTTACACAGATGTGTTCGATATCTACGGACTAGACTTCGTACGACCAGCGATATTGTTATTCGATTAGCTAGCTGCATGGTGCAGTTCCTTGATAAGTTCGATGTATCGCACAGACCATTTGCCAATGTCTGGTTTTGAGAGCAGTTTGGCAGTGCTGATACTATTACACAGAATAGCTTTTCCTCCAATCCTCCACACATTTTCACCAAGCGGAAGCAAAGCATACTGACGGATACTTCGTACATCCGGCGCAATGCCTCGTTTTCTTGTTTGAGAATCCTCTCCAGACAATAAGAGTACATCCCGAAGCAAGAAAGGAGCCGAATAATATGGACTGAAATAGCAATCATTTTATGGGGTAGGATATAAACACGAATTGTGTACCAAGTACAGCTGTAACAGATGCCATTTGCGGCCCTCAAAGCCTCCCGACACAAGAATTCCACCTATCCCTCGCGAGACCTCGTAGGGCCTCCAAACGCCATGCGCATCGTAATCGTCTCTGTGTGTATGTTCTGTTCTGTTCTTCGTGCCAATGGCTGTCATTGGGCAAATCGTGTCCTCCAAACTCGTGTCTGTAAAGCAAAGACTCGTTACGACGACTCGCTCGACTTCAAATCCGCAATCCATAATCATCTCTGATGCGGGTCATGATCATACATGTCGTTGAAATGAATCGTCAACAGACCGAATCATGAAGAATAAACAAAAAAAAGGAAGAAAAAAAAAGGCCGTAGAAAATTGTCGGGGATCGTCATTACGGTGACCAGCCGAGGAAAGCAAAAAAGAAAGAAAAAAGAAAAAAAAAAAAAACCAAGGAGCAACTGTGTCGATACGAAGGCGAGTAGAGTCGAAATAGAAGAGTTGCAGCCCCTGGTTACGGTTTCTCTCTCGCGTCGCCAACGCCATGGCTGGGGATTCATAAACAAAGGAAATAGGATTTCTCAAGCCGTCTCTGACAGCATGATAGCTGTTGGTAGTATTGGGTATCTTCGCACGTGCATCGCGAGGTGAGTGAGTTGTGGCGTAGTGTGAATAGTGCCAAAGCCCAAGACGTGTCCTCTCTCGGACCAGGCTCAGTAGAGGCCTAATTGGCACGGATCACCAACTTCGACAAGAACTTGTTTGATAGAGAATCAAAGTCGTTTCGGTCAAAGGTGCAATCAGGGCGCTTACGAAGATACTCCTCTGCATATATCGTTAGGAGTGGAACTCGATAGAATAAAAAAAAGAATAAAAAAAGAGGGAGCACATACCATGCTTGAGAACGTGCCCGCGGACTTCAGTCATGGCTTCACAGACGGCCACGTTGTTATTCAGAATATGGCCATGTTTGCCCGTGTCCCAGTCCACAAAGGCGGGGAGCTTCTGCGAAATGGCATGGAACAGACCGACGATGACGCCAACTGGCGTGGTTTCCATGTCATTGCAGAACTTGGTAACCGCCGCAGGGTCCGGCATACGGTAGTGTGAGTCGAACTGCATCTCCTCCCACACTGCCAAGAGGATCGAAGCCAACATGAAGATGGTTGGCCAGTTCTTGAGACGCTCGCCACTATATACGCTCGAGTAGAGGGAAGACAGCTCCTCGAGGATGTTCTTTTGCAGTTCGCGCCACATATCGGCCAACGCACACTTAATTTGGAAGTTGACCATGACCGGGGCGACCACCTGACCGTAGAACTTCGAGTCCTCGTCATCAATCTGGCCGTCGAGGTTGGCGTCGTCACCCTGCTGCTGGATCATGGTGATATGCATCGTTAGGTTGTATGCAAGGACGAGTTTCAAGGCTTTTCGGATAGATGGTGTCTTCTCCTTAACGTAGAAGCGATGGGCCGTCTTTAGTATTTCGGTGATAAAAGGAGTGCCCTCGAAATGGTCCTCAATGAAATCCTCAAACGGTCCATCAATGTGTTTATCGAGGTATACGTGAAGGGCCTCGACAGAGACGCCCTTAGCACCGACATCGAGTCTCTCAGTGCGGATATCGAACTCAATAGGCTCCTGGTCGGTAAGATGCGACTCCACCCAATCCACCTGGAAGACACTCTCGTCGTTCACGTACACCTCCCGAACGTAAACGGGAAGGGCAAATCCATAACCATGGGTGATCCAAACAAGCGTCTCGTTGGGAGAGAATCCCTTGACGTTGTAGACGGAGACGTTGCGCGTCGTGTGCCGTTCGAAATCGACCTTCCAACCGGAGATGAAATAGCCAATGTCTTTGATATCAATTCGAGTGCAGGGCACCTGCCACAGACGAGCATGCGATGGCTGGCAACCAGCACAGGGCTCGCCCTTATCACAAGTCTTCTTTAGGAACTTGCAACGTAGACAGGCACGCAGCTTTCTGATTTCGCTTGCTTGCCGGCGCTGCTCGGGAAGAAGGGGACCACGCCGGCGTCCGACCTTCTTTTCACCTGTGCCGTCCTTGCGGCCATTGGACGTACGCCGAATGACGGGCTTGGCTGTCTTGCTAATCGGGCTCTTCCTCTGACCCGAGTTCCGTCTTGATGCATTGACAGACGGTGACGTGGCGCCGGAGCCACTGGACGGACTTGACCGGGTAGATGTTGACTGGATGGGCACTGGGGCAACCGCGGCAGTTGGGCTGACTGTGTCATGATTGTGGTTGTGGGTATGATGTTCGCCGTAGCAGCCGCGGTGTGATGTCTGTTCCGGATACGAGTCGGAGTCCGGGGAGAAGGGAGAAATAGGGAACGGCGCAATCTCCTCGTAGCTTCCCAGTTCGAACGAGTTGGCGCCGTCAGACGAATCCGAGTTTGTCCGCAAATGCAGAGTCTGGCTGGGGTTAAAGATGGCCGCATTCTGCTGCGCCTGGTGGAATTGGTCAAAGTTGGGGCTGCTTCCAGGCTCTCCCACCATCATCCAGCCATCACTGGAGCTGGTGAGAGACAGAACTTCCAGGAGAGTCCCGGTTGGCGAGTTGCTCCCGACGGTGTGGGACAGGGCCTCGAGTTGCATAGGAGGAACCGCAGCCTGAATATCCTGCCAGTTATCCATTGGAAGACCGGACCAATTCATAGCCGGGATGTTTTCGTCCATCGGGGGCATGGTATTGAACGCCGCCGACTGAAGGAAGCCGGTTGACATTTGCTGGGATGTTGCAGGCAGGTAGCTCATGGGGTTGATTGGAGCGAAATTGGGTGTGAAGCCATCGTAAGTCACAGGCATGTAGGGGTCGGAGACAAAAGGTGAAAAGTCGGGCGCCGCTTGCTGATGTTGCTGCAGATGCTGTTGAAGGGCGTAGTCGGTGAGCAAGCTGCCTGGTTGTTGATAAGGGGAAGACTGCGAAAGGGGCGAGGCGCTTTGGGTTGGCGAATTCAAGCTTTGCTGGTTCTGCTGAGCATGTTGCTGATGTTGCTGTTCCGCCTCGGGCGAGGCCGTGGTCTGGATGGAACCGGTCGAGGTCATTTCAAGGGGAATTGGCCAGATGCGTTGTTGGTGTTGTGTAGACAGAGAATGGTCAGAGGCTTGAGGGCTATTGTGGCCGGAGACTGAGGTCATCTGTTGTGGCTGCTGCTGCTGCGGGGTGGAGGACAGTTGGTGGCCGTACTGATGGAATCGTCGCCGCTGATTGTCTGTCAAATCCCAAAATGCGTCTCCTCCACTCGTGTCGAAAGTGAAGTTGTTCATGGCTAACCAGGCGGGAAGGGAAGAAAGAAAAGTTCCGAAGGTCAGGTGGTAGGAAGTGGGAATTGACAGCAGTGATATGGCTCTCACCGCCAGACACCGCTCTTTGACTAGGGTCTGGTTGGTGAAAAAGGAGATTTTCTAGGGGTCTCTTCCGTAGTTAGTGAACAAGGAGAGAGGGCGATGTCGAGGATGGCGAGGGGAGACGAGGGTAGGGGATGGAAAGGTGGAGGAGTTCGAGGCGCCAAAAAGGGTTGGCGACGAGGGTAGGTCAGCATGGGAAAGAGGGGGCAAAAGCCCAAGTGAGGGAAAGTGGGATCTGTGAAGAGACAGGGACGACTCCGCGAAACTGGCGGTGAGCGACGCAGTTCAACGTCCAGCCCCAGCCCGGGACGGGGGCCAATCAACGACGCCACTATTGCTGTCGGGGATGCACGAGTGTGGAGATGGGAGCGACAGGGTGACGCGCCTCACCCGGGTGCTAGAGCCAATCACCAGCCGCCACCAACCTCTTCCGTGCGAAAGCAACAGTGTCCAACGGGATAAGCACATGGTTGTCCGTTGTAAAGTGGGGTTGGGGGAGCTCTTCAGAGGTCGGGGTTTCTATCCGTATGCATACATACATATACCGAGACGAGGTACGGGAGTTTCGATGGTCCTGACCTCGTTGGGATCGCGAGAGTTTATACAACGTACTTGGTACGATTGAAGAGGCCGAAAAGGCCTTTCCCACGGCGTATCTGTCAAGCTTCACCCAGCTCGCTCTTTGAACTCCAGTTGCGACACCGTTACATCTCTTAGCTTATAGTTAGCTACGTGCATAAATTAAGGTTGATACCTCACACCACACCAACGGTAGCGTCACGTGGACGGGGAACGAACTATCGAACCCAACGACCACTTAATGAAGGCACCTAACTGTAAACTACCTAAACAGCCTACTGTACGGACAATGTACTCGGATACCTCGCACCTAAGGTATGGTAGTGTCTGTCTGCCTTATCCATACACTGCTTGGCCCCATTAGGCAATACATACTCCCTAGAGACTGGAGGTTCAACAGCTCCGCAGTGTATAAGATCTGGTCAGCCTCCCGTAGTCCGTCGGGCGTTTCAGCAGACCCGCGAATAGGGATTGAACCCAGGGCGGGCCCCTACGAAGTACCTAGTACACTAGCACATAAGAGTTTTTGCGGTTTCCTCCATGCACCACCATAAAACGTCGCGGGTACAACGTACTATTTGGCGGCGGTGAAGAAACCGTAAGGTATCCATCCCAGCTTCGTACGGACTCGGATATGATTCGATTCGATTCGCATGGCGAGAAAATTACTACGAACACGCTTGTAACAGTGTCAAGTTAATTTTTTCAACTTCCCTTTTATTCTTCAGGGATGCCTGGTTGTGTTCCTCGGTCTGATAGATCTCTCCTAACTTTCTCAACCCGGGAACGCCCATCAGTACGTACACGTGTATATCGATCTTTTCTCAACCCGGGCCGGGATGGGCCTTTCTTTGATCCGTGCTTAGTCGAATGAAATCGCGACAGCGGCTAGGGTCTGACTCTTAGTATCCGTACCTTGTTCCGTATGAAGTGCTTTAAATCGCCCTGTCCCTGGACTGTTGGGTACACAGGTTAGGAACACTAGAATCGATTCAGGTGGACAGCAGGCTTCTAGTGGCACGAAACGCGCTCGTCCTCCCCTATCAGAAGCTCGCAGGGTGTGATTATTCCGTACACGCCGAGGAGGCTACTTTGACGAACCAGTTTGTGGACAGGATACCTCGTACGAAGCATGAAAGTAGATCCAAGGCATCCCTAATTAGATCACATCTCGATCCCCCGAAGCTCCACATGGCGAACCTTGGCCAGAGCTCGAGCCTCGGAGACAAGGGCCTGGAAGTGCCGACCGACTTCTTCTCTTGCTAGGTCGGGAGAAAGGGCGATCTTTAGCAATTCCTTGGGTATGACCTCCTCAATAATCCCGTACCGTAGGAAAATCTGCGCCTAGCCCATTGTTCGGCCTGGCAGTCCCTGGATGTACGAAGGGATTAGACACGGGCCTAAGCTCTGATGGGGAATCGTAGATCCAAGTTACCTAAGGTAAGGTACACTAGTGAACAAAAGGTCGTGATCGCCAGGAATCCCCATCAAATTATCCATCCATATCATTATCTGGTCAAAACAATTCCAATGAACTCCATGCGCTGCTGTGTCGAAAAATTCCCCGTTCTCCCCATCTTCATATTTCGATGACTTCAATGCTCAGCACAGATGCAGATGCAGATACCCATTATTAGGACTGACTCTCTAGGTAGTGAGCGTCCTAGCTGAATAGTGGCAGCTACTGTACGGAGTACGAAGGACGGGTACGGACGTACGATTCTCAGAGGTAAGACATGGTGTGGGACCCACTTAATCGCCCGCCTTTGGCTCAGTCTCTCGCGAGACGAGACTGGAGGGATATTGGGACCAAATACCTACTTCATACTCCTTACAACGTACACGCTATTATTACTTCGCTTCGTACTTGCCTGCTCGCCTTCATGCCCATTTTCCGCGAGTGTTCCTCTCGATAAGGCTCGCCGTCGGATACTTTATTCGGGCAGTACGGATCTCTGTCTGCAGCCGATCTGCATCCAGACCGACCCCCAATACACCCCACTCGCTAAACATGGAGAGAACAAGGAGAATAAGAGCGACGCAACGCTGACGGGCGTTAAAATATCTTTACTTGGTTAGTTGGGCAAGGGAGCGGGTTCGCCGACGCCTGATCGTGCATACTTATGCGGGCCACGCGACGGCTCAGTAGTTTGAGCGGTTGCCAACCATTCCTTCCCCTCCCCCCTGGCGGACCCATTGTTAGACGAGTCCGCGATTCTACCAGTTGTGTGCCAGTTGCATTTGTAACTCTGACAATCCGGCATGCTGTCACTGAGTTCACTGACTTCAGTTCCTAACTTCACCTGCTTCTGGTCTCGCGGTTGCGGGCCCTCGTGATATATCCGAATACCCTTGCTTTAGAGACATGATCACATATGAGCTAGGGTGGTGAATGCTGGCATTCCCTCTCCTAAAAACACCGCAAGCGCGCCCTACCAGCCCTGTGCACACTGCAAGAGGCGTGAGGCCTGGCTGTGATGTCTCAGGAGAGCGAGACACATCTCATCGGCTTGTTCCTTGTTCGGATCTTGAAACGGGCGTTGAGCCCAGCTTTGCGAGTGTCGGCAGACAGGACCGGACATCCTTCGATACCAGAGGAAGGCTTAGCCCGTACCCTGCCAAATAAGGTAACAGAGGCATGTCTTACTGAGGGAGGGGTAACACGGCGAGGACGAAAACGTTAGGGTCCTGCAAATAAGGAGGAAACAACGCCCTTTCTAAGGTATGTAACGCATCTTAGGTGACAAAATTCGTCTGGTGGTTACACGAATATAAGCCACCATCTACTGATAGGTGGAAGATGACGCAACCTCCTTCCAATTCGTGTAGTCCCATGGAACCAGACAACGAAGGGCCTCGAGTGACAAGACCACGGATGGCTATAGCAGACGATGCACGTCATATCGCCCAACGATCCCCTTGTCGGCATGCATGACCTGGGCGTCGGCGATGTTCGTCTTTGCACACGGCTTCGATCATTTCTCTACTCGAATGACGAATGGTCTTAGTCAAGGGTCACAAATTCGGAGCTCGGCTCAGTCAACAACAAGCGGGGACAACGGGATCGAGAGAGACAGGTCCCACTAGTACCCCGCCCGAAAACCTCGTGGTGTGCTGAATTCCTGGGGAAAATATGGGTGATATCCTGCGGCAATGCTCCTGGACTACTCCGTGCGCTCGCTTGAATATGCCTCACGTTACTCTAGTGTTATCTTGATTGCTGGTAGCGGTATTTTTTAGTCTACGTTCTATCGGCGGTGAAGCCTCGTTTCTATTACTCGTCATTCCTTGTCGGGTTCATTCCCAGACTATAACAGACGTAAAATATTATTGCGGCGCAGTTGGAAACCGCCCCTAATCCGCGGGGCGCAGAATTACCTACTTAGACTCGGATATTATACTTGTGACGTGCTTTGACTGGACTCATTCCAACGAACCCATATTACTGGAGGGAAACTCTGATCTGCACAGTAGAGATTGAAACTACGGCTGTACGTACGGTGTAAATTTCCGGGAACGAAGGTGACTTCATTGAAGGCTGCGGTACGGCCACACTCGCCCATACGTCCACAGGGCAGTGACCAACAATCTCATGTCGTCTGCTCCAGTCCAGTGAGATGTCACGCGGAGATCACATCTTGTAAGCTTCTAGGGTAAAATTTTATCGGATCGGCACAGCCGAGACCGCCCGTTTGTCTGCAGGTGGAAAGTCAGTGGAATCTTCTGGTGGATTGGGTACAACAAAGGGACAGTATTTTGCTGAGGAAATAGCTGTGTACCTATAAGTACCACGGCCAAATCCTACTTTGGATAAGCCTAACAACAGATTCCTACAATTGACACGATTCCGTACATAATCCTCCTAGGTTGATCTTGTGTCTTCACACATCTTCGAATGAAAGACAGCTATATTCAGTTTTCTACCGTCCTCTAGTGAGGGCATGGGCCAACCAGACGATGAAAATTCAATCCAATCTTCATATACGTTTTAGAGGAGAACACCATCTACCAGATTTGTGGATTGGAGCTGGCCATAATCAACTCCAGGCTGAGTCAGAATCACCGTATTCCTTTGTGAAAGATCCCATGCTAGGTAAAAGAGGTAATAAGCCTATCAACCGCATTGCGCACATCGTGTAGCTGACCAAGCCTTCCATCGGGAAAGCCTAGATCTGTCAAATAGCATCATACAAGAACCAGGACTATTTATCCGTCTTGCGCTGAATAGGTAGCACAAGCCCTTCCCTGCCGACGAGTCTTGAGAAATGCCCAAAGGGAGGAGTTGAGAACTCATTGTTAACTAGCTCTATGGATGTCAAAGGCAGCTCAAAAGGGCAGGTATTACCTAAACATATCCGCTTTTACCTTTTTCCCAACCAATCTCGAACATCTGATACCAGTCGCTGATAAGATGAAGACAAGACCAACCGCAGAGCTCTTGCCATTGTCTATGCAAGGACCCCACCTAGTTTTAGCCCCTCCACACACCCACATCACCTCCAGTCCTTTTACATCGTAGCGACTCGTTCTTGCAGCCTCGAAGGAGTTATGACCAAAACACTGTGCAGCCAAGAACAATGCTTAACAACGACGCCTCTGGCTAACACCAACCAAATCTGGAACCTTTAGGCCGGAATATGGACGCTGCAGGCGTCGTCTGCCTTACAAAAGAGCTTCTTAGCCGCTCCATGACATGGATGCTCGTCGCATCCGACCTCTAAAACGTCGTGTAAAAATATCCTTCCGGCCCAAACCAGCGTCAATGGCTTCCTCTACCTCCCAGAATACTAGTACCCGGCCGGTCGAAAACCGTGACGAGGATGACGGTTTCGTGGATGTTCCCGAAGACGACGGTCCCCGCCATGCCTCCCCGGCTGTTCCCAAACTCTTTACCGAACCGCCTCCAATCCACGAGGAATATTCGACAGACACCTTGACTGTTCAGACTCAGACTATGAACGAATGTGTTGAACATTTGGCAGCAAACTCAATGGAACTTGACTATAACCATCGTGGCGTGCCGCGTCTGCGTCGTGAGGCTCACATAAAGTTTCTCAAGAAACAACTGGGAACGCTTCCCGCGCCTTTCCTTGTTGCAGACGCGAGTCGTCCGTGGTTTCTCTTCTGGTGTCTTAATGGGCTAGCCTTGCTAGGGGAAGACACGACGTCGTACCGGCAACAGGTCATCGCGACGGCAAAGTCCATGCAGAACCCGACCGGAGGCTTCGGTGGCGGCCACGGCCAGATGTCCCACCTAGCCACCACGTTCGCCGTCGTGCTCGCTCTTGCCCTTGTAGGGGGCGAGGAGGCGTACGAGGTCATCGATCGCAAGACTTTGTGGCGATGGCTATGTTCCCTCAAGGAGCCCGATGGCGGGGTGCAGATGGTCTACGGCGGTGAGGTAGATATAAGGTCAGTCACAGCATGTGTAATCGTGGTGGCCCGCGAAGCAACAGCCCGTGTTTATCCCAGCCCTTTTTTTCTCCCACCCGCATGGTTGTCTAGACTTTGCTAATTCAAGTCTAGGGGAGCATATTGCACTGCTGTTATCGTCGGCTTGTTGAATATGCCCCGTGAGCTATCGCCAGACTCGCCGGCCTACTCACCCGACGGCAACACGACCCTCTTCACTGGCTTGGCCGAATATATACGCCGCTGTAAGTCTCACACTTCAGCCCAGTTATCTTTGCGCTCATGTGCTCACCATAAAGGCCAAACATTCGAGGGGGGTATCTCCGGCCGGCCGGATGCTGAAGCCCACGGAGCATACGCTTTCTGTGCCCTAGCTTGTCTTGCCATTCTTGATGCTCCCCATCGGATCATTCCCAAGTAGGCCCATGCTCTGCCCGACTTCCCCGGTGAGTTATTGATACGAAGGCCACACGAGCTGACAACGCTGGGTTCACGGCAGATATCTGGACCTCCCTCGCCTTATCTCCTGGCTCTCGTCACGTCAATACGCACCGGAGGGTGGGTTTTCTGGTCGCACGAACAAGCTAGTCGATGGTTGTTATAGCCACTGGCTCGGCGGATGTTGGCCGTTGATCGATGCCGCCCTTAACGGCGCCAGTGATCTGGATGACCCCGAAAGCAAGCCACAGCCAAGCACTGATTTGGTTGACTGGTACAGCCGGGAGGGCCTGATCCGATATATCTTGTGCTGCGCCCAGGATGAATCGAAGAGGGGTGGTCTCAGGGACAAGCCCAGCAGGTTGGTTGCGAGATGAGGATTCCCGTTTCTGGCATTTTACCATGGACTGACCTTGGGGCAGCTCGTCCGATGCGTACCACTCTTGCTACGTCCTCAGTGGCCTGAGCACGGCGCAGTATAAGTGGGGTCTAACATACTTCAACGAAGACGAGATGCTGCTCGCAGAGCCAACGTGGAAAGTGACGCCCCGTGTCGACGACTCCCAAATATATGACCAACAGGACCGAGTCGAGGCTATTCACCCGACTTATACTATTCCCGATCAGAAGTTCTACGATATGCAGGGATATTTTGCATCCAAGGCTGGGTTCTAGGCGGGATATCCTATGAGGAGTTCTTGTCGGTTAGTCTCTCCTATGGATTCATGCAGCCATGCCTTGTTTCTGCGGGGTTTCCCGGGTGACTGACACAATATGTTTTGCTCTTGTCCGCAGCTTCTCCTTACGGCCGTTCCCTGATTCAGTCAGACATTCACCTCCGCACTTCCTACGCAAAGCCGTCGCATCAATTTATTCACGAGCTTCGAACAGCATGAGTTGCTTCCTTCCACTGGCTTCAGGATGATATAGACGTACTGTACTGATGGTGGCACCCGGACAACGCATTTTATAACATTACCTACCCGTTTTCTTGGCTGTGGCGAAGGCAACAGTATGGATTGCTATGGATGCATGGCCCCTAGCATGATACCTGCAGCTCGCGAGCAAACCCCAATCATATATCATGTAAAGAGCGACGATCCGGCCCAAACATATGCATGGGTTGTTCCGTTGACCTCGTCGTAGGCGAAACCATGTCTCTCTTGTGCATGGTGGCTGCTCATAGAAATCGCCGGGGGATACGTCGTCCAGCTCCCTGAAATGTCCTCAACGCCGAGCAAGCTGATGGCCAGAAATAGGGGTAGCAGGCGGGGGCGAGGAAGGGAACCTGAACTGGCACATCGGTTTGCCGTCTTCCTGCAAATGAGTGCCTGTCTCGCTCATGCTGTGTCCCGTCAGGAGAGACTTCCCGTTAGGTGGATTTGACGGTGGCTCCAGCATATGTTCAGTTTACACATTGGCTAAACCTGCCGCACTGGCACCGGTGCTCCCCCGGGACAGACCATTTGATTTTCTACCCTCGCTGCAGGTTTATTCCTTCTACTCGCCACTGTCGGTTTCCCTTCTTGACAACGGGTTATACGCGTTCTGACCGTAGACCTTGTCCTATTTGTGTGTCCTTCCGACCTTTCGGGAATTATGTCTCACCACCGAAGCTCAACCCTTTCGCCAAAGCCCCCGATCATGCGTCCAAAAACGAACATTGGCATCTGAAAGTTCCGGGCCAAATGGCTCCCCAAGTTCTGGGGTTTGGGCGCTCACGGTTGGGGAGCAGCATTGGCGTGTTGGTGATGTGCAGTGTCTGTAGGTGTATTGGCGTTGCGAGCTGCATGCAACTAGAGTGCATCCTCAGAGGGTCGGCCAGCTTGCCTCACACGTTGTACGTTCCCCTTCGTCTATATTGGAGGAGTAATTCGCGCACACGGCGCTGCTCCGGTCAGTTTCATGTTCGGGAATACGGAATGGAACACGGAAGGGCGCCACCTGCGAACGCCGGGTGCTTGGAAGGGAGGAGGAACCAGTGCCAACCTCCTCAAGTACATATTGCCACTCGACTTTCCGTGTGCTTATCCACATGCCTACCTTGGCACACACCACGTACTTGAGTTAAGATAGGGAATCGTGCGAGATACTGAGTAGAGGGTAGGAGGGGGTCTGCAGAACTGGCCGCATCGGTCGCCTTATAGGCGCACGAAATGGATAATCCACGACCCGTGCGTACGCATACTCGAGGACGGAGGTGTGCCCGCTTGATATTTCTCCCTGTCCCTATTGCGGGGCCCCATATTACCATCCAACAACAAGCCATTATCTGTATGAACGGCTCCGGTTAAGGAGGGACCGATTTGCAGGGGATTGCAAAGTCTGGCTTTTTGAATTGGGAGGAGGGGGCCATGGGACGATTGACTTCGCGTGTCTTATACCGAGTCCGTTGAGGTGATCCATATTGGAGAGAAAGAGCGGCTGCGCCGGGATCCTATCTTGTACCCCTGTTCGTGGCGAGGTAGGGGAGGTATGCGCTGGCCACGCATGGAGCACCGGGAAGGGAAGTTCAAAAGCTTGTACCAATATCGATGTCGTACTTTCGTCTTCTGTTTGCTCTCCATCTTCGATCGTCCGCGGCCTGACAAAGCGGCGCTGCGGATATGTCGATGATAATGGCATATCGACAAAGGCCTGAGCTGGATGAGCCCACCATCTTCAGCAGAAAGACGAGACGGTCTTTTTTGTATCCAGATCCAGAGCTTTCCGACTGGAACACCACGTCCCGAGATGGTGGACGATGTCAAGTAGACATGTACATGAGAGTTGATGAATTCGGATGTGGTCTCTCCCGTTTGGACCCAGTACTTATGAAGCCGGGCGGGGGGAAAGAAACCAATTCATAACAAACACGGAGATTTCGACGGGCGTACTGTACCTTAGCTATCTACACTTCTCGACGTCAGCTAGGGAGCAGTGAATTCTTCGGTCTTAGGGTATATTGACAAGCGTTTACTTCCGTGTGATGGGAAGTCCTGTCCGACTGCCGTGCTCCTATGTCCAACCACCCCCCCCCCCCCCCCTTTCTTCTCGGCGGCCTTGCTATGGTCTTCACAGCACCGTTAATCTTTAAGAAACCCAGCCGTCTCTGCCACTTTCGTTTTCGGGATTGAACGTCACACAGTTCCAGTCCCTCGCCGTCCGGGGCATCTCTCAAGTGGTCGTCGGGTCACGTCTCTAAAATTCCAAGTGGATGGCATCCCGCTGGGTCCCAGGTGAGATCGGTGAGTTTAAAGAATGCGGCAGAAGCGTATGTATGTAATCGTAATATCCCGAGGAATTCTCCTCCCCAGCCCGGCCATCCATCGCCGAACTGAGATCGCCATTAATACCTATGTTTTCATACCCGCACACGCGTATCGTGGACTTGTCTCTTGGAGAAACGTGAACGTGCCCATTGTCGAATCACGGCTCTGTATCCGAATTCCGATCCTCTGTTAGGGTTAGTGGGTCGTCGGTACGGAGTACAATCTACCTTATGCTTCCCCTCTTTATTCGAACCCCTCCTCCAACTCCTCCATGCAGTGTCACAGCTGCACGCAATCTACAAGTTAATTTCCTGTGAAGCACTCCGCACAAGCCCAGGGCCAATCTAGACAAGTACCAGTCTCGTTACGATGTACCTACCTACCTATAGGTACCAGCGGGGTGGTTGGATGTTGGACACACTAAAACAAAGAAGGTCGGCCACGCGAGCAGGAACTACAATGTACTTCGTACGGCAACAATAAGATGGACGAGTCATATCGCTCGATTTCACCGAGATTTGTAACGAACCCCTCTGCTCGGTACTCCGAAGAATGCGGAAATGCTGACCAGTAGCCCGGTTCAGACGCTTGAACATGCTTACATAGACATATGTGGATACAAGCCTCCTCTGTGTATTCTCTCCTCCTGCCAGATGTCATGACAGCCATGCACACTATATGTCTTGCCGAGTAGTTGCTTCGACTGTCCTACTCCGTATGTGCCTCATGATTTTAAGGCACGTACGAGTAATTAGGGGAATTGGCATCCGTAGATGTTCGAAGTGTACGAGGTCCGGAGTACGGTACGTACTTCCCCCGCCTCTTCACGCGCTTGGCCATTTATGGTCGAGTCCGGGCCTTAATATCTAGTAAGCATTGCCAACTCATCATTGCATGAGTGCGAAGCCTTCGCCGAGGCTTTCTCGCACCACCGCACCCTGGCCTTGGCCATGAATGTTCAGCGAGTAAAAACTTCCTCTTTTTGCTCCTGTTTACTCTGTCTGTTGAGAACCCTTGTCGCCCTCTCTGCAGATCGCCAGCTTTGTTTTCCGAAGTGCCCCTCTCCGTCGGCTCTCTCGCATGAGGGTACATATATCCCCCCACATTTTTGTCCCCCCACCCTCCCTAAAAACAAAGCAGCAAAAAATAAAAACATAAAACATAAAACGAGAAAAGGGGGAAAAAAAGGGGGGGGGGGAATACGATGCAAAGATACATCTGGCCGCCCTATCCGGCCCAGCTCTTCACGCATGCCCTCTCCCTTCAATGGAGTAATACGGATATGATGTATTCGCGCTTCACCGACCGTCTTTGCTCTCCTGTGGGCCCAGGCCAAGGTTTATGACCCCTTGGGGCATGTCTTGTACCTTCTCCGACCGTCCTGCCCGAGTCCGGGGGTGGCTCGGCTGATTGGAGCCGACAAGCGCCAGTCTCGCAGTACATACTCCGTAATATGAACTCGACTATGCCGGGTCGTCGTTTTCCTGATGGGCCGGCCGGGGTGGGGGGGGAAAGGGTGCAGAATGCGGCCAAGACACACATGTGTGCGTATCGCCCAATTTTTTTTTTCTAGAAAGCGCCCAGGGCGCTCGTTGCCAAATAGAGCCGTGTCGAAAAAGAGCTTCTTCCAATGAGGAAGTCCTGCCGTGGAGTTTACAGAGGTGTCCCTTTTTTTTTTTTTTGCCTGTCCTTGGGCCGCTAAAGGTGGCCGCAGAAACGCGACCTGGGAACCAAGTCTCACCGTCGTACCGTTCTTCTGATTTCGACCTGCGCTCTCATGACCACACGATTTCTCCAAATCTATCCGGAGTATGACCTCGGCGGCACCATAACAAGGTGGTCATGCAGGCGGCGGTTTCGTTGTTTTTATTACCGGCTTGACTTCGAGACCGTCTCCAAGCTAGCACCCAACAATAGGCTTTCCCTTCGGCCTTGTATCGCTTTCTTGCTGCACTAGTCGCCGCTAAAGGAAGATAGAAGAATATCACGAGGAAGAGAAGGGGGGGGGGGGGGGGGGGGGGGGGGGGGGGGGGGGGTGGGGAAGGGGTTGGTTAGCAAATCCCCTTTGTTCTCGTGTTTCTCGTGTAATTGCTCCTGGCGTCACGCTCGCTTATACACAGTTGCCGTGTGAACGGTTCTTCCCCTGGCAGGTCCTGGACGAGCCGGCCACAGGTCGCTGGAGGGTGATGGGTAACTGATGAGGTTAGACAGCCCCCCGAATACAATGCCGTCCTTCGCGAGACGCTGACCTTGCAGACATGCGAGATTGGCTGGCCTCCCAACTGAGTGGGAATTTTGGGTTCCATCTTTTCGCCACTTGGTAATGTGCGTCGTCTAGCACTACACAACAGACGAGAACTGGCAAAGGGGTCAACACGTTTGTTTGTATGGGAAAGTACGAAGTAATCATTAGACTGTAGACCCGTTATGTACCTACCTTATGGTGCCAAGCCAACCAATCCAGCCAACTTCAGGAAGCCAATTATGCTTTGTAGCCGAGGACGATGAACTCCAAGCCCAAGTACTTGTTTCTTTCCTTTTTTTAATAGACCAACCCAAATAAAACTACAAGGAAATCTACGAGGACACCCATCTTCGGCAATGCAAAAGGTGAAAAGCAAACCCAGAAAACTCAAAACTCTCTTTTATATATATATATATGTAAAGGAAAAGGGAGGAGTTTCCTGTCACTACCGGTCGAGGTCAACCACCAGCCGCCTTGCATCGTAGCGGGTGGTTTCCCTCCGGCGAAAGTTGTCAAAAATCATCATCACTTGGGTCGTGGATGGTACAGACACGCCCCCTCTCTCTCCCCCCACCCCAAACCAGAAAACCTTTCCGCTTCTTCCCATGTGCTGCTGTGGAGTTACCTAGTCGCCAGTGCTTCCATCAACTGGTGACGAGGAAGCCAACACATCAGCATGGGTCACACCTTCGAGAGCCGCATCGCCGCTTGCATCCTCCATTCCCAGAAAACCCCCAATGCCAAACTCGCCCACTGACGGTTCCCTTTATTTCCTCTTGCGTCTCAAGCGTCTCAAGCTCATTCATCCGTCCCCCTCGTGCCCTTAACTTTTCAGAAAAGCCCCCCTCTCATATCCCCCTCGGCCCCGCACTCGTAACACTTCCCTCTTGCCCTGCAATAAAGCACACATGCCTCGCTGTCCATAGCCCGGATTTCCCGCATTTCAAAGACGTTCCCCGGGGATACGTAGCTTGACCATTGCTACCACCACCATCGACCTTGTCTTTCGCCGCCACCTCACGACTACCTGTTATCTCTTACCACCCACACTGGCAGGACGCACACACACCCAGACAACCCCAAAATTTTATCTTACTCCTTGGGATTTTTCTTTCCTCGGTGAACAGAACACCCGATCACGCTTTCATTTTTTCTTCATCAACATTTCACCATCCCATTGCTGCTGTACGTTCACTAGACTTGGTGTGCCTCCTTTACTCTTCCCTGTTAGACTTGGGTTTGGCTGCATCCAAGGGCGTCGGGGTCTCGGTACTGTGTCCTTCTTTCACGGCAGTCCTTGTCCTTCTTTTGCTTTCTCTTTTTTTTTCGGGGGGGGTTTTTTTTTTGCTCAATTCAAATTCCTCGGTGGATTGCTTCTCGTCCCCGCCCACGTATCCCCCATCATCAACGTGGCCACCTCATTCTTTCGACCCATTGGGCTTAATTATCAACATGGGCGGCTTCTATATGCAGTACCTTGAAAGTAAGTCACCCACTGGATTTCAAAGAATGTCGCATTTCAGCCCAATCCCCCCCTCCATCTTATGACAACAGCCTGGCAACATGCTCTCGTAGGTGGGGCGGATTGCAAAACACCCATGGAGTTTGATGGTGAGAAAGGGGCTATCCGAACCCCTGTATTGTGGCGGCTGGAGGAGAAATATCGTGATGCACTCATTTCGGCCCTCTCCCTCTCCCTCGCCCTCTTCTCTCCTCGCCGCGTACCGCGGCTGTACCTGCAGCTAGGCGCATTTCCCCGCCCGCCCTATATCGGAAGTCTCTCGATGTGCCTGCGGGACCCGGTGGGACGGTCGAGCACGGGGACGTTGGGCTGGGATGCAGGGTTTCTAGGTGTCGATGTTCGAGACTTTGGGACGTCTTGCCGCACGGTGATGCCACACTCCGCTGGCAGCTATGCTGGTTCAATGTTGTGGTGACAAACGATTATAGCTTTGAAACGGTTGATGGACACATCCGGGAACAACGAAAGGGGCTAATGGATCGCCCATCATAGGTCTCTGCCGACGACGCGGGTGGCAGGATCCCACGTACGAGTGCTACCGTGACTCGAGCGGGTTCACCTGCCTGGTTCTGGTCAATGGCCGCGAATATCAAACGGATCTTGCCTACGAATCGGATGCCCTGGCCCAGGAGAACGCCGCCATGAGGGCGTTCATGGTGTGCCGGAACTTTTCGGTCAATGGGGGCATGCTCGCTCGCAATGGCATTGTCCAGGGCCTCCCGGCAGAGAATACTCGCCGCACCACGAAAACCCTCCACGCATCTTCTGGCCATCGGGACGCCCACCGACCTGGAAACCACTCGAGCAGCAGCTCTACCGCGTCTTTCGAGTGAACGACAGACAAGTGCATGCCTGGTCACTTGTTGCGAAGCCCGCAGAATCAATCGTGGACGACCCCGGGAAGAGTACTGCCACCCCCTTGGCAGATGGCGCTGGGCGGGCGAGAGATAACGGTGAAGGCACTGCTCTAGAAGTGGGCACAATGCTTCACGGCACATTTGCGGAGGATATACCCACGAATATTGACGACAAATACGACGAGACGCCAAAAATGCACTTACGTACGACCTTGCAGCGAAGACCAATGACAGTGGAGGAGAGAGAAGGATATAGGCACACGACCCGGTAACGGCGAGGCAGCGATTCTTACGCGTTCTAACGTTTAACCGCCACGACTTATGACGACTTGACGACATTAGAGATGATTCCCAGCCTGGATTTCTGGACCCCTCGTCCATGACTCGGGGGGAAATTTTTTGCTTGCTTTACGTTTCTCATGATTGGGTTGGCTCTTTGTCTTTTTTTTTTTGGTTTGTTATATTTCTTCGCGGATCTCTAGTGCGTCGTTGTTCCTTGATGGACGCCGGGTCTCGATTCCCCGAGTTGGGATTGACAGCACCGACTCGACAAATTCGTGCTCATCATGCTCGTCCTCTATCCCCAGGACGAGGCAGTCCGCATCCGAAAAGTACCAGACTCTGATCTTGGTCGTCTGGGAATCGGATTGCGGGACCATCGAGCACCGAAAACAAAGGAAGAGGGACACAGCGGCGCTTACGAGTTCAGGGGGGTATCTTGGGCGGCTAGATTCGAATTTTGTTCTGTCCCCCCGGCTGGAGAAGGAATCGGTGGGGATAAGGTCTCTTCCCTCGCCTGATTCTATTCCCTTCTCATTCCAATCTGGCGGGTTTTCAAAAGTGAAGGAAGGGTTTCATCATACCAGTTCGGGAGAGAGACTGAGAACAGTTTAAAAAAAGGGCAGCAAGGAAAAGAAAAAGCAAATACTGCATGAGGAGTCAGGGAATGACGATGGAGGTCCACGTGACGCCCAGGCGTCACTGCATGAGAGATGGTCGCACGCGAAGACTCGAGGCTTCGTCGTTTCTCCTTCTCTCCGCCTCCTCTCTGGAACAGAAAAAAGCACCGGGAATATGGTTGGGTGACGGGGTTGGGCGGTCAGATTGATGAATGCATTCGAGTCGATTTGGGCGAAGGAGGAAAGACTGCTACTTCCGTCTTGATTGCTGTCCTTTTTGCGCTCTTGTTTTCTGTTTCTTTTTTGCCTCCTTTTTCCATTTTTTTCTTCACTTTTTTTTCATCCCTTTTATGCTGCAATTCTCATGACGACTCTATGATGATGATAACGACTCCAAAGATAGCTTCTTATGATAATGACCATTTACGAGTTCGGCTGGGATTACTTCACAATACGAATTAACTGCTGTCCCGTGGGCCGGTAATTTTGCATATCAAAATTGTTCTGATGTCGTTCCGTTCGGTAGGTAGCACAAGACTGGACTTGGACTGGACGATGAACCAGGAACCCGACACACACGCATACATCCGCTCCCTGCCATCACATTACCCCTGTCTGACGGATGCAGGTGACAGATTAGGACCCTAGGTTAAAGCCAGGGGCGGATCGAATCAGGAACGGTGCGGAGGGGGAAGGGGAGGGAAGGAGGGTGAAAAAAGAGGGTGTGTTGAATTTTTGCAGGTTCCAGAACCAACCAAGTTGCTTCAAGGTTCAATATTGTTAAAGTAGGCCGTTTGATGGGATTGAATAATGTCTTTTGTATTTGTATGCTGATATTCTAGGAGGAATGTCTGCAATTTTTCATGTCACGGCGCATATCAATTTGGCCAATGAGGTCGTCGGCAACAGTTCATGCGAGAGATTCGTTGTTGGGGATGTTAGTTGGTCAACGTGGTTCCGTTGCTACTCTGTAGCTCTCCAAAAAAATCTCGACGGATCAGACGCCACGGCGAGTTCTTATAACGAACAGGTAAACTAGTCAGGCCGACGGGAAACGAGAAACGTGGACGTAGTTATACGCACTATTACTGGGTAATAAGCTACCTGTAAGGTAAGTTCAGTTTCTACGGAGAACTTTCAGCGGGAGAACGCCCTGGCGCTTGGACGCGTCAGCAGGAACGGGCCTTGGAAGTCGATGTCATAACTCTGATTGGCGGGAGCCAAGATGACTGCCCCGCGTCGTGCACGAGTCCGGTAATTACGGAGTACCGTTTTGACTTCGAAATAATCATCGTGTAGGTGCCGAAGCAATTGTATGAGCCTCGATTCACTGCTTTTACTCCGTATAACATCAACGGCTAGGCTAAACGGGATTCAGAATGTTGCCCGATGCCTCTGAAGAATCTGTGGACTGTCGATCCATTTGTTGCCCGTAGCTTCGTGTAGCGGGGAAGGCGTATGGTAAGGGAGTAGGGTGCCCCTAGTTGAAATTAGCTAGGAACTGCGCCCCCTAACAAGCCGCGAGAACAGAAGGTAACCGCACGAGGTCTTCATGGACTGGTCCAATCTGCGATGCCGAAGTCTCGAAGTAAATCTGGGTTCCTCTGGTACTTAAAAAGCAGCAAGCCCATTCTCCAGAGGTGGGAAGGCAGGTCCAAGTACGGGTGAGACAGATCTTGAAGGGACCGTCTAGAGAGGCACCACACCTTGGCTAGAGAGGCAACGAACTTTTACCTCCTGAGTACGAAAGTAGTATCTCCCATGATCCGGGTTCCTCGGTTAATAAATTATCATCAACTGGCAAAGGAAGCGGTGCAGGGATGACAATATAAATGAATAAGGTGGTAGGAGGAACAGGAACGGTAAATGCGTGGATAGACGAGGCTGATGAGAGTAGGTAATAAATATGCTTAGGAATGCGTAACCCCCTTTTTATTGAGCACATATTCGCATCCCAGAAACTCCGGCGCCGTCCATTTTGCTGGAAAAGGGGGAGTTCAAATTGTTGAGCCTAATTGCCTGATAGGTAGTTGAGGGAATGGCCCCACTTTCATAGTAATGGTATGTACGGAGTACCATACACTAACACGCTCTGGGAGTCTGGACATGAGAAACTTGGTATGTCGTAGACTGATATTTTGAAGTACAACCACCACGGACTAAAAAGAAAGAAGGAACAACCTGGCCCAGGGCATACTAAATGCCTTGCTGATTCCTAGGATCGAGTATCCGTACCTACCTTACCTTCCTTAACGTTCAGGGAGACAGACACGTAATTACCGCAGGCATAACCAACACAAAGTTTACTTCAAAGGGAGGTATCAGCATATACTTTGTACATCACATGGACCCCACTTCCGGCTCGTAGTGGGCCTTTATTATAAGCCAGTCCCGACCTTAACCTTAGTGGGTGACAGCGAAACGTCCTTGGACAGAGCTCCTGAACAATGAGGTGGTGTTGCTATCGTGTTGTTTCGATCATCACCTGCCCACCTAGCTGATCTTGTCCCAGCTTCTTCTCTTCTAACCACCAATAATCTATAATCTTTGGTTCTTTCTACCCGTTAATTCCTTTCTTTGCATGCCCTGCCTCTATCCTCTCAAACATTCTTTCCCCTCACTTATGCGCGCGTTCTGGTAAGCCTTTGCAACACGGGTTTACTCTTTGACTACACGACCAGACACATTCGTGCGCACTTCTGCAGCTATGAAGGGTAAGTGAGGACTCTGATTCTATACTCAACGGGCTGTGCCATGGATTCGTGCGCTAACAACTAGTCTCCAGCAATCATTCTTGTCGGCGGCTTCGGTACCCGGCTGCGGCCTCTCGTATGCACTCCCCCACATTCTGCCGGTCATGGCTGCCATATTACGACTTGGGCTGGGCCTTTGAGCGTTGCTTCCTTAGAACACCGAATACTGTGGCTAGGACTGTTAGGATTCGCTGACCATGATGTCCCAAGACCCTCACTCTGCCGAAGCCTCTGGTCGAGTTTGCCAACAAGCCCATGATCTTGCACCAGATTGAGGCCCTTGCCGCTGCAGGTGTTACTGATGTCGTTCTTGCCGTCAACTACCGGCCGGAGATAATGGAGAAGCATCTCGCCGAGGTATATAGCTTTTCATTGCACCCTTAAGAACGGTCCTAGTCCCCCCACCCGTCTTGCATGACGCAGCATATTAATTTTGCTCTGTTCCCACAGTACGAGAAGCGATTCGGCATCAACATCACCTTTTCCGTCGAGACGGAGCCCCTTGATACGGCAGGCCCCCTAAAACTGGCTGAGAAGATCCTCGCCAAGGACGATAGCCCCTTCTTCGTTCTCAACTCCGACGTCATCTGTGACTATCCTTTCCAGCAGCTGGCCGCGTTTCACAAGGCTCACGGCAATGAGGGCACCATTGTTGTCACCAAGGTGGAGGAGCCTTCCAAGTATGGCGTCGTCGTTCACAAACCCAACCACCCCTCCCTTATCGACCGCTTCGTCGAGAAGCCGGTCGAGTTTGTCGGCAACCGCATTAATGCTGGCATGTACATTCTCAATACCTCTGTCCTCAAGCGTATTGAGTTGCGGCCCACCTCCATCGAGCAGGAAACATTCCCCGCCATCGTCCGTGACGGCCAGCTTCACAGCTTCGATCTGGAGGGATTCTGGATGGACGTTGGCCAGCCGAAGGACTTCCTGACCGGAACCTGCCTGTACCTCACTTCGTTGACCCTGAAAGGCTCCAAGGAGCTGACTCCTGTGTCCGAGCCCTACGTTTACGGCGGCAACGTGCTCATCGACCCCACTGCCAAGATTGGCAAGAACTGCCGCATCGGCCCCAACGTCACCATTGGTCCTGGTGTGGTTGTTGGTGATGGAGTTCGCCTGCAGCGCTGTGTCCTACTGTCTGGTTCCAAGGTCAAGGATCATGCCTGGGTCAAGAGTACCATCGTCGGATGGAACAGCACTGTCGGCAAATGGGCTCGCCTAGAAAACGTGACGGTCCTTGGCGACGACGTGACCATTGCTGACGAGATTTACGTCAATGGCGGTAGCATCTTGCCACACAAGAGCATCAAGGCCAACGTCGATATTCCTGCCATTATTATGTGAGCGAGGATCATCTGTTCAGTATGCGCCCTCGCCTGGGGGTACCGGCCTGTGCTATCCTTTCTTCCCTTTTTCCTTTCTTATTCTTCTTTTCTTTTCAAGGCACGCACAGGCCCTTGCCTTCTCAACCACTTTCTGCTTCATTCTCCTTCGGCACTTCTATCTTTAATCTCTTTTCAGAGTCATCTTGAGTGATCTTGACCTGGCCCACACTCCAGTTGGCATGAGCGGGAAATGGTTATCAAGGAGGAAGACGGACGGTAGGGGCGTGTTCAAAAAGTAAAAGACCTGAGCCATATTTGGGCTTTGGCTGGCAGAAACGGCGTCGGATGGGAATGTTGATGAATGTCTTCCAGCCTGGTTCTCCTTCTTTCTCACTTGTTCTGCGAAACTGCGTGTTTGGTCTTATACAACGAAAGCAGGCACTTGGCTTTGAGCATCTGGTCTGGGCGGGAAGAAAAGGGCACAGCCGTGATTGGATGCATGGAGGGATGGCATCGCCCAAGAAGAACTGATATCAGGCTTGTCATGTTTGTCGAGGCTTCTGTCTCTTGATTTTTCTCTCGGCTTTGGGACGCGAACCATCGCGCCGGTGCTGTCAACTAGCTCATCGGAGATATGTCTCCTTCGCTAGGTAATGAGGAGAGGATGGGGTGAGGCGCAGACAGATCGTCAAGAAAAGTGAAAATGAATCAAATGGCGCAGTAACGGCCTTCAGGAGGCGCAGGTGAATATGTTCTTCTACCTGCCTCGATTGGCATTTGGACATGGCCAGGCCCATTTATCCAGCATAACACGGCACAGCATGGGACATAGAACAAGAGCCATCCATGTAGGTGTGTGCTGTCAATTAGCTGCTCTATCCAGGTGCTTTTTCATAGTCCCCGATTTGCTCCAGCAGTTCTCGAGACGCAAGGTGCGGCCCAAGTCCATATGCTCAGCTCTGTCCGCCAACACCAAATGCCTCCGAAAGGGACAATATTCTGCCGTCTTGCTTGTCTACAAATATTCTATCTTGTTGTCTCGGTAAATTGGCGGCATGCGCCTTCATTCCTTTGACTCCTTTTTTTATCTTCTTCTTTTTATCTTCTTTTTTTCCTCCTCCTCGCATGGGTCGAGTCCGTTTGCCTGAGCCTAAAGACAGTCTGGTCTGAGTTTCGTTTTTTTATTTTGCGATGCGCGGGGTCATTCTCCGTCTCCTCGCCACGGTACTTCTGAAACCAAGCGCGTGACATGCGGAAGGCTTCGTTCCTTGGAGACCTCGCGCCGGGTCCTTAATTCCTTCCAGAAGCTCGCCGATGTCTCAGACCCCGATGCCGATGCCGGCGGCGAAGGGCACCGAGGCTCGCTGCATGTCCAACGGACTGGCGGTGGATCGTGAATCCCAACATGTCGGCTTGCATCTGCATGCAGGTGTTCTAGCTGGCGATGTCACAGTCCACGGCCAAGAATTTGACGGGTTGGCCCCGGGTTCTGAAGCATCCAGACTAGGGTGACTCGGGTCTGGCAGCAAACTCCCCCCTCGAGGGCGGCGGGGGCGAGCTGGCCTACGCTGGTATCAACGGTAAGGCCGACCGGGTGTTTTTATATAAAGTCAGACAACCACAGGGCATGGGGGGAAGATTGCAAGTTACGACACCTACGTATGGAACCTGCGGCACCGCAAGTCCAGTCCGGGCTGGACACGCCGTCAAAGCCTGTCACAAAAGGGACGTTTCCCGAGTCCCGTACTGAGGGGGCGAGCACGTCTATCTCCTGGCCATCTTTGGGGAACCCCAGGTCCTTGACGAGAAGACTCACGGCAGACGTGACGGCTGAAGCAGTGCTCTCGAGCGCGTAGTTGGCAAGACGGAATCCGCCCGTGGGTCGGAGGAGGCGACAATTTCAGGAAGCAGGTCGTCCTCGGGGTCGATGTGGAAGAGCTGGAGGATACCCGGCTCGTAGTCCAGGGTGCGAAGGTTCATCAGCAGGGTGCGGGAGGCGTTGGTCTAGTCGGTGACGTAGATGGGCCCGTCAGGGGCGAGCTCGCAACCATTGAGGTTGTAGATAAGCCAGGTGTCGACGGTGCCGAAAGCGAGATGGCTCCCCTTCCCACGCTTTCCTTACCCGACGTATGTTGTGAATGAGTCATAGTAGCTTTATGGCAGAGTAGGGGTGGCTGATGGGCATGTCGGTGAGGTCTGGGATGATGTTGGCCATGAGTAATTTCTTACAACTGGCAACTTCGTGGCTGGTGCGCGTGTCATCCGAGACGATAGCCTGGTAGAGAGGTTCGCCTGGCGTGGCATCCCACACGATGGTGGTCTCCCGTTGGTTAGCAATGCCGATGGCCTTGATATCATTCTTCTGAACTCCCTGCGCGATGAATTTCGCAAGTGCTACCGTGATGCACTTATCCACTGAGGCGAGGATTTCCTTTGGATCTATTTCATGCCATCTTCATCCAGGCACGGAATCCGAGGCTGTCGGAACCGGTGGTCCAGTGTATTTCCAGGAGGCAACCATGATGACTCCAAACGGATGGCTGGGAGCTACCTTACCCGGACCGGGGGCGAGAACTGGGTATCTAGACACTGTGGCGGCGCTACTGGCTCTGCCGTGGCAATACTGTAAATAACCAACTGTGTAAAATCGACGCGTTGCTCGATGGCACCAATGAATCAGGACCTCTTGGTCTTGAGAGGCGGTGGTCAAGCATCCTTGTGATCTCCGGGAGCAGTGCCGTTGGCAAGTTTAGGGCCAGCCCCGTTGGGAAGCTCAGGATCAACATGGTTGGGACGCTTGGGACTAGCCTCGTCGGGATACCCAAGGCCAGGGTCAACGCTGTCCGTCACTGTGCCTCCGTTGGGTATTGGAGTATGCATCATAGAGTCTGTTGATTCCTAGGAGTTGAAGATGTATATGCCTGGGATAGTTTGACGGCAGAGACAGAGCCTTGTGGAGACATGTGTCTAGCCAGCGGTAATTACCCCAATTATCGTGTGGAAGTAAGAGCCTCAGTTAGTTAAGGCAGGTATCAGCCGGAAGCAGTGCAGCGTTACCATGGGGAATCCCGAAGGTTAAACAGAACGAAAACCAGAAAAAAAGAGGGAAGGGGGCGGGGTAAGGATGTGTATTTCAGAGGGCTGAAGTGAAGAAAAGAAAACAGATATCGGCCATGCAGACAGAGCCTGAAGGGCATGTCCCTGTTTCCTACCAATATTCCACGAATCCTCACCATAGAGTCCCCATTACTCCTTTGCTGTGTAATCCCCTTTGCTTCACCACTCTCCTTTCCCCTTCGACTTGTCTTGTCCATCTTGGAGCCACAGCCATATCTGTTGAAGGCTGACCAACGTATATATGTATGTGTAGACGTAATGATATCTAACCCACTTCGGACCTCGATCGTGATTTGATGCGTATGATGCGATGCACCTTTGGTTCTTCTCGAATCCCCGCCTCCAACAAGTGGAGACTGAACGGCCTCGTGCCGGGACCTCTGAGCAGTCGAGGACCGTCTTCGATTCGTCTTCTATCCCCATCTCCTCCTCTTCCGTCTCCATCTTCTTCCTTTCATGTAACGCGAGATAGCGGTTGCCTGTCTCAGGTTATCGACTCCTCCCCGAGCAGAAGGAGGAGGGTAGTATCAGGCAACATGCCAGCTGTTGAAGCGCATATACCACCCTAAGCCCGCCCTTGCCGTTTCTATTTGTTTTATTTACCGGGCCTTCTTGGACTCCTTGCCAGCAGCCCTCTCGCGGTCGCGCTTGGCATAGATCTCGGCGGTAAAGGGGTTCTCGTAGGTCAAGGCGATGGTATAGACGGTCAGAACCCAGATGGAAATCAACACGCCGGCGGGTTTGCCGTAGACCAGGGCGGTACCGAGGAAGCTCATGGTCGAGCCGTGGTACATGGGAGCGTCGGTAACGCTGAAGGGGAAGCCGGTGACGATGCTGTCCATCAGGATGCCGAAGTAGTCACCCAGGAAGGTACCGGTGATGCCGAGGCGGTAGGTCGAGCTGATGACCAGCACGTTACCGGCCGCCAGGAGGGCGTAGCCCGCATAGGTGGCGGCATCGGTCTCGAGGAGCGGGTGGGAGGGTTGGTGGCGGAGGGCCCGCTCGTATAGGTAGTCGCGGAAGAGGCCGAGGGAGAAGATGGTTATGGCTAGGGCGTAGCACGCTGCTTGGGAGCGACCGCCGAAGATCCTCGTGAGGACCTTATTGTGGTATTCTTTATGAAAGGAAGGAAGAGAACAGTAGAATAGTTCGTCAGCTTCGGCCAGTACGAGGAGATAGATGGATGAACTGGGACCAAGCATAAACTGTCGAGGCCTAATTACCAACCTTGTCTCGCAACAATACTATCGATTTGTTAGCTTTCATCATGCACAACTTCAGTAATGTTGGAGAGGGTTTAACCACGGCGAGGGCTATCTAGCGTACTTCCAGAAGAGGGGGTTGAAGGCAATGGATAGAGCCGAGACTGTACGACAGCAGTACGATCAGTTTCAAGTCATCTGAGGTATCCAGAAGTCCGCAGAAGGTGCCTAAGCTCCCACAACAAGAGGGCGAGAAGCACCGGGCAGATGGGGCAGATCAAGACTGATCACGCACTGAGCAAGCTCTTCTGGTTGAAATCAACCAAGCTGTAGATTGTCAAGGGCGAAGCCATTGTGCATGTACCTAGCTTCTGGGCGTGTGTGTGTGTGAGAGAGAGAGAGAGAGAGAGGGCGATGATAATGAAGATGGATTCGAGCTGTATGCGTCAATTTGCAAGTAGTTGCAGCACACAGGTTTGCCGCAATGGTATATATATATATATATAAAGCAAAAGGAAAAAGAAAAAGAAAACCACCAAAAGAGTAAAATAAGAGAACCAAGCGAAAGGTCCGAGAAAAACCAAACCGAGAAGTCTCAAATCCTGACCTTCCACGTCCCCTGTCGACATGCGGGGACATTTCCGTTACCCTTCGTGACCAATAGGTAGCGTCATCATAGGTATGAAGTACTTCGTACTTCTTTCGCACTGGAATCTTCCCTGATATTCCGTTCCGAGCCTTGGCAGTACCAGCCATTCAAACAATGCCTTGAACTGTAAGGTACCTACCTTAGTTCAAGAGAGAGGCCATTTGCTACGTATCCGTAAGGTAATCGAGTTAGATAAGATCCCATCTATTTAGTAGAGCGTATTGTTCTGTGTTTCGATTTTTCGAGTGCATTTCTGTGCACCGAATATAGAATGGCCATGTTCCTTTCTAAGGGTGTATCGTCTTTCCATCCAATGCCAACGCCACGCTGTCCGATAGCGAAAATGAAAGGAGACCAGGAAGAGTAAATGGGGAAGTAGAAGCAAACCAACAAGGAGTAAAGAGAGAGGAAGGGGGTTTTTTTTTTAAAAGAAAAAGTGGAAAGGGGAGAATACGAGACGGAAATCCGAGCAGGTCACCGGGAAACATCCTTTGCTTTCCCTCCCTCCCCGGGTCGCCGCCACCCCCGCCAAATTCCCGTAAAATTCATCTGTCGTGCCTTCGATTCCTCGTTTTCTTCGGCGCCGTCGTGGTGTCTTCCTCCTCTTCGTCCTGACCCTTCTTGAGGTCCTCCGTCAGTCCCCACTCTTCCTTATCGTACCAATCCTCCCCATCTGACATGTCGCGGTTGGGCCCGCAGTGCGCCTCCGCCTTGGCCCACTGGAGAACGGTCTTTCGCAGCCGATTTGCCTTCAGCAGGCCTTCGTGGAGTTTGTGCGCACCCCGGCAGATCTCCTCCTGCTTCTGTACGTAGAGAGCCACCAGTCGTCGCATGTCCTCTGCCTCCGCTTCCGAGAGCCCTCCGCGATCCACCTGCGCGTTGGGCGGCGGTCGGAATAGAGGGTGGACAAACAGTTCGTCCAACATCTCCGCTGCTACCGACATTGCCTCGCTGTTGTTATTGTTCGTGGTGGTGGTGGTGGTGGTGGTGGCGTTGACCCCAGACGTCCCTTGGCCTGGCTGCGGTACCGTCGACGTTGACCCGTCGTTATCCTGTTGTATGGCGGCCCCGTTGCCCCCGGGGGCCGTTGGTTCTGGTCCTTGGTCGTGTTGTCTTGATGGTGCCTCACTGTGTGATGACGGTTTTTCGTTTCCACCGGGATGTTTCGTGTCGTCGGACGACGGTACTTCTCCATTCGGCCCATGGCGCGATGTGTCGGGTTCATTTGCTGCCCCATTTGCTGGCCGTTTCTCTGCCTTGATCTTCCCCGGGTCGCGTTCCCCGTCTTCTCCGACGTGGGCTTCGGGACCTGCACCTGTACTGCCATTCATAATGGCGTCCGTCATGTATATATCTCCGTCGCCCGCATCCTCTATCCTGGCCTTTTCGGTGGCCAATCCATGCGTGGGCGGCGAACCGTGGGTTGTTGCGCTGTGGGGGCCAGCCTGCCGTACCTGTCCATTGACCCCCGGTCCAGAAAGTGTGGCTGGCGAACCGGTACTGTTTCTGAGCCGGGAAAGACTGGCGTAATCATCGGAGTATAGTTCGATGTCGTTGGGTCCGAGCATCATTTCGCATGGTACCCAGGTATGGTCACCAATCAGTTTTGTAAACAGGTGCTCAATTCGCCAGAGAGCTTTGTTCTCTTTTCGCATGACGTTACAGCTCTGGTCGGTAAGTTCGTTCAGAGTTTTGGATGTGAAGGGTTTCGATAGGATAGGGTGCGTCGGGAGATCGGTCGCCGCTGTCAAAGGCGCAAGCACCTCTTATGGATGCGTTAGTACACGGCCCTCCCCCCAGTTGTGAAAACAGAAATACGTACGCTCTAGCCGAATATTGGCATAAGGATTCAGCTCGGCTGCGGATGCCATGGCTTCCTGCAAGCGTTCTTCGTCGTCATCGCTGTCTACTTCGTAGCCTTCGTCGTCGAGGAGGGGCGGGTTACGGTTGATGATGGTGCGAATTTGACCAGCGTATTCGACATCCTACAGAATCGGTCAGCCGCCCAGTCCCAATTGGATTGACTTTTGACACAAGCTCGAGGAGGTCAGAACATGCCTCTTTGTAGGCTTCAGGACCAGAAGGGGGGACAAGCTGTCCCTGGTGTGCGAACAGTGCTCTCTTTTTAAGCTTATGACCGCGGTTGCTATAATGCTGAATCTCGTTGTCGGAGTCGGATTCTGGGAACGCCCTTGCATTAGCCATGCGGGTGAGGACCAAACGACGGGCCACTCTTGAGGGAGGCCATACCGTAGGCGGTTCTCTTGAGCGCCTTCTTCATTCCAGCCACCGTCTCGCCGAAAAGGACTTGTTGTGCCGCCATGGTGTCTAGTCGCTAGCTAGGTTGAGAATGTCCAGAAAATCGGTTCGGGCGAGGCCCTGGATGGGGAAGATGCAGACCCGAGTTCTGTGTCAGGTCCTCAGCGCTAACTGGCGATACGAGGGCGAGGGAGGAAATAAAGTAAAGAAAAGCCGGCCGTGAGAAGAGCAGGGGGGAAATAGATGACCCAGGATTGAGTGAGGATAGCATTGATACCTGAGTCAGAAGATGGCTTGGCGAAACATGTATTCCTGTAGGCTCGAAAACAGCCCGTAGAAGAATAGTATGGAGAAGTGAATTTTGGGGTGACAGACGAGGCGGGCGGAGAATCTGAAGGACGACCTCTCCAACGAGGCTGACCCGCTGAAGCTGGTCGCGCCCATCAGTGTGCCCATTGTCCGTCCGTCCCCATGACCGCATGTATCCTGTCTAGCCAATTAGGTGCCTGCCCTCGCTGTGAATCCTGGAGGGAGAACTGGGTACTCCGTACGAAATACGGTATACCCAGTACATTTTATACCCCATGCATACTGTGCTAATATCCATTTGTAATACCTACTGTAGCCGGTTCAGCCTTTGGCCCCGCACGAGCCAACCCAGGACCTCAGCTTATCTTATCTCGCCCATTGGTAAGGTACCTACCTAAGGTACCTAGGTAAGTGGGGTGGGTGCTGGGCTGGGTACGTACCGTACCTCCCTCCCGCAAACGGACCGTACCTTACCATGAAGTCGCAGTCGCGATTATTCGACCTACAGAACGTCGACACCTTGGATGCCAAAACCCCTTCTCTTTGGAGCTATCACGGTAGCTCAAGCAGGTATCTCTTTAACATATTCGCATTGAATCTGTCTGCACCTGCGGTTGAGGTTCCAAAAATCGCCTTTATACCGAGCTCCTATGCAAGTTAATACGTTTCCATTAACCCAAGCTCACGACACTGAAGCGATTAGCGATTATTAACACAGAATATGCTCGTATAGTGGTCACGAAAACATCCCGAGTACAAACTTGATGGCTAGGTGACCGGTGACTTTCCTCTATCCTCAGTACTTCTCCGTCCATGCACACCTAGGGGGCCAATATCCGGCGCAAACATGGACGGTTATCCAGCCGGGAGCCTAGATCTAAACGTTCCCTTCCTTGTCGTCGCCGGCCTGACATCCCAACCGCCAAACGACCTACCACTAGACCCCCAGCTGCAGGAACAAGGGATCTTGCTACGCTCCAAATTGCCAAGTCTAGATACAGAGGATGCTAAAGCATTGAGAGATTACATCTCGACTCGCGATGCAAGGGATCAACCATGGAACACGCAGGACCAAAAGCCATACAGGTTCAGGGTTGGGTTTTCTGGAAGGGTAATAAACACGTCGTCTCAATTGCGCTCGCGAGATTATTTCTGACTTGGTTTCATAGTCTTTCATCTTCCCACCTCGTCGAGCCAGACTACCGGACCATGTCGAACCTCCCGAGCTTCCACCCGTGTTGCACTCGCCGTTCTCGCCTCTTAACCCCGTGTCTCCCCTCTATCCCGACGGGCTCATTGACGCCCAATGGCTTCAGAAACATCAGGAGCTTGTGCCCAGCGTTTACCTTTGCGTCTACTCTCTCGAATCGGACCCCACAATGGCTACACTGCACGACAAGAGCCTGAGGACCGACATCAACAACATCAGGCTTGCAGCTGTTCATTCCGGCTATAAGACTCGTATTGCGGTCCTAGTCTTAGGTGACGGTTCCAAGATGTCAAATGACCCGGCGGAAGGCATGCAGGAGAGACTCGACTCCATCCGCAGAGGGGTAGGCTTAGACACCAAGTCGTTCTTCTACATACCGACACAAGATTCACCTGCAGAGCTCGAGCGGGCCACGGACAGTATCCTTTCTACTCTATATACACAGTCCTTGGAATACTACCGTGACCTTGGACGTCATGCTAGGAAGAAGCGAAGTCGAGGTGTTACCCCTCAACCCACGGTTCCCCCGACAACTGGCACTTCTCAGACACTGTCCCTCCAAGGCTGGAACGTGCGTTATGACTTCAAGTCTGCGGTATTTGCGGAGTTTCGACAGGAGATGGACACGGCATTACGATCCTATGACCAGGCTTACGACGGCATTTTGAGTCAGGATGTAATGGATATCCTCCCGAGCTGGAGTCCCCGGTGGAACGAGGCGCGCTTGCTGACAGACGTCATCTCGATTCGCGCCATTCGGTGTGCGTTATGGAATGGCCAGACCACATCAGCAGTCAAACGGTGGCGAGCTCACCGGGATCGCATAGCCGACTTCGTCGACCGGCGCGGGCGCGGCACCAAGAATTACGGATGGGAGGCGTGGCAGTCCAGGTGGGCGCTCGTCATGGCGCGCCTGATAGAGAAAGCCGACCCCTCGAGTTTGAGACCATCGACGCTCACACTCTTCATCCCCCCGGAAAAGATTGTCGTGGGAGAGCATCTCCAACCTTGGGAAATGCTTCATCACAAAGGCTACTGGTATCGCCTTGCTGCGCGGCATCTCGTCTCGCGTCGTCGATTAGCCCATGCCATGCCCGAGGAGGACAGGAGAGCGCCAGGAGACTCGCCGGCCTCTGTTGTAGCGAGTAGAGCGTACACGTATGACACATACTTGTGCCCGGAGCCGCATGAAGAATATCCACTGGTTGGGAAGGGCACGGATCATTCCCAACTTATTATCGATTGCTTGGAGCTGGCTAGGTCTGAATTCCAAAGCCGGAAGCAACTCCGGGCATCCGCAGAAATCACGCTTGAATGGGCCAAGGAACTAGCGCGTGTGGAAGCCTGGGAGGACGTCGTTGCTTTGCTGAAGCCACTTTGGACCGACATGTCGTTTCGAAGAGAAGGCTGGCTGAATATTGCCGAGGACCTCAGTTGGGTACTGCGCGCTGCGGCTGCACGTATTGGACTAGGAGATGTTGTCGTCTCTATTGACTGGGAACTCCTGAACAAGCGTACGCAAAAATCCTCTGTATTGCCAGGCTGTGTCTTGCTAACCTGACGAGTAGAATTCACCAAACGGCCAGACTGGGAGTACGACCTCTCCAAGTCGCTCGAAGGCGTTCAGACCAAGTCGAAGCCGACGATAGCCTTGACAGATGACACCGTGTCGTCCTTCGTCTTTGCGTCCTTCATTTTCAAGAACGAAGAAGGGAGGGCAGGCGAAACATGCCGGGCGCAACTCACTCTTACGTCCCATGCGTTCCAGTTCTCTGCACCAGTGCGGTTCAGACAAGTGCGTGTTGATTTTGATGGCAGCCTAGGAACGATTATCCTCGATCAAGAAACTGGATCCCATCCGGATTCGACTTATACCAAAGACGATACTACATTATCAATCGTGCCTCTGACGGAAAATGTGCGAAGCGATGATGACTCGGAGGAAGTCGAGAGAGGCTCTGTGCTTCATGGGCCGGCCGATCTAGAGCTCAAGGCGGGCTGCACCAAAGCCTTTGAGATGGCCATTCCGCTGCGGGAACCGGGAGAGGCGCGTGCCGCATCTGTAGAGCTCTTGGTTGATAGCGATGCATTTGCGCTGAGCTATACGATTAGTTTTGGCGAAGTCAATACGGCCAATATCTGGTTTGGACCGTCTTTGTCCACCAGACGCATTCCACGGCCCAAGCCCCACGCTATTCAGATTCAGCCGAGGCCTCCCAAGGTGGATATCACACACATCAATCCTCTGAGCCAGTACTACACTGATGAGCGCATCGACTTGGTTTTGGATATTGTTAACGCTGAAGACGCGGACGCAGTCGCGAAGCTGGAGGTCCACGTCCTGGGCGATCACATCCCGGCATTCAGCATCGAGTTGGAGGAGGGGGAGAAGCAGGAAGCAGATGCCTCCCAGTCAGAATCGAAGCTCACTAATATCTCACTTGGTACGCTGGGCACCTCCAAGCCGGCCCGAGCGAGACTCAGCCTGGAGCCGTCACGGATGCCCATGCCATATGAGATCACGGCTAAAGTCACGTACCACCTCGTCACGGACCCTATTACGCCCATTATGCAGAGCAAGACCTTCCATATCGACATTGCCAACCCTTTCGAAGCAAACTACGACTTTCTTCCGCGGCTTCACCCCGACCCTTGGCCCAGCTTGTTCGACTATGAAGGGGCACGTGACCTGGGAGATGGAGATGAAGCAGCGGCCCCCGCCCACCCCCGGTGCCTGGCGCAGAAGTGGTGTCTCGTCTGCCATTATGCCTCGTTTGCGAGCGAGGATCTGCAGATCTTGGAACTGGAGGCCAAGGTGCTCGCCTGCCAGCCAAGTGCCCGTTGCATTTCGATAAGCCAACTCGACCTGCCCCCGGACGGATTGACGATACCGCCAAAGTCGATGCAGGAAGTCAGATTCGATATGGTCGTCCAGAAACTGAGCCTGGACGAGCGCGGGCCGGCATCGCTCGATGCAGCCTTCATGCTCAAGTGGAGGAGGCGCCGCGATGCGCAGTCTGGCGATGGCGCGGCGATCAATACGACGACGATGCCAGTGCCGCGCTCGATCGTGCTTGGGATAGAACCCCGCGTACTTGGGTCGGTATCGCATGGGGACGTCGGTACGGGTCTCATGCAGCTGGATCTGACCATCGAGAACGCGTCGGGCCACTTCCTGACGTTCGGAGTGACCATGGAGCCGAGCGATGAGTTTGCTTTCTCCGGGGCCAAGCAGACGACGCTGCACGTCCTCCCCATCAGCAGGCGCACGATATCTTACCGCTTGCTTCCTTTGGTTCGGGGATGTTTCGTACGGCCGCAGCTGGTGGTGAGGGACAAGTACTTCCAGAAAGTGCTGCGAATCATACCCACAGAGGACATGAAGATGGATAAGGACGGGCTCCTGATATGGGTTCCGCCTGCTCCTGAGGAAGCTGACGGGGAGGAGAGCGGGAGGAAAGGTCTGGATGGATGATTTTCTTTGCACTTCGCATCCTCGTAGCGTTGAGTGAGGGCAACTGCATAACATGATCCGTCTAAACCGGCTTCGCTGGGACTTTGCTGGGATAGGCGGACAACTGCCAATAAAGACGCACTTTGGCCAGGCCATTACTTTGATTCAGAACCCCTGGTTCCTCGTTTTGCCCTTTTGTTTGTGTCGTTAATGAACGGAAACGTCGGTATGGAACCTTATTGAAGCGCCTGTTCATTGGAGCCACGCCAATCAAAGTGACCTAGTACATTCACAGGCGTTCAAGCCGTACGCAGTGCAGGCAGTCTGCAGCAGCGTAATTAATGTGAAGCTGCAGATGGAGGAAAAGGAAGAAAGGGGGGGTGGGGAGTTGGAGTTGGAGTTGGAGTTGGGGTCGAGATGAGGAGAAAGGCGCGAAGTATTAAGGAGTACCTTAATTATCAAGGTAATACACAGTTCCGGTACCCGGCAGATGCGAGATGCAGGAGACGGAGCGGGAAGAGAGTGTTTCTCTGTTTCTTGAGGTTTTGATTAGCCGCTTTCACGCTGAAAGGAAGAAAAAGAAAGAAAGGCGAAGCCTGACTGCGTATTCTTTGTAGTGGAGGATTCGGCGGCTCCTAATCAGCTACGCTCATTCGCCAATTTGCCAGAGTACAGTTTGCCGGGCCCCGGATGCGCAATGAAATCTCGGTCCGGACACCGCATGATCTCCCGAGTCATCCTCAACAGGGAAGCAGAATGCTGTACCGGACTATGTGACAGCGTACAGAGTTGACAAGAACCGTGATCATACAGTAATTAGCTTGGGTCGGATGCTTGCGTTGGGAGCCCAAGAAACAAACCGGAGTTGGAGCCGGGAAACCAGGATAGGGGCTCCTGTCAGGGGGGGCCTCAGGGGTCACTCAGGGGTTAACAGTCTGGACAAGAAAATGAGTGGAAAGCGGATTCTCAACCAGCTTATTTTATAGGTACCGCCACCGTCACCTGCTCCCCCTTCTTTCTTTCTTGCTTTCCTTTTTTTTGCTCCTGTTTAAATTAAACTTGACCGCCGATCTTGGTAGCCATGTGCAATATTGTAGCACTTCAATATCGACGACGTGAGGGAGCTGCATCCATCGTCCTAAGGGCTGGCTGGGTCTCCTGAATAATGCCTGTCCATCATCGGACTGTACCTTAAGGTACCTTATTGTATGTACGAAGCATATAGTAGTGACGAAGGTCTACCTTAGACGCCGACCTTCGCCCCCAACTCTCTTCCTCCCCCTTTCCTCAAATCTAGTACAACGTAATTACTATTCGTAAGGTGGTGCGGGTATGCTTGCGCCGAGTACTTCGTAGTGCACTGTAATTATTTTATTTCTGCCAGCCCCTGATTCATGCCGTCGTAGCAGTACCTTATGGATACTTTTTCATATGGCCAGTAAGTACTTCGTACCTTACTGAGGACAAAATGGACCATCTGACTTTGGATCAGGTGTCACAATGGAGGAAGGAGTGCCTTGAAAAAAGTGCTCCCTGGACAGAGTCACAGGAATACAACGTACTTTCTAATCATGTCGCCATGCACAGAAGCCAAAGGAGGCTTTGTCTGTATCCATACCCACGCCGTATAGTGGTCTGTGGTCGATGACGGTCTGTGATGGATCTGCAAACTAGACCGACTCAAATCTGGGTCCGCGGAGGGGGGTTGACAAGGTGGTGAGGATCGCTTCGTGGCCCCTGAGCTCCTTTAATAGTGACGTGTACAGTGGGTGAGCAATAATGTCGGTACATTTCAAAGATGCAGTGATTCGTTACTTTTGCAACATAATATGGTTTTGCCCTGATATAAAAGTGTTCCATAAAAGTTTCGAAGCATTCTACTTTGGGTTGTCCCGAAATTTTTGCTCACTCACTGTACCTGATACGAAATGAGAAGACGTCTCGGTACCAGAGCACCAGAGCAGGCCCCTGAGCGCGCCAAAACGGCCAAACAGACTACCTTCAGTGATACCTGATACCAGTAATGTACCAACGTAGACATACAGATACGTAAGGTACCTTACCTTGTCTGCACGTCCTTTTCTGTTTAAGGTACATAAGTACCTTACCTTAGGTAGCTTCCATTCACTAAGTTACGTACCTGTAAGGTATTGCCTTAGATACCTCGCCTTATATTCACAGCACCGGTGTTCTCCAACGGTAGAAGGTGGAACCTACCCTCGGCGCCTGCCTCTTGACCAAAAGTCGTAGGCATAGCTAATTAAAACTGGGTGACATCCTTCAACAACCAGTTGCCCCTTTCCTCTTAGGTCGACTTTTTTTTTCTCTCTCGTCTCTCCGTTGCATTTGTGACAGTCACTCTTTTATTTCCATTTATTGTTTCTATCTTATTATATTCATTCTTTTCTTCTCATTCATTCTCTATTGCCGTCGCCTTGTTACTCAAATTCCGAATTCAGCCCCTCGTTTCAACCTCCAACAGAAAACTAATGACGAGAGAACGTGCCCCGGGTTCTAGACTACGCCCTCAGAGATAGGCTTCCTCTGAGAGACTCGTTTCCTTCCAACACAACGCCGCACCACCTCGACATCCGCGGTGGATCCTCCTCTCACGCTTAAGCTGTTACAGCTCTTCTCCGTTGCGGAATCTCCAGGTAGCGACGGATTCTGCTCGACAATTTGCCTACGCTATCTATCCATCTCAGGCGCATAATTCGTTCCTCACCGGCTTTGATATAAGGCCCTCTCTGGTTCAGACGCTTCTCGTCTTCAACACTCGTTTGTCTACTTGCTTAATACCTACGTACCCTGATACAACCGACCTAGATTGCCGCCACGCGCCGTCGCTTTCCCTTTTGTTTCCCCTTTTTTTCCGGCCCTTATGACGGTCGACTGCTCTGCTCCCCGAGAGCTCTTGTTGCTACTACAATCGCCCAATACACCTGGAGAATCAACTCCACCAATCCTTCCCTCCTTACCCTGCCATACTCTCGACTTCTCACCTCAACCATGGCCGAATCCGGGACCAATTCAACCGGCAGCACCCCGAAATACTATGCCCCTAAGGACAAGAGCTGTCCCTACTGTGGCCAGGTCTTTACATCTTCCTCGCTCGGACGCCACCTCGACCTCTATATTAAAGACAAGAACCCCAAGCCCCCAGATGGTATTCACGATATCGACGAAATTCGAAGGGTTCGAGGGAACATCACACGGCGCCAGCCTCGGCCCCGCGGCTCACTAGGCCGCGCCGTGTCCACCCCAACCGGTACTCCCAGGCCAAGTCTAAGGAGGGAATCTCTGAGGAACCCAGAAACCTGCCAGACGCCCGGCTTACCCAGAGAGGGACAGTACGTGGTGGATTCCAGACTGAGCAGGTTTCCCCTCACACCGGGATGGGACCAACCCACTACCAACGGGATACACTCGCGGACGCCCGAATTTTCTCAAGGACCGCCCGCAGTTGCGGGCGGTGCCCAGGATGCTGCTCAGAGGCCAGGCATGTCGAGACAAGTCAGTAAACAGGTGTTGCAAAAGGCCCAGCTCGACGTCAAACATCGCTTGACCGACGCAATGGACACGGCCAGGGCCGCCGAGCTGGCGCTGCGGGAAGTATTGAGCTCATGGCGGGCTGCCAGGTAAGAGACACGTCCCAGATCTCACATTGTCCCAAGAGTCGGCTGCATTGAGAGCTAACAAGTTTCTGTGTGTAACAGGCAACAACTCGACAACAAGACCATGCCGTTGGACTTCGACCCTCTCTCCCTCGACTTTCCCGCCCTGACGCTTCAATGCCTGCAACCGCCCCCCACGCTCTTCTCTTCTACACAACATCCGACTTCCACCTCGTGGTCCGTGCAGTTCCCAGGTCAAAGGGAGTTCGATGCGCTGCGAGCTTACTTCCAAGAAGAGTTTCGAGCATGGAGGGCAACCCGCGCCGCAGCCACGAGTGCCGCCATGGATGAATTGATCTACCATCCCTGTGATGGTTCATCGCGGGATTCTCGAGAGGCCATCAAGAAGGCAGAGAAACAGGCGGACTCACTAGAGCGCCAAGTGAATGAACATCTGCAGTCTGCCTACGCAGTGTGGGATGCCCTGCCGTCGCAGAGGCGCAACGAGCTATGGGTGCTAGAGCTAGCAAGAAGTGTGGGAAGGAGGCAGAAAGAAGCGGAGGCTATGAAATCAGACCAGCATAAGCTGAAGCAGGAGATCGCCAATCTCAAGACCCAGATAGACCAGCTCGTGCATTGGCAACAGCCGTGGGAGTTTGGGATGGTCACGCCGACCACCATACCGCTCGACCAACAGCTGGTGGCACATGTCCTTGAGGCCGGGGGCAGAGGCGGCCGGGGTGTCGGTGTGGCATCAGACGACTCGCATCTGGATCTGAATGAAATCACCACGCGCTCGATTGAACGATGGAAGAAGGTCATAACATCGAACCGTGCCGCGTCCGGTGGCATGAGCGCTCAGCGGCCACTCAATCAGACTCTGAACGGGACGTCGGCAGCGACACCCACTGCAACAGTCCAGCAGCAACAAGGACAACCGCAGCAGCATCAGCATCAGCATCAGCATCAGCATCAGCATCAGCAACAACAGCCACGGCAACAGCCACGGCAACACCAATCGCACATGCACTCTCAAGCGCCGTCACAGGGGATGCACCAGGTTTCGCGACCATCAACGTCGCTACAACGACAGTCTACAAATACAAGTGTCACAGGTCAAAGCGATCATACTGCGGCGTCCACAGTCGGACCGTCGTCCATTTATAAAAGTGAACGGGATGCCGATGCGGATGCCGATGCTGATGCAGACGCCGATGCAGACACAGATTCTGACGCCGACGCCGACGCCGACGCCGACGCCGATGCCGATATCGATGCCGATGGGGACGCAGATGGGGATGCATATGGGGATGCAGATGCAGACGGCGATGTGGATGCCGATGGCGACATGGATGCCGACGCCGACCTAGATATCGACACTGAAATGGACGATAAAAACCTCTCCATGATAAAAACGTCGCCAAGGCCGTTATCATCACGACCCATGCAGCAGCAGGCTACGCTCCAGGTGCCACGGACCCGTGGTCCCATTCAGCACCGTGCAGGAGATGCGCGGTTCACGCTACAAACAGGTGCAGATCGGGGGCACATCAACTTGAGTCGGTCCATGCCGAACATGCAGCCTTCAATGCAAGGCATTCTTGTTAACGACATGGTCATGGCTGGTGATCGGGGGGACCCGATGTATATGGATTGAAGATGGGATCAAAGAAGCGAAGCTTAATATGTTTTATTTTTCTCTTCTTTTCTATTTATTTTCTTTCTTTTTACTCTTTCATGTAAACCTCGACACCTTGGAATCTTTTCTTGGATGATCTTCCCTTGGCCGAAACATAACGGCCAATGTTCTCAGGGGTGGTTGGAACAAAACTGGCCCACCCCTTGTATAGACACGATAAGGCTCGAGACACTGGGTTCTGAAGGGTGGCCCCCATTCACCAAAGCCCATTACTTCCTACAACCTTTTGGATATATGCTGTGTTAATACGGACTTTCATATTGGATGGGTTGAAACCATTCTCATAGCCCGATTTCTTTGGAGGCGGGTGATGTATTGGGTATTCTTCTGTTCCACTTCAAACGGCACAGCAAGGCGAACACGAACAGCGAGACATGTGAAGGAATATCTGCTTGATGGTGAGCCTTTCAGCATGTTACTTACCTTGACCAGAAAACGACATAATCAACGTCGCTCCCCATCACTCTGAACGCTTGTCAACGGAACCGCCGATAAAAATCAGCTTCAGGGGTCTATGGATAGTATCTAACTACACTCAACTTAATAACTGAGCAGCCCTGCTGTGTCCGAGGCTCAATACCCAAAATCCTCCCAGACAACCTCCTCCCCCTCCAGCCATTCCCGCAAGTCCTTCAGCAGAGCAGGTCCCGCGCAAAGGAAGAACTTCCTTCTCGTTGTATTCTCGTCGTTACTCGGCGGCTGTTCGGCAACCACGTCCTCTTTCTGAATCCTTCTCCGCTCAAGACCCGCAACGCCGAGTTTCTCAAGCTTCGAGACGGGATCATCTTCCCCTCCGTCGGCTTCTCCTTGCGGGACGGTCCCGGTCACGAACAACTTCACCCGCTCAGCCAGCCCGGGTATCCGTTCCAGAGAGTCGACAACGAGTCCTAGGTCCGCAGCCCGCAGGGTCCACAGGACTCGGAACGCCGCCGGTGCGCCCCCGCTTCCAGCTATTTGGAGGAGCTCCGGCGCCTGCGCGAGTAGAGGTGTGATACCCACACCTCCTGCTACGAAAAGTGCCTCACCCTGTCCTCCCTCGAGGGCCGGGGCGATACGGAACCGCTCTCCGCCGCCGAAGCCGCGGAGGGGAATCTCCAGCGGAAGGCCGTTGTTGAGATTGTATCTCTGAAGGTGACTCGTGGTGGGACCGCCCACCCTGGCCGTGATCTGCACCTCCAGAGGCTCTGCACCAGACGATGTCCGCGGCGGCGGATGATTCGACACGGTGAATGTCCGGATATAGTCGTCGTTGAGGCTCCGCGGGTCGCTGTCGCACATGTGTTCCCAGCCGTGGTCGAGCTCGGGGGCGAAATCGAGAGTGGCGTGTTGGCCGGGCTGCCAGGTCGGCGCGGGTTTTCCCTCGCTACCCGGTGCCGGTGTCAGCTTGAAGGTGAAGCGCGTGATGCTGGGCGATAGCGGCTCGCGACGGGACAGGGTGAGGACGGCGGAGGTGGGGGAAGCGGAAGCCACGGGATCGACGGCCCCTTCCGAGATGAGGGCTCGAACCGAAGGGTTGTAAGGAGAGTAGTCTACCGCAGATACATTGCGGAATGGCAGGCCCCCTTGCACGAAAATGGCGGAGGAGACGATGATCTTGACGGCGAAGTTGGTGCGCGGCATGTAGGCGGCGGCATCAGAACCGAAGAGGAGGTCTGTTGTTCCTGTGATCTGGATAGGAGTCTGATGTTAAGATTTTGGGTACATTCATCGCTGCCCTCCGTTGATTGAAGGTGAGTCGAGCCTCGGATTTCTGTGCTTGAACATGACTTACATAAAGAACATCGGATGTGTCAAAGTTTGGGACGACGATACCGAGACGGGGGTCGATTTTGAGATTCCCCAGCGTCTGATAATAACGGTTTCCGGAATCTGAGATTTCGGGGCCCAGGTTAGAGAAACTACCTATGAGTGGTTGTTCACACGAGGTGTGTGTAATTCCCCCTTCTCTACCGTTGACCCTACCCCGGCGAGCCAGAGCCAAAGGGGAAGGATGATGACAGTTACTCACATTCGGGGAACACCAATTCGACACCTCCTTCGTCATTCCGCGCCACTCTCACAAAGCCAGGAGGTCCACCGCGATGGTTCGAATCCATCGAGTTCCCATCGGTGCTCGAGAGGAAGAAGAGATCCGCCTGCTTGATGACATTCACGGCGTCGTCGCTCAGCGGCAGTGTACGTTCCACCTTGCCAGGGGTCGGCGTCCGCGGCGCCACCTCACGCTTATTGAGGTACTTGGGGCAGTTGCCCAAGCTCTCGTTGATAGCGAACGCCATCTGCAGCTCGCCGCTGCTGTTTCCGGCGCCGCCGTCCTGCCGCTTCAAATCCGTCACAGCGCCTGCGATCATGTGTCCGCCCAACTTGACGCGGTCCCGGTGCGAGAGGTCAATGGACGCACCGGAGATCATCTTTCCCTGGCCGTCGTTAGGCCGCACCACGGCATTCAGCTCCACGCCACCGGTCTCGTCGAGTCCCCAAAGCGCCCTGAACACGGGGTCGTTATCCACATCCACCTCGCCCCGTACGCCGAGGACGTTCTCGGCAATCGGCCGGGCGAATCCTCTCTCGCCGGCCCAGACCGTGGTCCAAGGTCGGCCCTGGGCGTCGAGCGTACCAAGGGCTAGCATTGGTGATACTGAAACGCGAAGACCAAAGGGCCCCGACAGGCCCGGGAAGGTCGGGTTGTAAATGTCCGGTACTTTGAGCATACGTTGCACTTCCAACTCGCCATGATGCCACCCGAAACCCGCACCACCGAGTGTCGCCATGTTGAACGCTACGAATTGAGGTGGCAGCAACTGAGGATGATGAGCGGTTCCTATGACCGAGGTGAGGAGAGCAAAGGAAAGCGATAGGTCCCTCATGATGGTTAGGAGACGCCCCCAGCAGTTCCCCTCCCCTTTTTCTATCTTTTCCACCTACGGCATTGACTTATTTTTTTTCTCCCTTTTTTTTCTTCTTTTTCCGCAGGTAATTCTGTTGCTCCCATCTATTAATACCCCGCGTTGGATCTTCCTCTAATTTGTCATTGGGTATTATCAAAGTCCGAGAATCCTCCAGGTGTCCACGACCCCTCCGTCCGTCCTGTACGCACTGTGCCTCCTTGTCAGTGTTGGTACATACCGGGTTGACGACAAGGCCCACTAATTTCTGTCTTCACCACCACCACCAGTCATCGAGGTTCGTATCCCCTGTTTTACCTGCCGCTTTGGCACTGTGCTTCCCGCGCCGGCCCCCACGTTTTGGTTACGCTCCCCCCACCGGTAGCGCCAACGCGCCATTTCTGCGGGGCACCTCGTCATTTCCTCGGCTTTCAATTCATTCCACCGAACTACCATCCCATATCCGAGTACATAGGGCAGCGGGAGTAGAAGTAGGGCCAGACGCTTAGCAGAGCCGGCTTCACTAATCAATCATAGCGTATGCTTAATAGAAACGAGATCGGCGCCTGAACCAAAATGTCGAGGTTCTGGACATATGTACGATCGAGCTCACTCACATTAACAAACACTCAAAGAAGCGCAGGGCCTGACTCCTGTAGACCATTGCCGATTGGTGGATCGTTTGGGACTAAGCCTACCTGTAGACGCGCCCTTCGCACTACAACACTGCTTAATTGCAGTGGATGTATAGCAAATTAGAACTAGGTAGTTGGGGGTTTCCTTACCATCATGACAAAGCAAAGTCATGCCGTAGAAGCGAGGTTCACCTGATGCCACATCAAGGGCGTGTCGTTCAAAGTATCGACCAACCAGAAATGTCTTGAATAAATAATGATCGAGGTTTGAGTCGGTCCTCGCATCTCTAAATGTGTCGCGTCGCAATCGGAAGCGCAACGGACATCACCAATCCAACTCCCATCATGACATGAAATGCGTATGTAGGCAAACGTGCCCCCTACGCCAGTAGGTAAGGGTATCCATCATGAAGTAATTACAAAAACGTTGGTATCTCGCGGGGTCATACATTGGTGTTCTCGGGTCTTACTTGAGGAGAAGGAGATACTGCTACTAGTAGTATCTTCGTTCCCTCTGCGACTCTAGGTCCGTATCGTACCTATCATAGCTATGTGCTCCGGGCCCGCGAGGACCCGGTTGTTGTTGGCCTTGTGGTGTTCCCGCACCATCAAAATAGTCAGAAAAGTCGAAATAGTCGTCCTCTTGCGGCGCCATTGGCGCCGTCATGTTTCGTTGTGGAACGTGGCGGGGCCCAGGTCCCGGTCTAATACCCGGCCCGCCTAAGGGCATGGGGCCCGTGGCACTCCGGACCGGGGGGCGCGGCTGGTAGCCGGGTCTCATGCTTCCGGGAGGACCGGGGCGGAGTGCACGGGGTGCGGCTGATCGGTCCGAAAATGTTGATGGGGCCAGACTGGCACGGTCACTGGGGTATTGTGAAGAATCCACATAGCCGGGCCTGCCCTGCCCAGATGGCGCCCTGCCGTAACTGTGGAGTGACGGCGCTGTCGGAGATCTCACTGGGGGAGGGAAAGACGGCATGGTTTCCGAAGAATAGGTGGCCGGACTCTCGGTCATGATGTTATGATGAAGCGTGGATGAAGAGGAAGAAAATGTCGAGGCGTGGTGCAAAGGGGGAGGGCCGTTTCGCAGTGAATGGGACGTATCCGAGCGCGCCGGTGGCCCATAATACTCGTCGCCTCTTCGTGAGGGCAACGAGCCGGCTAGTGATATCGGGGTGCTGTATCCCATTTCGGCGCTGTTGCTCGCAAGCGGAGCTTCGGGCGCATAGCTGTTGGACGACGTCGTTGTGGATGTGCCCCTCCTCGACGGCATCGGTCGTTTTCGGTCCATCGCGCCGAGTTCGATACTGCCAGGGGTCCCAGGTCGTGACGTATAAGGAGGCAAGGACGCATTCGTTGGTTTCCGATCGAGCTGGGGCATCTCGGGAAGTTTGTCGGGTTCGCCCATGTCGGGAAGCGTCGGGAGGGTAGCTTGACGGGATAGCTTGGGGGGCTCGAAACCGTTCTTTAGGGCTTCTTTGGCTTCCGCCTTGAGTTTCTTCTGTTCTTCCCTAGCGAAAGCCTTTTCCACCTTTTCATGCACGATTTTGGTGAGAGACTTGTTCACTTTGCGTTCGCAGTAGGCCGAGAGACCTCCATCGGCCCGGGGGATCCAATGCCAGAGGAACAAGACGTAGAAGAGAACGGCGGCAAGGAGGAAAAGGGCGGAGAAGATCCAAATGACGAGAGTGAAGAGCATGCCCGACAGGATGACCATCTGCTGTTGGTCTTCCATGGCCAATTGGCGAATCTTATCGAAGAAGCCCAAGATTTCCTGTCCTACATCGGAACCGCCGTCACTCGAGAGTTTGGCCACATAGACAGACCTCAAGGTCAGGGCGTTGATAACCTGACGGGGCCCAGAACACAGGATGACGCGAATCCACGCTGCAGGCAGGCTGTTAGCAAAAAAAAAAAAAGGAGTTCGTACACGAGGGCAGAGAGGCTAGGGAGGGGAAAGGGTCCGCGAACATTGAAAGCTAAAGTAGGTGAAGAGGGCAATGTACTCGGCGCCCTTTTTGCTCTTGGTAAGCTCGGCAAAGACGAGAAAGCGTTTGAAGCCCTGGCCTTTGCCAAAGCGGAGACTCTCGAGACGGACAGCGATGTTATCGAGATAGCACTCGGCGATGTTTCCTCGCTTCATGACGCGCATGGCTCTGAGCTGTTCAAAGGCAAGGTTGACAAAGGAGGCAATAATGCAGGCGGAAAAGATCCATTTCGAGATCTGGAAATCAATGGCGGGCTGAATGGCAGAGGACCATCGGTCAAAGGCGAGCAAGTTGATAGCGGTAAAGGTATCAACACCGTAAACGGCGATGGAGACGATAAGCATAAACCACAAGTAGACGTAGGCGAAAGGAGTGCCGCAGCCTTTAGACTTGAAGTCGTTGAGATTCTACGAGATGGGGGTTAGCGAACATGTGATCGGACGGGCAGTAGAAGAGTGGGATTGTTCGGGGGAGAAAAGGGGGGGGGAAGATGGGCAAGCTTACGATGTAGTCCCATTTCTGCTCAGGCCGGCCCTCAACTGGTTTTCGGCGATGGGTGCAACAGCCCATACTGAATCATGCGCGAAAATGACCCGATCGATTGACTGTAAGGTTAGAAAACCAAAGGGGCCACCTGGCAGTCTAGGCGAACAAAGAACGAGTAGGGAGAGGGAATGAAAATCAATAGCGACAGGACGAGGTCGTGGTGGTCGAGGACAACCATATCAGGTTGTCGATTGAACGAGAGGGTGTTCGGATTCGGGCCGGCCGTCAACACATGTCGTTCTTCGCCCGCGAAGTGACCGACTGTGTTTGTTGGAAGAGGTGGTAGTGGTGGCGGCGCCAGAGACTCCGATTGCAAGAGATTGTCCAAGTGACCAAGAGGATGTAAAAAAGGTACAGTAAAAGCAAAGAACAGAAGACGAAAAACGTCAAAAATGAAGGGATTGAAAACAAGGACCGGAAAGGAAAGGTGGTACGTTGTATGAGCTGGCGACCGCGACCGCCGACGGGTGAATAGGGTTCTGATTATGAAACGAGGCGACGTTGTGTCACAATCGAGCAGGCCGGAGGATGATGGGCTGCGGTTAAGGACGGGAAAGATGCCGACAGAGAAACTGGTCTCTTTTTTTCTCGGTGACGATCTTCTACTCTTGCCGCTGTTGCCCCTTGGACGTTTGATCGACCGCACCAGGCGAGTGAAATGACGCGACACCAAAGAATGCAGTGTCGCCGACACAAACAATAGATAGGGTTTGTAAAGCCGCAGGCGCTCGGGGTCCTGCTACACGTCGTGTGCCGTATGTCGAGTACAGGGTGGCAATGAATAAGAGCCGGGACGGCGAGTCGAAAGCGAAGGACGATAGGGAGTGGCGAGCAGCTTTCGGTTTATCTTCTGACAAGAAATGAGCGGCGGCGTATAATGAGGGAAACACGCGAGAACATGAAATGCAAACAACTGAGCACCTTCCCTTGGGAATTGAGGGTTGACGGTGTGGAATGGATATTACGCGGGGGGTTGGGGGGAACGGGAATTGAAGAGGAATGATGATGGGATGGAACGAAGGGGACGGGAGTGGGGAGGATAATTAGGACGATAACCAGGATCAACCACCAAACTACCCCGGAATCTGCATGGAGGGAGCCGGTCTCTGTTTTGTATGTGCGAAGTACCGTTGTACCTACATACATTTACAAAACGGTAATTACAACGTACGTGGTAACAAGCAGGTGCGACGGGGGGGGGGCTCCTAAAGTTCTTTAAGGGCATGAAGTACGAAGTAGAGACGCGGGACGAGTGTAATAGGTAAGGTACCTTAGGGAATTAAGGTAGGGAAATAATGGCAATAATAACCCCACGATAGCAGAATAGGTACAACGTACGTACCATCTCTGTAGAACAGTATGACGCGGAAAGAACAAAGGTCCCTGCCTATCATTTCACTAGGTTCGTGGGAGATGGAAGCGCGGGAGATAGAAACGCGGGAGGCAGGCGACGTTGAAGGTGAAATGGGGAGGAGTGGACGGGTTAAGAATGGGACGGTACGCTAGCACGAATAAACATGGTCAATAGGACTGAACCTTCGTCCCATGAATGGAGAAGAAGGGACCTATCTGCGCAGTCCTCGACGCAGGTACCGCGCGCCACCACCTCTTGAAACGGATTAGTGGGTGACACCAGGACTGGGCACGCGCCAGACCACGTCCCATTGGCTATTAACGGCTTTCTCAGCCAACAAGGAGCTTGCCCCTTGCTGAATCCCTGCTCCCTCACTTCATGTGTACAACGTAACTCACAACGTACAACGTACAACGTAATTACAGCGCTTCACCAAGACAAAAGTGGGATGGAGTTTGTCACGTGCGATGTACCCGATTCCTTTTGGATGTCTTCGGTCTGGGCGGGGCAAGTCAGCTGCTTCGTACGTACATACATAGTGATTGCGGTTGCAATCAATGCCAATCAACGACACATTGATCTTCATCTTGGTCCAACCCGGAACAGTCTCTTCGGCTCGGTTCTCGGTCGCACGAGGCTCACGGCGTCCTTGGTCCTATCACTCAACAGGTTCAACAGTGGCAGCGATCCTGGCGCCGAGCGACTCGATCTAGGTACATACTCAACGAAGCACGATCTACTCGTCCATAATGAAGCTCAGCCAGACCGGGCCAGCTTCCGCGGTCTTGTAAGTTAATCAAGTGAGGCTCCTGTATTTCTTCCCTTTCCTCTCGCTACGTCCTGAACAAAGGAACGCCATGCCAAGGCGAAAAAAGACGGCACGACAAAGGACTATATCCGCATCCGGGTGGACACTAATTACGAGCTCACTCGCTCATTGTCTATTTACTTTGTTTGGCACAAAGCCTCGCTCCACTCTACCATTCCTCGAATAGTGTATATGCACCCCCAATTCACCAACAAAGGAGAGGGGGTAAGGATCCGAGGAAAAAGGATGTCCATCGCCCTGCTTATCTTGAGCTCGAGCTCCCCGAGTCGTATTGTGCAGCAGGTCTTGAATGGAGGCCCTGGCTACTGGGCTAGTACGTCTTCTGGTGAAGTTGGAGGCATCAATAATGTGCATTTACGAACATTTACGAATTGCAACTCGACAGGTATCCCCCTTTTAGCATCCTGTACGCCGTATTGAACCTCGCTCGGCCCATCCGACAAAGAAACTCCTTGCCAAATACGAGAACGATTCTTTGTTGTTGACCCCAGGGAGGTTGCTAAGATGAAGCCCGCCATGATATACATGCTTGAAATCCCCCCGGTGTCCCATCCTCCTATCATTGATATTGAGGTTCCCAGTCAGTTCGATATTTCAGCTCTACTGCGGGACAGCTCAACACCGACACGTACAAGTATCCTCGTCAACTCCAACGTCTCTTGCTCATCTCAGAGACAGGATCCGAAGCCAATCAAAAAGAGTTGAAGAAAAGACCAGATACAGCGTAAAATGGACCCAAAATCCCAGCAGTTTCAGCTTGTCAAGAAGCTCACAGATGAAATATGGCTGGCCACGAGACCCGAGAGTGGGGAGGAATTCCTAGCCAAGCGGATCGATGATTTCGACGAGTACTTCCGGTCTCGCTTCGAGGGATCAGGAAAGCAGCAGCGCCAGGCCAAGGGATTGATGGACCTCGTCTACGAGCACAACATCGGGCGCAACATCTCTCACGTCCTCAACCACGAGAACCTTGTATCGCTAGCCGGCTATCTGCGCCAGAAGCCTCTCAATCCCAAACCCTTCGATACCAAGCAGGCTACGGATGACTATCTCGTATGGGACAACTGCGATGCTGGGTTCCTCGAGCTCCTAGTGATCAACGGGGGTGGAAAGGGCCGGCGCAAGTCGTTCCTGCCCGAGTCACTCTGCTGGCATGTCCTCACCTCGGTCATGCGCGCTCTTACCTGGCTCCACGACGGATATCGGCTGGGAACCAACTGGGACACGGGGGAGCAGAAGTGGATAAAGACCGACATGGACTGGATGCCCATCCTCCACCGTGACATCACAGCCACCAGCATCATGTTCCAGCACCCCCGTGGTGAGGAGACGTACGGTAGCTGCAAACTGGGCCGGTTCGCAAAGGCATTCGTCTCCGGACAGCCGGCCGACAGGCAGGGTGAAGAGACCGCGGATGGGCCTGCACTGCACAGCTCCAGTGGCCAGATACTTGCCCCCCACGCCAACTTACCCAAGGGGTTGAAGGCGCCACCGGACGCCAGCGCCGCGACGATGAAAAAGTTTTGGGCCGAGTATACCACGGGGAAAGCGCCTGTAAGTTTTTCCGCGTCCTCTTTATTCCAATCTCTTCGGCTCCGGTATGTTTACTGACATGAACTTTCTGCACCCGGCATAAGGACCAACGTCTTTATACGATCAGCGACGAACACTGGTCCCTCGGCGCCGTCCTATGGCGCATGATGACGTCCACGAAGCTCCCGTCGCAGGACAGCTGCAGCCTCTGCGAGAGCAAGTGCCGCCACATCACGGGCTGCGTGCAGCCGCTGTGCCTCATCGCCGAGGCGGAGGAGGAAGAGGGCTGCCGGTGCGTCTACGCCGGGTGCCAGCACATTCAGGCCCGGCTCGACGCCAGCCCCGAACTCCGGCCGGAGCACAGACGGAGGTGCGACCACCCCAAGTGGCGAGCGGCGGGCTGTGACTGTCCCCGCGGGTGTCCGCGGCCGGACGTCCACATCGACGACGTGCTCGCGCAGCTCGATTACTCCAAGTTCCTCGTCCGGGCGGTGCGAAAGCTGTTCGACTGGGACTGGGAGACCTCGCGACGGGGCTCTGTGACGCTGTGCACTGAGATCAACGCTGCCTACCGACAGTGGAAGACGCAGACGAGCGAGGGTCGCGAATATGTTGATGTCTACGATGATGCGTGGAAAAGGTACATGGTTCTGAATGGGAAGTTGGATGAACAGCAGAAGGGCGGCGCATAAGGTACCTTGGTTGTATCGCATCACGGAGTAAATTCACTGTCCACAAAGTCACTTTTCCATGGCGACTCGTATAGCCAGTGCCTTTAGACCTGCTTATGTACGGTTTCGCTTTCGGACGATCAGTTCAACCATCCCTGTCAGCCAGCGTGAAATACTCCAGTTGAGTTTTCATCGATACCGTCTCCTTTTCATTCCTCGAGCCTCGCCAACATTCGGCATGTCTAGTCGCAAGAGGATCGACCTACAGCGGTGTCCGCAGAGTGGAGTGTACCTGTAGGCTTATCGAGGAACGCGAAGAGCACTGCATCCGTACCTTACCTTACCTACCTACTGTAGGTACCTTACCTTACTTTACTGTAAGTAAGGTACTCGTAATGTACCTATGAAGATAGAGGTACCTTATACGAACCCAAGGTAGTGGGAGCGCACGGACCATTGATACACACGTGATACTGCTACTCCGTATATTTGGAGGAATCAGAGACGTGCTCTTTCTGGCAGCGGGGCAGGCCAGCAAGAGCAACGATGCTGCTCTGACATGTCAGCCTTCCTCCGCCCACCTTCTTGGACACCTGCTCCGTTCGTCCACATAATCCAGTGTCCGTCGTCTCGGCCGCCATCTAACTTTCTCAAAACAACCCCGCCTTATCCAGGTTAAATAGGCGGATTTCTTATTGTTTAGACCATTTGGATGGTTTCTATGGGGAATTAGCAAAGCCAAAGCTCTTCCTGACGACTCCCCTTGGCAGTGATTAAGAAGATAGGTACCACATCACGCCGACCTATCTACCCCACGACGGCTTGGACGACCCATCTCTCGCTGAGAACCCTCCTCTACCCCGGTTCTATCTTTGTGGCATTTCATCCAAACCGTGCTGCAATTGAGAATTGAGCTGAATTGACGATATTCGAGAGCCGAAGACCTCCAGACCTCGAGTCGGACTGAGCACGACATCATGTCCCTCAACACTCCGACCCCTCCCCTCCTACTCACAAAACGGCTCACGGCCTTCCTCAACGCCAATCTCTCTCCGACCCTCCACGCGGCCTTCATTACCACTGCATCCGGGAAGCTCCTCGCCCACGCCACGACCCCCTCCTTTGCCTCGTCCGGTTCATCTCCCGGGTCGCCCCCACCGCCGGGAAATGGTGGTGCCGCTACCATTTCGAGTACGACAGCCTCCCCGTCCGCTTCTTCCGTCTCGCTCCCGACCGGATCCCGTCCCAGCGCCGTCTCCCTCCTCCGCACCCAGGCCACCGTAGCCGCCAGCCTCTTCGCCCTGCACTCCGCGTCCTCCACGTCCATACCCGGCGCCCTCCCAGGCTCCTCCGAGTCCCACCTCGACCATGACGTGCTGCCCGACACAACCCCTGCGTCACCGACGACCGCCGCAGGCGGGAAGAAGAAGAACTCCAATTCCTGCAAATTACCCCTCACCATCACCGTCCAGCTCTCGAACGGCATCCTCGTCGTCCGCCGTCTGCGGTGCGGCCTGCTCTTCGTCTGCGTCGGCCCATTACCCGAACCAAGCGACGGCGCGTCTCACTCGCATCATCATCATCATCATCATCATCACACGGGCGGCAGCAGCAGCGCGCCGGGCGAAGGCGGCAGTAGTGCCGGCAGTGGTACCGGTGGCGGTCTCAGCGTGCCTGGCACTGCGACGCCGCGAGGTCAACAACACGGCAACGCGAGTCCCGCGCACATGCCCGCCTCGCCGTCCGAGGTGGATAGCGTCATGAGCGCCGGCGCGGCCACCACCGTTAGCGTTGCCAGCGCGGGGAGCAGTGTCGCCGGCAGCGTAGGGGCTGTGGCCGTCGTGTCGATGCGGAGACACGCCGAGGACCTGGCGCGGTGGTTGGATGACAAACTCGGGAGCCTCCGGGTGCCACAGGACGGAGTTGGCGCCGTGGAATGAGCGGCAGTTTACTGAATTCTGTGCTTTGGGGCGTATCTACCTACCTGGACGGAGAGATGTCCGACCAGTAGTTGAGCGCATGGCACGGGACAGAGAAAGAGAGATAGGGAGACAGAGAGACATGTCATGGACCGGCGTTTAGGGGCGTTGGGAAGATACCATAGCGGAAATCCGACCTGCGACTTGGAGTCGCAATAATTGCAAGACATGCAAATTTACTACTAGAATCTGGAAGGCAGACCAGCAAAAGCACACACGAAGAAAAAAAACCCCCCGAGAAATTGTCATCTTTGGCACGAGAGGAAACATCATAAGCTTTAACCGCAGGAGAGTAGTTATGTTGTCTTATTAAATCATGTGCTGCACTTGCCCACCCCGGTAAGTAGGCAAGTATGTATGTGTTTCGTCAGTAATGCTCTGCCCCGAGTATGCTTGGTGCCTGTGTAACGCCGAACAAACAACAAACGCCAAGTCGAAACCCCAAATGCTCTTCACATAAACGCTCAATCCTTGCGAGATGATACCATGTCCATTGCACGCACCTTTCCTGTATCCCCCTTTTGTAGTCCCCGGAGCCCCGGGTAGTGTAATATCTTAAAAGTCCGTTAGCGGGGAGGCGACAGCGGCATTCACTCGATGCTCATCCGCATCAAGCCGTCATGGGTGTCCGTCATGCCCTGAAGCCCTACCCGTCCCTTGTTACCGCCGAGGCGGTTGTTCAACGCCGCGCTATTATTATTCGTGGTCGTATTCCCGGGCGTCCCGGCGCCTAAGCTCGCGCTGCCACTGCCGGCCTCGCTCGGTGCACCACTCCCGCCGCCCCGATCCCCGCTGGTACTGCCGGCACGGGATCCCCACGGGGCCCCATCCCGCTGGAGGGGACTCTGTATGACGGGGGAGTTGTGGACGCTCATTCCCGGGCTGACGGCCCGGCGCTTGGAAATGTTAGGGTCGAAGTCGTCGTCGCGGCGCCGCTTGTTGTTGATGCGGCGCGTAATCTCCGCAGCACTCGGGGGCACCTGCGAACCCGGCCCTTGTCCCGGTCCCCCGAACCATCCCCATCCTGACCCTTGCGACACCCCCTGGGAGGCCCCGGCGGCGGATACGTCGCCCTTGGCGGATTCACCGCTAGCACTGGCCATAACAAACCCTGCCGTGGCGCCGAGCGAAGGGGAATCCATATTCGTGTCTTCGCTCATGCCCGAGGAGGAGCCCCTTGGCATGAGCGCGGACGGCGGCGGCGGCGGCGTGGTACGGGTGCCTATGCTGCTGGATTCTGAAAAGGTGTCCCAGAACTTCGGACCCTTCGAGTTCTTCAAGGCCTGTTGCTTAAAGCTGCTCGAAAGTCCCGATTCGGCCATCATCTCGTCCCCAGGGACATCGTCGAGATTGTCCTGGTTGGCCAAGTTCGGGGACGAAAGAGCGGTAGGTATACGTGGCTCGAGGTCGACGTCGCTCTCGCGAACCTGACGAATGACCTCGGCTTCTCGGCGGACTTCGGCTTCGACGGGGGCGCATTCCTCTAGAAGTGCGTGCTTTATTCGAGCAAAGTTTTTCGTCTTGGGCTGTCCGAATAATTACGTCAGTGATACTGAAGCAAGGGGGAACGAAGAAAGAGAGAGGATGACAGTTAAAGAAAGGGGGTGAAAAATGCCCCGGGAGCCTCTGGAGTCATACCATGAGATTACCCCGACGGGCAGCCACCTGCCGCATGATGGTATGTCTCTGTTTAAAGCCGTCATTGCCGGATCGTTCTTCCTCGCTACCAGATATGTGTAGCTGATTGGCCTGCCAGCTGATGCTTTCACGCCGCGGGTGCGACATGTCCTTGACAATGGGAGGTGATTTGGACAGCGCCGCCGCAGCTGCCGGTCCAAAGCCCAGACCTGGGAGTCCGCGAGTTTTCTTCTTCTTGGATTGTTTCCTCGAGCGTTGGCGCTGCTGGAAGCTCAGGAGGCTGTTGATAGCCGGAGATCCGGAGACCCCAATTGGGCCGGTAGTCCTGTTGATCTGCGGGGTGGTAACAAAGGCATCGTCCATATCCTCATCCATCATATCGTCGTCCTCGGAAGAGGAACTTTCGGAGCCCAGGTGGTTGGCACTTCCGAGGGAGCTGGAGATGTTTGTTGTGCGGTCGTGATTGCCTATGACGGACCATAGCGAGTTGGATGACTGTTCGGCATTCCCATAGTCTTGGTTTGTTCGGGCCGGTATGTTCATGGCACGGCCGGCACCGACGGTCGGGGATGAGTCGGCAGAGGATTGTTCGGCGAGAGTCGAGTGGTGCAGGCTGGTGGCAGCACGAGAAAAGTCCAGGCCGCGGGAGCGACGGGGCAGGATGTTTGTGGGGCTGGCATAAATGTGCGAATGGTCGAGCTTCGGGGAAAGGGGTGCGGGTTTGGTGAAAACGGCGGGGGCAGGAGACTGCAATGGCGTGGTAGAACCGTGCTCGGGTTGATGATCGGAGTGCTGATTTAAAGCGAGTGGTAAGGTGAGCCCGCGAGGGAGCTCGGGTCTTCTGGGTGTCACGGGCCCAGAGCCAGGGTTCCGGCTCAACGACGTGTCTCTAATATGATTATCGTCCTTGGACATTTTACTCCTAGCTTCCGAAGTAAACGGCGCCGGGGATGATTTCGCCGGCGTCCCACTCCCTCCACCTCCATCGGAGTAGGACCGTCCCCTGAAAACGGATGACGAGCCAATGTCTTGGTTTGATTGAACGGTCTGGTCTCTGCCTTGTGAATCATCCATCACCACTGCCTCGTCATAGTACCCGGGTTGAGTAAACTGAAACGGTCGGTCCATCTCATATAGTAGTCAATTCAGGTCGGTTGGTAGGTCGAATCCGCCGTGGATTTCGCACGATGGTACTGGGCTGGAGTGCCTTTCAAGTCATTGGTGTCGATATTCGGTGGGATGGAGAGGTAGACATCGCCGAATTAGTCGAGGATATGAGCGTCGAGGTTGATGAGCCCAGGGGAGATCAAGTCTGGAGGATCGTGCTTTGTTTGGCAGGTAATTGAAGGAGGAGAAAATGCGTATGCGTAAGCCCTTTCCCACGTTCTAGCGTTCCAACGTTGATGGGTTAGGTTTCTCGCGACTTCGTCATACTCTATTTGACGCGCCACGGGGACTAGACGGCGCAGCCCCACCTGCACCGTTAGGGTACGGATAATTAGTACATGTACATCATTGAATCGGTATCGTAGGTATTTTGGCCGCAACTACTTCGTAGACACTATTTCGCACTTTGGGACGTGTTCACCTGGATATTCCTCTCTTTCCCTCCCCCTCCTCCTTTTTTTCTTTTTCTTTTTTTCGTTTTGACTCGATTGCTATCAAAAATTGCCTTGAAAAAAGTGGAAGAAATGCATGCTGCTTGCGCGTGGGGTGTCCTCTGGAAGTAGAGAATCGAAATTGTTAATCATTTCAAGCGCCTCATGTTCAGGGTCACATACCTTAGGTACCCTCTCTGAAATTGGCTTCAATGGTTTAATCGCCGGTCACCCAACGTAACGTGCCTTGCCTCCCAGTCTCCTACCACATATTCCTTGGTCCTACAAATAACTGGACAGGTCCTAACCACAACTAATTTCTCTTTCTTGTTCCGCCTCAATTCGCCACAGTGTCCCGGCGCCTCAAAAGTCCAACCGATGTTCGGCTGATCCCCGTGCGACGGATGCAAGCTATATGAATGGGGTTGTTCATGATGGTCTGCTTAAACCCACCCTATGCTCTGTACTCCGTAATCACACATAGGATGGATCATGGGTAGTACGGCAGATGAGGTCGCCTAGCCCCACTAGCCTCAATGCTGGGTTGTCTCTCCTCAGGCCTTCGTAATTCACCTTGCGTTGAGAACTGCGGGGCAGGATATATATGCAAGAATCACTCGACCCCGCCAATCACCACTCCACCAATCTCGACGAACTTGAACTTTTTTGCCCTCCTCTCCGAAGGAAAGCCGAACACCGATAAGACACGGGGCATTGACCGTCATATATGTACTCATTCCGTCCGTTGCAGAGAATCCGACAGATCCAAGCCCTCTTCATCACAAAACCAAACGCCAGTACAGGTCCGTCTACCCCGAAATTTCCGACTTCACGTCTGTGGCACGAGAGAATGGAGAACCCAAGAGGAGAATCATAACAACACAGTGATACTGAACCTACACCGCACTAGCGCAATCCTACCGACATCACACGACCATGGCGACCACAACAGATACCAAGAAGTACAAACTCAATCACTCGATGTATGCCACCCCTGCCCTCTCGATCACCCCCAACCGATGTTACTTCTCAGGTCGACTCTCTGACTTTCAGCTTCCCAGGATCCGTGTGAAGGACCCGAAGGAGTCCGGTGCGCAATACCGTCTTCGACTCTTTTGTCCCCTCACGCGTCCAATTCCTAACCAACACACTCTCGGACAGTCAAGTTCTACGAGCTCCTGGGCATGAAAGTGATCAAGATCATCCGCCAGCCCGAGGCCAAGTTCGACCTGTACTTCCTCGCATACGACTCCCCCGGCGCCGTCTCGGCCGGCAACTCCACATTCGACCGCGAGGGCATCATCGAGCTGACCCACAACTACGGCACCGAGTCGGACCCGGATTATAAGATCAACAACGGCAACGTGGAACCCCACCGCGGCTTCGGCCACATCTGCATCTCCGTCGACAACATTCAAGCCGCCTGCTCCCGTATCGAGGCCGCCGGATACACTTTCCAGAAGAAGCTCACGGACGGCCGCATGCGCCATATCGCCTTTGTCAAGGACCCAGATTCGTACTGGGTGGAAGTCATCTCCTGGAATGACGTGAACAAGACAGAGGGCATCACCGAGACGGATGTCTCGACGTACAGAATGGTTCGTCTCTCGCGGTTCTTTTGGGCCCTATTGTTGCCATGTTGCTGGACCCCAAAGAACGAAGAAGTGGGCGGGCCTTGGGTAGAGACAAGAGAAGGAGACTTCATCAGTGCGGAGAGCTGACGTATGAATCCCCCCCCTCTGCAGAACCACACCATGCTCCGAGTCAAGGACGCAGAAAAGTCCCTCAAATTCTACCGGGATGTCTTGGGCATGTCGCTGTTCCGCACGAACGAGAACGCGGCAGCCGGCTTCACACTCTATTTCCTCGGCTACCCTGGAGCCAAGGGCCTCCCTGCGCAGGACGCGACCGGTGGCGCCGAGGGTCAGAACACGGCTGATCGTGAAGGTCTCCTGGAGCTCACATGGAACCATGGCACCGAGAAGGACGAGGACTTCAAATACCACAACGGAAACGACCAGCCCCAGGGCTTCGGTCATATTTGTGAGTTTGAAGCCCATGCCTCCCTTAGAGGGCCCTTTGCCAGAGAAGTCTCACCCTACGGAATGAAGCGAAGAACGGGAAGCTGACAGCGAACAAGGCGTCTCCGTCGACAACCTTGACGCGGCTTGCCAACGGCTCGAAGACCTAAAGGTGAATTGGAAGAAGAGGTTGACGGATGGACGGATGAAGAACGTGGCGTTCATCTTGGACCCCGACAACTACTGGATTGAAATTGTACAGAATGAGAGGTTTAGCGGAAAGGATAATTTTTAGACGGCCTGCCATGCCAGGAGCAGACCTGAGTGTGCGGCGTAGGGAGTACGGAGTGTGAATGTGCTGTGAACCACCCACACCCCCCCCACCCCCCCCGGGGGGGCGTTCAACGTTGGATAAGGTGGCGCACAGGGGCGATTGTTGGCTTGCTACCGTAGCGTGGCGTGACGCGAGAGAGTGGGAGAGCGGGGTGCCTTGAAAGATAGTGCTCCGTAAATCCTAGGTACCTTATTACTCAGTACAGTATTCGTACTCCGTAGTGGCAGATCCAGTACCTTATGGATCATGGCCATCTCGTGTCCATGAGACTGTAAGGTACTCTGTACCTACGGTCGTCCCTCATCCACATGTACCCGTCACCCGACTTGCCGACTGTTACTTGCGTTGCCTTTGGTCGTCTGCTGGGCTTCCACCAAAAACGTTCGAGATCCATACCTATGGTAGGTAAACACTGCCTTGACCATCTCATCGTCATGCATGTCCCACGGTTCCGGCCCAGTAAAAGTGCGGGGGGAATAGCAGGGTGGCAGCGCATTGCATTAGCCATTCGTGGGGGAAGCCTATCACAGGGGGCGCGACTTGTTTACTTGCAACCCTGACGCCGTCTCACCAAGCACTCCCTCTATGTCTTGACCAACATCATCCCCTTATAGGTCGGTGGCGTATGAACACTTTGTACCCCACGGTCTGCATCCGCCACTGAGTCCTGTCGATGAGTAAATACTATTAGTAGCTAGGCCTTGCGTGCTTCTATCTGCGTCGTCTTACAGTCTCGGCAATGCGACTGAACCGGTATACCCTTACAGATATTATCCCGGTAACGTACTTCCGCCCCCGTGACCCTGACTTCGCTTGAAGACATATATTGCGGGGCAGGAGAGCAGGCCAAGGGTCATGAATTGCGCCTTCACTGGTTTGCGCGCCTGCACCATCTACCTAGGTAGCTTCCAATTGGTTTTGGCAGTATCGAGGGACCATTTGACTTCCCCTCGTCTGTCAACGAAGAAGTTGCCCGTCCGAAAAGAGCTATAAGAACGGGCGGGGCGGGGACTCGTCCAGGTCTTCCTTTCGCAGGGATTATTTCTTTGTCCTCAAACTCTTTCTCTCAGTTTCAACGAGGGGAAAACAACCTTCACCATCACCTCACCTGTCTGCAGAATTTCCTGAAACAACAGACGTGACACGCGAAGAAGCTAGCAGAGTGGTTACCATTATTTCTCATCGACACCATGGCTCCATCGGCAATCGAAACCGTAACGTCGTCGGGGTCTTCGCTCGTATCTTCCGATAGGCCGCGCATCCTAGTGCCCGAAAAAGTTTCCCCTGATGGCCTCGCCCTCTTCAAAGACAAGTACGATGTAGACATCCGGCTTGGTTTGACGGCGGACGAATTGATCGCCGAGATACCCCGATACCATGCCTTGATCGTCCGATCCGAGACCAAGGTCACTGCCAGCGTGTTGGCGGCCGGCAAGAAGCTGAGGGTCGTCGCACGAGCCGGGGTCGGCGTAGACAACATCGACGTCGACGCCGCCACAGCCCAGGGCATCATCGTCGTCAACTCGCCCGCAGGGAACATAGTGGCGGCGGCGGAGCATACCATTGCCCTGCTGCTTGCCACGGCCCGCAACGTGGGGCGGGCTGACGCAGGCATGAAGGGCGACAAATGGGAGCGCGGGAAACTCGTCGGCGTCGAGGTTGGACAGAAGACTCTAGGCATCATTGGCCTTGGTAAGGTGGGGATGAAGGTCGCCCGAATGGCCATCGGACTCGGGATGAAAGTCAAGGCGGTCGATCCCTATGCTAGCAAGGACATTGCCGAACAAGCGCAGGTCGAACTCGTCTCCGATCTAAGCGCGCTGTTGCCCGAGGTCGACTTTCTGACCACCCACACGCCGCTGATGGCGACCACCCTAGGGCTCATCAAGGAGGCCGAGCTGCAAAAGATGAAGAGGACGGCCCGAGTCCTCAACGTAGCACGAGGAGGCGTGTATGACGAAGCGGCACTGATCAAGGGCCTCGACGAAGGATGGATCGCGGGCGCCGGTATCGACGTCTTCACATCTGAACCGCCGGCCGCCGACTCGACAGCCTCACGGCTGGCAAGACATCCGAAGGTAGTCGCGACGCCGCATCTGGGCGCATCCACGGTCGAAGCCCAGGAGAACGTCTCGATGGACGTGTGTAGGCAGGTAGCCGAGATCCTGCGAGGGGGGCTTCCGTCGGCGGCCGTCAACGCGCCCCTGATTCTGCCGGAGGAGTACCGCAAGCTCCAGCCTTTCGTCCAGCTGGTGGAAAAGATGGGCGGGATCTATACGCAACATTTCGTGCGCAGCCAGGGCGGCATGGTGGGGGGCCGGAAATTCGAGCTGGTCTACCAGGGCGAGCTGTCGGGTCTGTCCAACACCCGGCCCTTGCTGGCGGCCCTGGTGAAGGGCCTCGTGTCGTCGATCAGCGACTCGGGAGGCCGAGATGTGAACATCGTCAACGCAGGACTGATCGCCAAGGAGAAAGGAATCCTGATCAGCGAGACACACAGCGGCGAGACCAATAATGTGATATACTCGAGCCTGGTGACGCTGCGGTCGTATGACGGGGATAGCCCGGGATCGGAGCGTTGTATCGCAGGCTACGTCTCGGGACGGAGCGTGTATATCTCCAAGTTGGGCCAATTCAGTGCCACATTCAGACCTGAAGGCACGCTGCTAGTGCTGCACAACTATGACGAGCCCGGAAAAATTGGCGGCGTGGGCATGGTGCTAGGCCGCCATGGGATCAACATCCGGTTCATGCAGGTCGCAAGCCTCGATGCCGAGGCGAGGGAGGAGAGGGCGAAGAGGGCTCTGAGTCAACTGGCCACGGGTGCCGGAGCAGAGAGCGACAACCCCGAAGCTTCGGAGGGCTCGTCGAATGGGAAGGAGGACAGGGAGGCGTTAATGATCCTCGGCGTCGACGATACGATGAGCGAAGAGGTGATCGAGGACCTGAAAAAGGCCGAGGGTATTCTCGATGTCAGCTTGGTCAGATTATGATCAGGGAGAGTGTTTGGGCCTGACTATAATCCGTATTCTGTCTAGTATATAGAAGCTAGGGTGTAAAACGACGCTCTTGTTCGGTAATAAGGTTGTTGATTAATAGAAGAGAGCTCCCTAGATACCAGCTATAGTGGAGATACTATAAGCCCTAGTGGCTACCCCTATACGGGTTACGTAACCCGCCTATTAACCCTGCCCTTTTTAAATAACAGCTTAACCCTAAGCCTTAACGATAACTCTTTATAGTAATAAAATTATAGTAGAATCTTCTAGTAGTTTAGGTGTAATAAAGGGATAGTATTTTACTAGGCAAAATAACTATATATAAGTACTATAGATAAGTCCTACTTTGGATAAGCCTATAAACAGATTCCTACAATTAACACGATTCCTTATATAATCCTGCTAGGTTGATCTTATGTTTTCATATCTCTCCCCTTGCTTCAAGGTAACGGGCGGCGGTTTTTTCTTTCTTTTTTCTTTCTTTTTTAGTCCCTCGCCTGATGAAACAATGGCAATGCATATTGCTAGTACTGTTCCTCCATTGGTTTCGTGACAAGTGACTCTGGATGCTGTGTAGCTACTTATGAATCTCTGGAGCATTGTGGGCGTAAGTAAACTCTAGACGAAGACCTTTGTGAAAGAGGGTAAGAACGACATGGTTGAGATGGATAAATTCACCTACGGAACATTTATGGACTATATCGTCGTCTCTCGGGTTGTTTGTGTGTATACCTCAAGTGATGGGTTTTGAACAGGTAAAATTAGAGATGACGATATGACGAGATGACGATTCTTCGTGCAGTCCGAGTCAGTGTGGTGATGGACAGGTGATGTTTTGGTTGCAACTTGAAAATTAGGAGCTACGTCTGCATGTATCCGTGGTACTTCGTACAGGAAAGGGAGCTACATAAGGTAAGGTACGTCCGATAGGTACATGTACGGAGAAGCTGCCAAGTAGCGCTATCACGTTCTTCCAATCAGCACACCGCAACCGGTCACAAGGAGTCAAAATGTGGACCCCATTGTACCCTAAGATTCGCGTAGAACTGAAGCTGTGTCTAAGGTAATGTGGCGTCATCCGGGAAGATTAAGTACTGAGCAAGGATCTCGGTACCGCTACCGAGCAAATGACCGTGGAGCAAGCAGCATAAGGTAAGGCCCAGACTCATCACTCCGGGACTCGCAGCGTCCATGCGTCGTCCATCCGTAACTTACAGGTACGTAAGGTACGTTGTATTAGGTTACCTCCCCCCCAATTACGCCCATTACGCCCTCCAAGCTTCTTCGCCCCTCCCCCAAAAAGAACTGCTTTTTATTGTCGACGAACACGTTTTCCACCGGATCCGACTCAATGGCACAACAATCCATCTCGAGAAGAGGCCGTTTAGCCGTCCGTATTTACTAGTGGAGTGTTTTACACTCGTCTCCTCTCGAATTCTCGGCACATATCTTCTCACTTTGCGGCCGGTGTGCTCGTCCATTACGCGACGAACGACGACGACCGTCAAACTTCCAAGTCGAGCCGCGCCGGATCATATTTTGGTCATCCGGTCAACCCGTACCCATATAGATAACTTCGATTCTTATCTTCCATCGGCTCTCGACGAACATACTGCTAGTTATCATGCCTTGCTGAGTCTCGCACCGCCATCGACTTCACGACATCGGCAAACCAGTCTCGCCACGACCACACTATCCCCGTCACTTCGTTGCCCATCGAACCGAGCACAATACAAACATGGTTGCAAGATACGCGCCGCGGCCCGGAAACTCGGCAGGTGCCTTTGGCATCGTGCGGTCCAGCGTTCTAGGCCTAGGCCGTGCCCTGACCCTGGGGCTCTCCTCCGTCGTCGCCGCCCCGTTGGGCGCAAACAGTCATTACGACGAGGGGCCCGAGGAAACCGGTGCCGCTCGCTGGGTCTTGTTCGTATTGGCAATGGTCCTTGTCATCTCCGGCGGGGCCTTCGCCGGCTTGACCATCGCGTATGTTGCTCCACTCTCCGAACCTTTGGCTTTCCACTCATCATCAATTCAAGCTGCTAACATAACGTGAAGCCTAATGGGCCAAGACAACATCTATCTCCAAGTTCTGTCCGGCGATCCGAGCGAACCGCAGTGTAACAATGCGAGACGTGTACACAACTTGCTCAACCGGGGGAAACATTGGGTTCTTGTCACTTTGCTCCTGGCCAATGTTGTTGTCAACGAATCTCTGCCTGTTGTGCTGGACCGATGCCTGGGAGGTGGTGTTGCTGCCATTGTAGGCAGTACCGTCTTAATCGGTATGTCTCTGCTCTTTTATGCCTTCCACCCGCTCTCTCGTCTCCTTTCCTTCGTTGTTGTTCTAATCGTAGCCCGCAGTCATCTTTGGTGAAGTTGTCCCCCAGTCGATCTGCGTCCGCTATGGTCTGCAGATCGGAGGTATCATGGCCAAACCAGTCCTCGTCATGATGTGGCTGTTGGCCCCTATCGCCTGGCCTATCGCCAAGCTCCTCGACTGGGCTCTCGGTGAGGACCACGGTACCGTCTACAAGAAGAGCGGTCTGAAGACGCTTGTTACCCTGCACAAATCGCTAGGAGATGTGGGTGAACGGCTCAACCAAGACGAGGTCACCATCATCAGTGCCGTGCTCGACTTGAAGGACAAGCCTGTTTCTAGCGTCATGACGCCCATGGAGGACGTTTTTGTCATGGCCGAAGATACAGTACTCGATGAGAAGACCATGGACAAGATACTCTCCGCTGGATATTCCAGGATTCCCATCCACGCCCCTGGCAAACCCAGAGACTTTGTCGGCATGCTCCTGGTCAAGATACTCATCACCTACGACCCTGAGGATTCCTGCCAGGTAAAGGATTTTCCTCTAGCTACTCTTCCGGAAACTCGCCCAGAGACAAGCTGCCTGGATATTGTCAACTTCTTTCAGGAAGGCAAGTCGCACATGGTCCTCGTCTCTGAGTATCCTGGAGAGGATCGCGGGGTGCTCGGAGTTGTCACGCTGGAGGATGTGATTGAGGAGCTAATTGGGGAGTAAGTGTCCCACTGCCCCCCCCGCCCCCCTCCTTTTTTTTCTTCTTTTTTTTCTTTGCCGCCCATCGCAGAACACAAAAACTAATTATTTCCAAGGGAAATTATTGATGAATCGGACGTGTATATCGATGTGCACAAGGCGATTCGCAGATTAACGCCCGCGCCCAAAGCTCGGCCTCACAAGAAAGACGCCGAGAGTTCAGCTAGCCATGTAAGCGAAAACGGTAAGCTCATCGATGTGGACGAGGTTGCCGAGCCTCAGGCAAGTTCCGAGGCCTCCGGCGCTCTGCCAGATGGAACGTTGATTCTGTCGAGCAGCCCTGGTCAGCACACGGCGACTTTTCTTATGCGGAGAAGCTCGGCCGGACCGGATGGACGTCTGCAAGAATCAATGGTCCCTGTCAAAGCCAATCTCGAAGAACTCAAGAACCAGTTAAAGCATCTGGGACCCTCAAACCGCAACACGCACCCCCTGGATACCAGGTCGACTACGGTCAAGATCAAATCTATAGTGGGATTGACGCCGAGTCATACGATGAGCCCATCGGGTCTTCGCCCGGCGTCCCTGGCGAGCGAACGACTTGACCCCAACCTGGAAGCCATCCAGAGAGAAGACGAAAGCACGCCGCTCATCCAGCCGACTGTCTCTGGAAAGGGCGGCGCGCAAGCCGTGCGTAGGAGCTACGGCGGCGCCGGTATGAGTGAGGCGCAAACGAGACTCGCGGTTCAACATACGGATGATCTAGCATCCCCCACGAGCACTCTCGAACTGCAAATGCCCACAATTTGGCCCGAGGGGGGCAGTACCAAGACCGCCAACGGCAAGAGCCCCGGTTCTACCTCTGGCGCCACTGGCAGAGAGCGGAGGAAACCCGGTAGTAGCGGGACCAGCACCAACAGCGGCGTCAGCGAAGGGAACCTGACGCCCAAGCAACACATCGCCCGCAGCGGAAGCATCAGCGAGAACGTGGTGGAAACGAGCTCGGGGGTGCACAAGATCATCATCCAGGCGTCCAGCGCCGAGGTGGAATACCTGTCAAACGCCCTTGGCGGGTGGGGGGGGCCCGGCAACAAGCACGCGCGGGAGGAGCTGCAGGTCGCAGTAGAGGAAGCATCGGAAGAAGACGAGAATGCGAGCGAGTTGACGTCGTCGGGTGGCCCGTCTTCGTCGGTTCCATCCGCATCGAATGATGACGGGAATGGGAATCAGACAAGCGGCAACAGCGAAAAGAAGAACAAGAAGAAGAAGAAGAAGAAGAAGGGCAAGTCCTAGCTTGGCTGGTCGCAAGGGAGCCAGCACCATGTTCTGCTGGAGGGCGGAGCATCATCGACGGAAAGAAAAGGGGAACACTGTGATAAGACAGGATTGCGAATGTATGCGTGCGTGTTACGCACCGCCTGTACTATGGTATCTTTTAATTCCAAAGCAGTTCATGTTTTAGCCTCATCTATCCATGTGCCATCTTGGATTCCTCTTTTATCCTTGTTTTTTTTTTTTTCCCACTTTCCAACTGCCTGTCATATGCGGTTTCTTGGCGGGTGGGGATGGATACAAGATGAGTCGTGCCACGGACGGCGCCTTGGTGAATATATCCAAGTCTTGTCGGCCCTTTCCTTTTCTTTTTTTCTTTATTTTTTTTATTTTTTGCCGTTCCTTTACTTTTTCGTTTCGTCTTTTTCTTCTCTTCTCTTCCTTTTTTTTTCTCGCTCCCGCCTAATCGTACCAGATGGCATTCATACCAAATCCGGGTTCGGGGATCCTCAGACGTGCCACGCGGGCGAGGAATTCATCTTGCCAGCGGTAAACCTCGATCCAACCCTCCTGGTCGTCCGTGATGGCGACCCACTCGTCGCTCCAATCGCAAGGGGCTACGGCGTTGCTGTGGCCGCCACTAGTCGGGGTAGGGTTCAGGCAGATCTGCTTCTCAATGTCGCCGTTGTCAGCCAGGCGGAAGGCGGCGATGTAGCCCGTCAGGTCGAAACTGTTGGCGCGGCTGGTGGCGAAGAGGTAGCGGCCCGAGTGGGACAGCTCGCAGACGTCGGCGCGGTACATGGTCCAGCGGTCGGGGATGCCGGGGGGGATGAGCGGGTAGGAGCGGTGGGTGTAGACGGGCAGCTTGGAGATGGGGTCGACGAGGTAGAGGCACAGGCGGTTGCCGGCCTCCATCAGGGCGTAGAGGTAGTTGCCGGACGGGTGCATGGCGACCCAGCGGGGGTGGTCGCGGGGGTCGGGGGCGTCGACGGAGCCTACGAGCTCGAGGGCGCCGGTGGTGGGGTCCTTGCGGTGCGTCCAGAGCTTGTTGGCGCGGAGGTCGGCGGAGTACAGGTACGTCTCGGTCGGGTCGAAGACGGAACCGTGGATACCAGAGTGGGGGTCGAGGGAAAAGTGTTGGACGGGCTCGGGGGCGAGGGCGCCAGTCTCGGTCACGGGGAAGACGGTGCCGGCGCCTGCATGGTTATAGAAGGGGTTCGCGTAGACGGCGTAAGGGGGTTGGCGGGCGGCGAGGAGGAAGATGGCGCGCGTGTTCGTCTCGGAGGAGGACGCCCGGGCTACAAAAGGGATTTCACGATTAGGTCTAGCGCAATTCATCCAAGGCGTCTCGGGTATGTCCTTCCAAGCAAGGTAGGCGGTAGGCGCTGGAGGCCGTGAGAAATGGGCGGAGACGTACGATCATGGGTCATAGGATGAGAGGCTTCGTGGACAATCTCAGTCGGGCTCCTGACAGCGTAGCTTGACCATTTCTTCATGGCGGCGCCGTAGATGTTCTTCTTGGCATGCTGTTTGTTGTGTTCCATGTTAACAACTTCGACCGACTGACTGCTTAAGACTGCACTAGCTGGGGAAGAGGGCGAGGGTCGGAAGACAGTAATAAGAAAGGCAAGGGGGGCCAAGGGCATACGTCAAAGCTCATCCAGGATATGGCTTCGTCGTGAGCTATCTCAGTACGCTTGACGAGGGTCAGAGTAAGCTTCTCATCGTCGAAGGCAACGGTGAAGATAGCCCCTGGAGGTGTCCAGGTGCCAACCATAAGGTGGTGTACGGGCATCTTGACACTCGACGAGGTGTGAAGGGGTCGTAATATCGGCGATGGACGATGTGATGATGATGACGCCGGCCAGGACGAGCCGAGTAAGCGACTAGGACAGCCGGAGGTTAGGATGTTTCGTAAAGTCGGGCGAAGTAAGGGCATGCGTGGCCAGGCCCGAAATTGTCCAACTGTTCAGTTCTATCACGAGGGAACCTCTCGGAGAGGGGAGAGGGGAGAGGGAAGAGGGGAGAGGGAAGAGGGAAGAGGGAAGAGAGGAGGGATAATGGCACGAGGGAGTATGAGACGAGTGTGTGAACAGGAGGTGTTCCAAGTCCGGAGTAGCTAAGTAGCTAAGCTTGCTACCTTACAAGACCCTATCGGTAGCAATTAGCGGGTGCGGCGCACACCGGCAAGGCATCGGGGCTCATTCCAGTGTCTGTCAACATGCGGAGGGCCCAATTGATTCCAAGTCCAGATCTCAAGAGTGGATAGGTCCGATGTCCCATGGGGGGAGGGGTGGAAAACGAAAAGACGGCATTGGAGTCGGGAGCGTGGGGTTGTGTTGTGTTGAGTAGGTACCATGTACCCATGTACAGGGGGTTCTTGCGATTACCTAAGGTACCTATCTGCGATTATCTATAGGGGCATATGATTGGTAGCTGGGATGGGAGAATGATGTGAGCTCGCTGGATTCTCCCCCGAAAGATTCCAGAACACCACTGCGACAAGCTGCACTACCCCGCCAAGTGGGGTTGTTCTAAGACGAGGAGCTCTGAAAAGGTAGGAGGGGCTCATTTAGCTCTCGGGAATTACGGCGGCAAATGTATATTCGTGTCATTGTCTTCGTCCTTCCGCTCTATTTCTTTTCTTTTTTTCTTATTTCCTTCGGCTACACTACCGGCATCTTTTTTCTCGATATCTAATCAAAATAACAACATAATCATGAGACGATATCACACAATATTGACCGATATGCACCGACAAAACTTTCAGAGCCAGACTGGGATTCAGTAATGGGGGCATCCCTATCCCCCACGCAAGTTCGATTTTTTTTTTAAAAAAAATAAGAAAAAAAAATCGGGGAAGAATATTCATCCCTTCGGTGTGGTTCCACCACAGTTTTGAGAGATTCTTCTCCCTTGTCATACAAATGCAATGTACCTTGCTTGGGGAAAATGCGGGACATGTTACAAAGTTCCACGTGTGCAATATCAAAGCGACGACATCTACGGGGTATGATCTTCAAGGCCAGTTGACAGGTTTGGCCTTGCAGACATCTACACAGTGGAGTATTACGGAGTAGGTACTTTTACTCAAACAGCTCGCCACGCTACGTTGTACATGAATCTCTTTCCATCTCGTCCGTGTCAGTGATGGTGAGTGGTCAACAGGAGCCGTCCACCAGAGCCGTGTCGGAGTTCCGACATGCCGTAAAAAGGTGGGTCCCTGGCTTTATGCGGGGTATTTCCTCCCACTCTCTCCATGAGACGCTACGACTCCGTACGTACTCCGTATTTCGTACACGCCACAAAGCGGCCTTGCCCTTCGGCATCGGCTCCCAAGTCGGTCGATCCCCCTAGTACAGATCAGTCATGGAGTCGGTCATGGAGCTGGGGTGGTTGAATTTGACACTAACCTAACAGCAGAAACCAGAGAAGCAGGCCATATTCTCGCCTCCCGGGGCCTGGGAATATGGGGGAATGGGGGGGCGGCATGTGTTCTTTGTTTTTCCCTCCTGTACTTAAGGATCTTCATCTCCGTCCCTGACTTTCCAATCCTACCACCCTCATTTTCTTTCTCTCTCTCCTTATCCGCCTTTGGTCCTTTTTTCAAGAGCGAGCTTCGAACTTCAGCAAAAAAGCACCTCGAATTTCGGGATTTTGACCTGACCTAGAAATAGGGTTTCAGAACGTCCTGTTCCGGGGATTTCCTTCTCGTCCTTCCTCACAACCGTTCAGACACCATGGCTCCCTCCACCAACGGCCAGAACGGCGCCAGCCAGCCCCAGAAGGCGGAGCGTTTCGACCCGACCTTTACCCAGCACGTCATCGACACCATGGGTCCCAACGTGACGCCCAGGAACCGACAGCTTTTCACCGCCCTCTTCAAGCACCTGCACGACTTTGCTAGGGAAGTCGAGCTTTCCGTCGACGAGTGGATGGCCGCCGTCCATTTCGTCAACTCGATCGGCCAGATCTCCACCCCGCAGCGGAATGAGGCCCACCGTGTCTCTGATATTCTCGGTCTCGAGTCGTACGTCGCGGTCCTTTTTTTTTTTTTTTTTTTTTTTTTTTTTGTGACGTTGTTGTTAGTCTGGCCTATTGGATTAATCGCTAACATTTCCTCTTCTCTCTTCTCAGGCTCGTTGACGAGATCGCCAACAAGATCGTGGCCGATGGCGACCTCGACCCCACGTCCTCCTCCATTCTCGGACCCTTCTGGTCCCCCAACGCCCCCTTCCGCGAGCTCGGCGACACCATCATCCAGAACCCCTGCGAGGGCGGCCGCGTCTGCAAGATGTTCGGCACCATCACCGACCTGACCACCGGCAAGGGTATCCCCAACGCCGTCTTCGACATCTGGCAGGCCTCCGCCAACGGCAAATACGACTTCCAGGACCCGGACAACCAGACGCCCAACAACCTCCGTGGCAAGTTCCGCGCCGACGAGCAGGGCCGCTACTACTTCTACTGCTACCACCCTACCGCCTACAGCCTGCCGAGGGACGGTCCCAGCTGGAAGCTTCTCAACCTCATGGACCGCCACCCCATGCGCCCTGCCCACATCCACATTATGGTGAGTTTTCCCTTATTTCCCCATCCCTTTTTTTTTTCTTTTTTAAATCTTTTGGACGGAAGGAGAGGAATCGGAGCCAGATCAAGAGAGAGAACACTAATGCTGACCAAATTTTCTTTTCCCCAATGACAGGTCACCCACCCCGAGTACAAGGGCTGCACCACGCAGCTGTATCCCAAGGATGACCCCTGGCTGGAGACTGACACCGTCTTCGCCGTCAAGAACGATCTGCTCTGCGACTTCAAACCCCTGGAGAACGACCCCAAGGCCGAGCTGCAGCTCGAGTACAACGTCTTCCTCGCGCCCAAGGACTACAAGGGCATCTTCGCCAACGCCAAGGGGAAGCTGTAGATTTAGGATTGGAAAAAAAGGTGAAGGAGCAGCGACGATAGTGGATGGGCGATTTTTTCGTTTTTATTTTTACATTTCTCTATTCCATCAGGGTGGGAGGATGATGTGAGTGCTTTTATGCGTCACGACGTGATACCTGTACCGGCTCCATTTCTCTGTTATATATATTTTGCATATACACTACTATCTAGAGCGCTTTAAAACTCCGGCTTAGGGGGTTGGATATCTTCAAACGACCATTATATCGGGGGAATCTAGTCGTTACACCTAAACCTACACTTACATGCACATTTCTCAGTGATTGCCTTATTTTGGGATAATCAAGGGCTTTCATCATGTCCGTCGTTTTGCGGCCAGCTTGTAATTAGTCGATTGGCCTTCGCGAACACCCCTACCCCTTCGACGCGTTGTGTTTTCTGTCAAAGGGGTGCACTTAGTTAGCTTGGGACCCGAGTATAATACATTCGTTTATTCCATTGGCGAGGTACGACGCTACAAAATGGTGGACAGGTAAGTGACGATAATAGCGAAAGCCTTTTTACTTCTGATGTTTTTGAGGCAGAGACGAAGAAGGATACTAATTTTCCGAGACAGCAACGACTGCAGAATTCATGCGACGAGAAGACGATAAACGGTTGTTAAGGCGGTGTGATGGTGGGGGGAAAGCGTGGAAAGGGGGGATGGGGTTTCATAGACTTATTATCGTCCAAGAAATCACATGAAAAAAGACTAGGTATCTATCCCGTTTCCTTCTCCGCATTAATACCTACTACGTCCCGTACGTTTGTTTCTACACGTGTACTGACCCAGAATCAGGGGGAGATCCCGCAAAGATCGGTTGGCGCATACATGTTCACAGTCACCTTCCAAAATAAGGGGGAAGAGCCGGGGGGTGTTCTCCATACATGTCTATATACATACAAGCGCTGACCGTGACCATGGCGAAGACGGGAAAGCTGAGTACAGGTAGGTAGACTCTCATAGGTACGTACTTTGTAATGTACAAAGTACCTAACATGAACCCCAGACCTTTCCCGATTCGGCGCGTGGCAAGGAAAACGTGCCAGGCACTGCGGCATCTAACAGGACAGTTGATAACCACCCCTGGTCCGCTTCCTCACCCTTTATCTCCCGTGCCAACTCTCCCCCTCGACGAATCCTTTCGCTTCTTTCAACTCCCTCGCCCAGAAGCGCATCTGATGGCCTTCTCTCCTCGGACATGGCCGTTGGTGACAAGATCCAATCGGTCCCCTGAGATTGACTTTTGGGGACCATTTCTTCCAGATGGACGGACGAATACAAGTAGAACCTGCATTAAAGCATGCATGTGGGACGGAGCTCCCCTGCAAAAGATCCTCAGCAGGGCCCTTGAAGGAATAGGATGAACGAGCCTACAAATAGGTTGTCGTACCCGACGGGCCAGCTGAAATGGTCCCTTCTAGGTTGGACCTCAATTGGGCTTTTCCGTATCGACTTCCAATTGACCTGGCCTGATCAACGACCGACGCCAATATGAAGGTCCCTGTCGTTCTCTCGTCCCTTGTCGCCGTTGCCTCAGCTGTCACTGTCGCTGAGATCAACGGCAACCGCTTCCTATCCCCGCTCCAGGACCAGAATGTCACCGCAGTCGAGGGTCTCGTCCTCGCAAAGGGACCCAACGGCATCTGGATCCGCTCCACCCAGCCTGACGACGATGATCTGACATCCGAGGCCGTCTACGTCTTCGATCGCAACGTCGGCAGCAGCCTTGCTGTGGGTGATATTATCCAGCTTGACGGCACCATCCTTGAATACAGGTGCGAGGCTTTTACTTGCAGGAGAGGCTGTGGGGCTTGCTCAATGGTGTCTCTTTCACCGTAAATGCTAGACTAGACTGACACGAACATACAACAAAAGGTCGACCGACACTCACATGTTCCTCACGGAGATCAGCAGACCCCGTAATGTCCAAATCATCTCCCGCAACAGCCCGGTTGTCGCCTACGTTGTCGGCGAGGACACCCTGAACCCTCCGACTGAGCAATTCACCGGCTTGGACAACGGTGATGTGTTTGCCGTCCCCAACGACGTTGCTAGACTTTCTGCTGTAAATCCCGTCCTCGACCCGTCCCAGTATGCCATGGATTTCTGGGAGGCCCTCTGCGGCGAGCTCGTCACCATCAAGAGCCCCGTTGGTGTGACCCGTCCTAATCAGTACGGTGACACCTGGGTCCTGGGCACTTGGCCTGCAACTGGTCGCAACGAGCATGGTGGTCTCACCATGACCGACAAGGGTGAGTCCCTACAATCTTCCATGTTTGTGGTCGGATGCGGGATTCTCAGAGGTCCGTCTTGCTGACTAGTAGTCGAAACGTACAAGATGGCAACCCTGAGGCCGTCGTCATCGGCACCCCGCTAGATGGCACCCGCAATCCCGAGACCAAGATGGGAGACCAGTTCGCCGACATCACCGGCGTCGTAACCTACGCTTTTGGCTTCTACCGCATCCTACCCCTGACCGCCATCACCGTCGAGACGCCTGCCTCCAGCGACGCGGAACCCACCACCCTCGAAAGCCGTGGCGACTGCCGTGCCATCACCGTCGGCTCGTACAACGTTGAGAACCTCTGGACCCAATCAGCCCACCTGTCCGACATCGCCGCCAACATTATCCAGTACATGAAGACTCCCGACCTGATTTTCGTCCAGGAGGTCCAGGACAACAACGGCCCAACCAACGACGACGTCGCCAGCGCCAACCTCACCCTCGCTGCCCTCACCGCCTCCATCGAGGAACAGAGCGGCATCCTGTACGACTTCGTCGAGGTCGAGCCCGTCCGTAACCAGGATGGCGGCCAGCCCGGCGGCAACATCCGCAACGCCTACCTCTACCGCCGCGACGTCATCGAGCTGTATCAGCCCAACCAGGGCGGCAGCACCGATGAAGCTGTCGTCGTCGAGGGTCCCGCCCTCAACTTCAACCCCGGTCGCATCGATATCGGGAATCCCGCTTGGGACGCCAGCCGCAAACCCCTCGTCGCCGCCTGGCGGGCCATTCGCGGGCCTACGAACAAGCCCTTCTTCACTGTCAACGTGCACAATGGCTCCAAGGGCGGTTCGTCCCCCTTGCACGGCGATCCTCGCCCTCCCGTCAACAACGGTGTCGACAAGCGCGGAGAGCAAGTCGAGAGCATCGGGGTAAGTTTGACAGAAGAAAACAAGAAGAAAAGAAGGAAAAAAAGGAAAAAAAGAAGAAGAAAAAAGCCCCTCCTCTGTTTTATCCTGCCATCCTTGTCAGGCTGTATTGGCAGAATGCCACACCGTGATCATATTGCTAATTCCTTTCTTTCTCCCCCGATCTGTGTGGCGACAGACCTTCATTGAATCGATCCTCTCTCAAGACCCCAAGGCCCGCATCATCGCCGCCGGCGACTTCAACGAGTTCGACTTTGTCCGGCCCCAGGTCCTCCTCCGCGAAAAGTACAACATGACCCATCTCAGCACCCACAGCCTGCCCGAGACGGAGCGCTACAGCTACGTTTTCGACATGAACTCGCAGCAGCTCGACCACATCTACGTCAGTCCCGCTCTGGTGAATGAGCAGGCCAAGATCGAACACATCCACCTGGCTGCGTGGCTCGCTTATCCCGACCTGGTCAGCGACCATGACCCCTTGGTCGCCGTCCTGAACGTGTGCGGCTGCTAGGGCGGGTGACGGATGTTTGGTGTATGCAGTGTAAACTAATGTAATGGATGTGATGCGACTGGAAGTTGTTGCTGTAGATGAGCCATGGGAACGGATACGGCCGGTCATGAGGCAGCAAATACAACGAGCAAGTTGCATGTCCACACATGTTTCCGAAACCTTTTATTCCCCTGTTATATTCTTGTGGTTTCTCCTTGAAAAAAGCAAAGGCCTCCGCATCCAAGGGCGTGAAAAACAACGTGGACTGATCCAACAGACGCTGGTGTTGAACAAACTCGTAAAAAAGAAGAAAAAAAGAAGAAGAAAAGGGCAGGGGGGACCCTTTGTCAAAAGTCGTCTTCGTCTTCTTCCTCGCCAGCGTTTCCATCCCCTTCCCCTGAGTCACTACTTTCGTCATCCTCTTCTTCAGAATCAGGCATGACTATCCGATTCAAAAAAGTAATCTAGTACGAACGTGTAAGCCCTTGTATGTTCCAGATTGTCCGCATAGTTTCCCCTTGCATGAGGTAGGACGGGGGACGGCAGAAGACGAGATGGGTGGAGCGCGACAGAAGGAGAAAAGGGGGAACAGAAATTCAAACCCCAAAAAGGGGAGGGGAAGGGAAGAGGAATGCGGAAAGAAAGGAGAAAAAGACTCACGAAGGGAACCATGGCTTGAATTATTGCAGCCAACCGATCCTGCCCATCATCCCTGGTGAAAATGTCGTCTTCAACCTTGACCCCGACCGTAAAATTCCGCAGCTTGAGAAGTTCAACGTCACGATGATCGGCAAGGTAGCCCTATCAAAGGCCTTGGTCAGTCACAACGCAAAGGCAAGAGGGGAGGCAGAGAAGAGGGCGGAAAAAATAAGAAGAAGAAAAGGGGGCAGAACTGCATCAAAATGCCAAACAGACCTTCGGCTTCGTCTTGAGCGCATTGCTCTGGTTCCCCGCAGCAAAAGCTTTCAGAGCGGCCTCCTGGTCGTCCTCATGCTCGTCGCTCCTCCCCCACCCGCCGCCACCAGCCTTCGTCGCCTTTGATTTCTGCTTCTGCTTCTGCTTTTGTTTCTGTTTCGGCTTCCCACCCATCCGTTGCGCGAAGAAAGTCCGCTTGAACCGCTCATCGTTCAGCACCCTGCGCCACCGCCGTGGCCTCTCGTCGATGCTGGCACGGAGAGCCTGCACCTGCGAGGCCGGAGGGTGCCACAGCCCGCCGCCCATGAAGCAGTTCCCGCCCGGCTCGACGTGGAGGTAGTAACACGCATACGGGCCTTTGCGCCCTGTGCGGGACCAGGCGGCCGAGAAGTGCGGCTGTGGAGTGAATTCAGCGCACGGAGCAGAGAGTAGATTACCCGAGACAGGATTTTCCCCGGTGATGCCATGATATTTATGGTCTCAAAAGGATCCGCAGCATATCTTTACACACCTTATACGGAGTGGGATCCTTGGTAAAGCGAATATCGCGATAAATGCGGAAAATGACGTCCCTGGGCGGCAGTTCCGGGATGGTCTCGTCCGCCTCGATGACCTTGGTCGTGAAAGTCTCAACGAAAGACTCCCAGTCCTTCAAGGCGCGGCGGAACTCGCCATTGTGACCTAAGGGTCGTAATTCATGCGTTCTTGTCAGCTAAAATAAACGGACACTTTTTTTTCTTCTTCACGTCAGGAGAAAAAGCCCAAGGTTATGGGGTATCGGGACGGATTCACTCTTCAACCACACCCTCCTGTTATTTTCTTTCAGATCTCGAAGGAACAACAAGGTATTTTTATGCAGCCTCGTGTCCTCGTACTCAACCCCGTCAAGCTCGCGGAGTTTCTCCAAGGGCAACACAATCACTCGTGGCCGTTCGTCTTCGTTTTGGTCCTCGAGCTGTTCTTCCTCGCCGTCATACTCCTCGTCTGCGCCCCTCACCGCATCCTTCTCTCCCTCGCTGGCCCCTTCATTAGCATAATCGTCATCTTGCTGCCCTTCTAGATCGTCGTTATCTTCAAAGTACACGCTTTTCTTGGGTGTGCTTGAGATGCGCCGAGAACGTCGTCGGGGTGTTTCATCGACAACCGAAGATGCCGCGCGCTTCCGTGGCATTATGGCGTTCTTGGGGGTGGCACCGAAAGGAAAGTGAAATAATGTTTTGAAATACTGCCAGTTAATTTCTTAGTATCTCGTGGAGGCGGGTCGAATACATGGGCTGAGCACTCGAGCCTCAAATGCGTGACGGTGATGTGATTGCGTCATGATCCAACGCGGGTAATCACCAAAGGACGCGAGAGGCAATGGTAGGATAACGCGAGTAACACGTAATCACGTGATGTTAACCTTGCGTTCATTATTAATCATGACGTTTCTGCCGATCGGAATATCTAAGGTACCTTAGGTAATGCTTGATTGAGTACACCGGAGAAGGTACCCGCCCATCATCGTCGTCCAGAGAGGCACGGTGCTCGCTGTCGAGCGGTTCCTTTACCATGTTTCTTCTCCATCAGTGTATTTAATATCAGTTAAGCAAAGGGTTTTCGTGCCTATTGAACTGGGTATCCTCCTATCCTCCTTTTAAGACGCCGTTGGATAATTTGCAGAGAGCAACCATTCTGGTGACTCTGGCAAGTGACATGTCGAGACAACCCAACCACAGAATTCGACTGGCACCACAAACCAACACCGTCCCAATTTTTTTATTTTTTTTTAAACCCCCCCAATTCACCACTGCCCTTTTCAAGCCATCGTTGAGGATCAAACATGACCCATCATCAACCAAGAACGACCTGAGGCGCCATCCGTCCCAGGGGCGTCCTGTCTCTCGGTTTCTCGATAAGGTTCGCATACCCGTCTAAACTTGACCCCATCACCCGGACCATGTCGAATATATGTGAGCCTTTGAACGTCTCCGCCCAGAGACGAATCACGGCCGCTGCGAGTTGCCTCAGCCTCGTGCTGTCCCCGGCAATGGCTTCCATGCTAGGCGGTTGTCCCGCCGTTGGGCCGCCCAGCGATGGGTCGATGGGCACAGCGAATTCCGTCTCGTCAAGCATGCGTCGCACCATTTCCAGCAGGTTCTTTTCTTCGGGAGATACCGGCGGTTCGTTCGGCCCAATCGAAGAGAGCGTCAATAGCCATTTGGATAATAGTACGGCACATTCAAAGTTGCACACTTTTTGGATTCGTTGTCAGTCAAAACATGCCACGGGGGAGGGGAAGAAGAAAAACAACAAAGAGTCACCTACGAGAGTGCTGGATGCTCCATTCTAGTGACTTCGTCCTAGCCACGTAATTAACGCCGGCCTTGACCAGTATCGAGAGGGCATGGATCGCCTGGAAGACAGCTCTGTGGAGACGCAAGCTGCGAATCAGAAGCGGCGTGTTGGTGAGAGATGACGCGATCAGCATGTGGTCGCGCGTCTCCAGGGCCCGGTTCGGCGGAATGTCGGCATACAGCCGGATGTAGGCAAGTCGGAGAAGAGCCGTCGCGTTGAAAGCCACGGGCCCGCCAGGGAAAGAGTCGCCCGTGCCCACCGGCTCGGCGGCTCGCAACTGGTGTCGGTGCTCGAAGCTGCTTTGCCAGACTCGCAGCGCCTGTGTCACATCCTCGACATCGTCTGGTTTGAGTCCCCTCTGCGGCTCAAAGGGCGGAGTCAGCGCGAAAGAAGTCTGCTTAAGGAGGTAAATGTGCTGCATGAGGGCGTGGATCAAGACGTAGTGGCCAAGCGCCGAGATGTGTGGAGGGAGAGCCTGCGGTGATCTGCTGAACAGCCTGGCGAATGCATCGTGCACAGTGATATCTACCGGTGGGAACGCTTGCCGCGCTTCCTGCCATTGCCACGCTGTTTCCGCCCTCCACATGCGAGACGGATAAGGCAGGAATAGGTTGACATCGGACGTCAAGAGGAGCGGCGGCATGTTGTACGCTATGCTGCATAGATTGAAGAAGCAGAAGGCTATCAGCTTCGTGCGCGAGGCGCCTTCTAGCCGTACCCATGTCTCCCAGTCAGGCGCAGCCCCGGGGCTAGATTCAGCTGCCAGGCCCTCTTCACGAACTAAGATGGCGATGTGGCTCTGCAGCGAGAGCGCTTCGTGCAGGATGGCATTGGCGCCCCAAAGTCCTACGGCGAAGAGGAGCAACACGGCCTGGATGGTCTCTAACCTAGCTTGGGGAGTATTCGGCGAGCTGAATTAAGCCGGGTCGCGGGTCAGCAGGCTAGAAGCTCCCTGCGGGGGGGGGGCGCGGTACGGAAATGGGGAAGAAGGGAGGGCGCATAAAGAGAAAAGAAAACTCACAATGGCTCCCGATGTGTATCTTGCGTCATGGGTCGTTCTTGCTGTGCCGAGGGAAACGTGTGTCGAAAACCGGCACTAGGGGATGGCCTCGTCGAGTGCGGGCTGTACGCAGCTGGGGTGGGGAGAAGTGCATGAACTTCATGGCTATGCCTGCGCCGGATCTGTTCCAGAGCAACTGCCTTGGCGGCATACCAGAGGGCATGTCCGCGATGACTCTCAAATCGATACTGGGCGCCGACGGCAAGAATGGCAAGAAGAAGTTCGGGGGCCATCTCTGCAGGCGTGAGACTTGGGAGGTGGAGGAAGGGGAGATATTCGTGAAACCCGCCGATGTATCCTTCAAGAAACCGGGTCAAAGTGTGGCGAGAGGGGAAGACGAAGTCGTTGGGGAGGACGGAGGAGAACTCTTCCAACCTGTTTTTTATGACGGTATGGTCGGCAGCGGAAATTCGGAGTGGAGGAGCACGTGGTTCATCTCCGCTTCTCGGAGGTCCTTCTGGGCCCTCGCGGCCGTCGGGCTGAACGGAGGGGAACCGTGAGGGATATTGCGACCCTGGTTTCGATGGACCCCGTTGACCCAAATCTCCAGGCTGCCTCGGCCACATGCCGCCGGTTTGCTGGTCGGGCTCAAACGGTGGCGGAAGAAAATGGGACGAACTGCCGAACTCGTCGAGGAAGAGATTATAGTCGTCGTACGGCGGAGGTGCCGGCTGTGGTGCGAAGGCAGGCGCCAGGGCCGGAGGCTCTTCGCGCGGGCGTTCGGAGTATCCAACCGGCTCTCCGTACGACTTGATTCTCGCATGCGACGTCTGGGGCTGCCCCATATCGGCCATCATGGGTTGCATAGGAGAGACTTCGCTGGCAAGGGCGGCATCCGAGAGAAGATCCAAATTGCAGGCCGCAGCCCGAGACTGCTGGAGGCGGGGATCTTGCGGGTGTGTCGATGGCCCAGCGGTGGTCATGGAATCCTGGCGATACTGCTGGGGCTGATGAGGGGACGGCTGAGGGGGTTGTTGGTGAGGATGAAGAGGCTGGGGAGGTTGCTGAGGGGTATGTGTCGCCGCAAGGTGGATTTGTCGTGGAGGTTGAACGGGAGTTCGCTGAAGATTAAGCATCTCATGGTCCCCATGGTTCTCGGAGGACGGGAGCTGGTGGCCCCCGGCACCTGACGACTTTCTCAACCGATTGGCATCTCTATTACTGCTTCCTTCGTTGAGGTGGACGAGTTTCTCGTGCCGTACCAAGAGGTCGCTGATGTCCATATAAGCTCTTGTCTCTCAAGCGACGCAGCTAGCAGAGTTCGTAGAACAGGGGCAGTGCAGGTAGGAATGAGGCACAGGGGAGAGAAGTCGAAGATATCTTAGAGTAACTGAAATAGCAAACGGCAAAATGAAAAATAAAAACCGAAAGGGAAAGGGAAAAAAGGGAAGATGAAAAAAAAAAATTTGAAAAAAAAAGAGAACCATCCGCGTACAGGGCGTGGAAGGGACGAGGTGATGAGGCGACGAGAACAATTCAGAGACTCGAGAACTATAACGACTCACCGACGTCCGAAGGTTTTCCCGCAACGAGCCCAACCGCACGAGAATGGTTTCTCTTTAGTGTGAGTGCGCTCATGCCTCTGCACGTGCTCTACGCGCCTAGAGTGAAGAAGCAATGTAAGTCAATGAACCGGGAAAAGGCGGGGGGCGGGGGGGGGGAATACACCCCCCAGGGGGTGGCCAAGACAAGGAACGTCGTTTACCTGAAGCGTTTGCTGCAGTACTTGCAGGGCAGCGTCTTGGGTTTCTGTTGCTTCTCGGCGGTTTCCCCAAGGGGTGCGGAGGCGGTGCTAGGAGCATTCATAGCCGAACTAAGGTGAGGAGGCTGGGCCTCGATAGACTGGACTGGCATCATGTTTTGGAGAATCCAACACGGCCCAGTTGCACACGCGGGGCGGCACGCGGTAATGAGGATTGTGCGGATTCCACAGCACCAGATGAAGTGGGGGAACCGGAGAAGGAGTGAACAAAGGTAGCCGAAGCCGAAGGGAGAGGTAGAGAAGGAGAGAAAGAGGACCTGGTCCACGTGGATAGAGGACCAGGGGCGCGGGCGCGGGGGGGACAGAAGAAGTCCCTGTCCGGGGAAAGAATCCCGTCTTTTCACGCGAAGCCAGGAAGCGTTGGCCAAGGTATGATGTCCGTTGCGTATTATTCGGAGTGGCCTCGTCGCGCAAGAAGACCCAAACAAGGGTTCATGCCTCTCTCTCTTTCTCTGCGTTTGTCCCCGTTCGTTTGTCTCTGCTCGAGAGCAAGTGGGGTGGGGGGGAAAGGCGGCACAGGCCCCTTTCGCGGAACTCCTAGGAACAGTGATATTTCGGGTGATTCTTGGGAGTTGCTAATAAAAGAGGCTCTCGGTATTCCCTAGGTCATGCCCTTCTTTGGGGTGGTTGGGGAAATAGATAGACAAGCAGGCAAGCGATGGGACGCCCACGGAGGGAGTCGACCAGGCGCTAGAAAGGGAAAAGTCGGAGCCGCGTTTGCCTCAGGTGCGAAGCAAACGTGGGAGTGAAGTGGGCGCGAAGTGATGAGGCAGCGTTGGTGAGTGATGCAGTGATGCAGTGATGCAGACGACGCGGGTCTGGATCGCTAGTTGGGCTGGGGTAGCGTTTGGTTGGTGTCGTGGTCAGGGTGCTCGCGTGATGAAGCAAGCATGTACCCGAAACGGAGGGCCTAGGTACGTTGTATGAGACGTGGAGTCCCAACTTGGATAAAATGGAAGATATATGGCGAATGATGAGAAGGGGAAGGCGCGAGAATGAGAAAAGGCGGGGAAGATGGAGAATGGGGGCCAGCGGTGAGGAGATGGGACGGAAGGACAAGCGACGACGAGCGGAGTTGATAGATGAGGAGATGGATCGCTTGAAAAAAAAAAAATTGTACGACGTATTCGTACGGTGTGACTTGACGGAAACAATTAGAAACAAAACAACCGACTTGTCCAGGAGGACTCGTATTCTCAGTATGTGTTTCGCAGTTCAGGCTCAGGTCGTTGTCGCCGTTGCCTTCGTCGTTTATCGTCAACCCCTGGTTTGGCCGTTCGTAGACACGCGTTGAGTTGTCAGAATCGTAAGGCGGTCGTGGAAAAGGATAGGCCCAGCTAGGGCACGCGCCAGGATGGAGATTCGGTAAATATGAGCTATCGGTTTGCGTTTCGTGGAGAACAAGTGAAGACGGGGAAATGGTGAGAAACAGAAGAAGAAAGAGGGGAAACAGCCTCACACTAGCTGGGGGGGCAGCTAGCTACCTAGGTAGTAGATCCGGTAAGGTGTAGCTTATCAAGGTAAAAGAGGTGACGGGAAGTGGGTGGAAGTGGGCGGTTGAAGACTTCGGGGAGCCAGACAGGCGGGGGAAGCTCTGTCAGATCCTAAGGTACCTTGGGCATGGGGCGCAGGGGAGGGCAAGGCGGGGGCTGTACGACTTAATTACAGTACAGTGCAGTAAGAGGAGGAAAGTGTGGGGGAGGGGAAAGAGGAGGGGCGGGAACTGGCATACGACACAAGACATCATCATACCTAATAAGGTACGGAGTAGAGTGTAGGGAGTACAAGTACGGATACGTGGTCGGGGATTTGCAGCTGCTGGAGTATTGTCAATGTCACTGGGCCTTTGGGTTTCCTAGGTTCTGACCGGGCGACGTTGGGAATGGATGTACGAAGAACGAATAGATACATACTAGGTACTAACTACCTTACTCCGTACCACAGTCCGCAGCGCCGTCATGTCGCCAGTGGTGTGCTCGCCTTTGCTGAGTACCAAACTAAGGTAGCGAAGTAAATATATTCATTCATATACATGTACATGTAGTTAAGATAGGTAGTTATTTGTATAAGTCATGGGAGGCTACGTGTTAGATAAAGTATAGTGTGGAAGATAGAGCAGTGAACTTAAACCCGAACCAGACGTTGATGGCGGAGCAGTGAATGAATCCTATAATCTGGGGTCGGGGGATAATGTGCCATCTGGGGTCTCGACTCCGCATTGGAGAAGGTGGTGCACCTGCCTCCACCAGTACGGATACGTTGTAATTAAGGTCAGTGATAGTGGAGTGATGACGGGCTGGGATTGCCTCGGCTCTTAGGCGGAGTAGGATGTACACTTCGTACTTCGAACGTCCATACGGACGGTATTAAGTTGTATATCAGATATTATCACAACATCGTCATGCCACGTAGCAGGACTCCGTACGGATTGATAGTTCTTAGTGCAGAAGGTTCTTATCCAGCAGACACGTACAATCTGAGAGTGGAAACAAAAAAAAATAGGTATGATGTCTCTGTTCCCCGTCTTGAAGAATAGTTTGAGAAGCATCTCGTCTTCCCCAACTTGCTGCCCAACAACTTTGGTGGGATATATGATTACCTACAACGTACCTACCTTAGGGAATTCTACAATGGTAGTAATTACTCTGCAGAGCCCTGGAATCTTTGGGCTAGTTTGGGAAACCCACTTTGCCTACCTTGCCCAAGAGAGCACCACTAACGGTCATTAGCCTATTCCACGCTACGCACGAAGGTGTTGTGTTGTACAGTGGGGGGGGAAACAGGAGGGGGAGAGAAACTTGGGGTCAGGGGGTCTTCAAAAGGTACCTAAGCTCGAGGTACCCCCAAACGCACTGACATTAGTGTAGAGCCTGGGGCCCAAAGTGTGGGGGCGGTTGGGGTTGATTCACTACCTATGTATCTCGTCTTAGTGAAGTACAGGCTTGGTTTAGGTATCATGGTATGAAACTCATGTACCCTGGTAATATTTGGCGCACAGCACATATTCCCTCGTGTCTTGGTTATTGGTCACATGGGACACAGAATTCCCAGCCCCTCACCCCCTACCAACCGGGAAGCCAACCACCATAACCAGCCAGCCTGTACTACACGTGTACTTACTTGTACGGATGCTACGACGTATGTACTGAGTACGAGCGCGTATACGAATATTCAGACAATCAGCACTCGGGCTTCTTCTATCGGCGGTGTGTGTAAGGTAGGTATGCTTGTTCTTGTCACGCCTTAAGCCTCATTGGTGCGTTTGTCGGCGTTTGTCTCCTGTTTCGGTTTCGGGTGGTTCCGATGTCGATTTCAATGCGAGATTCAAGATACCTCCCGTCCCATTATTAGCATCACACCTCCATTAACAGGACACACACTTTTGAGGTCGGGTACCTAAGTGTACTTCGTAAATGTTGGAGGTGGAGATTTCCCCCCCTGTGTCACCTTGGAATCTTGAAATACCACCTTCATGGCTATACCTCGATTCCCCTCATCTACTCGACGGTGCTGGTTGCGCGTTGTACGTCTTTGTTTCTTCTTGCCGTTTCACTGACATCTGACCCCACTGACTACCTACCTACCTACGGAGTAGCACGGATATTGTTCTCCTAGTCGAGGCAGGTTGCCTTCTATCCGTACGAAGTAGAGGCTTGTGTCCTGGAAGAACGGATCCTACCTAGAATGAGACCCCAAATCTTATAATCCTATGTATATAGATAGGTAGATAAATCGCTAGCGATACGATACAATATCTAATTGTACACTCATGGGAGATGCAGAGACATAGTATCCTTGTCTTAATCCTGATCTAGCCTGACCGCGGTGATGGTGTAATAAACCTGGAAAGAGAAGAAGAGAGGCTCTGTGTCAAATTGCCTGCGTGCTCTAGGGATGCTGTGTTTTGCAGCCACAGTACTTTAGCATGATGGTCTTAGACGATGGATCGAATACTTGGATCAGGTCTGCATCGAGGCAAAGCCGCAATGTGGCAACCCAAATGCTAGCACAACAATAGAACAGGCACGTATCCCAGACTAAGAAGCGCGTCAACTAACCTAAACTGACAATTCAACATGAGGTTACTCGTAAAACAGTTCTCTCATCCAAACCGCTGCCTCGCCAATTCCTTGAGCCCCTTCATAGTCCCCTCCTCCCGCTCCCGCCACAAGCGCACCCTTTCCTCCCGCTCGGCCTCCTTCGCCCGCGCAATCTCCTCCCGCCGCAGCTCCCGCTCCGTCTTGCGCCGCTCCTCCCGCGCCTTCTCCCTCCGCAGCTCGTCCAGCCCACCACCTTCCCCCATGAGCTCGCCATCCCCCACCGCCGCGTCCCCGCCAGGCGACCCCTCCCGGAACCCGCGCATCTTCTCGTTCACCGCAGCCCGTTTCTCCAGTCGTCTTTCCCGCGTCCCCGGGTCCGCGCGCGGCACCAGCTCTTCCAGCCGCTCCTTCTGCTCCTTCCGGTCCCTCGCGCGGGCCGCCCGGATGTCCTCTATGCCCTTTTCTCGCCCCGCCTGCGCTTCGGACACACGCTCATCGCGTTGCGCGGCGAGGTCATCCAAGGTTGGGATCTTGGGGCCGGGACGGCCTGAACCGGAACGTATCGTCGGGGGTAGCGGGGGAACCATGTCGTCGTCGTCCTCGTCCTCGTCGTCATCTTCATCGCCACTAACCCTGCCGTAGCCCTTGTCGTCCTTTGTGCGGCAATCGCCCCTAGAGCCCTCACGTTCCCAACTCTCGTCCCCGCGCCGACGATCCCTGTCCCCACCACGCCTATCTGCAGGCCCCGATGGCTGACGTGCCACCGTATCGTCTCGGGACGCAGTATCCGGAGAAAGAAGTTCGGCCGCCCTCTCCTCAGCCGTTGCGAACATATCCGGATCATACCACCCTTCCCTCAACTCCCCGCGGTTCCACTTCCCCACGAAGCTCTTCCACCGCCCCCTGGCCTCCCGCTCATCCATGCGCGCCAGGGACTTGCCCTTCTGGAGGTCAAGGTAGTACGCAAAGAGGGCACGGAAAGCGCCAAAGTCAGACTTGGTCAGCGTCCGGGCGTCGAAAGGAAGGGAAGCGGGCGTCGTGCCGCCGCCGTGTGGAGTGGACGAGCCGTGTCGTCTATGGCGGCGGTCGCGCGATCTTTGCGGCGATCTGGATCTGGACCTTGACGCATACTGCCGCTTACGTCTCCCGTCTGGAGACCGAGACCGGGTCCGAGAGTGCCTCCCCATATAGCGATCACTCCCCGGCATCGCGTGGCTGGGTTACGTGTAAAAGTAAGGCAATAATGGTAGCTGTAATATCTGCCCTCGGAGAGGGTATATTCTTTGGCCCCGGACACCCAGACGAGCCGCTGCGATGTAGACGGACGAGTAAGAAATCGAGTTGATGGCGGATAGACTGAAATTTCCCAGAGAGAGTGATGCAATGGTCGACAGCAACGGTAATCGATTTGTGAGAGGGGTGGGTTTTGTGAGGCAAGCTGTTAAGCTGCGTAGAGACGCCTGTATTAAGGTTGGAAGGAGTTGTCCAACGAAGGATGAAGATGCGCCGCGCCGGTTGAGTTTGAGATTAAGGTACGTAAGGTACTTCCACGAGCCACCCTGGTAGATGCTTATGTGCAAATTTGCATATACGCATGTGAGACAATCGAGCGTATCGTATTAGCGAATTTGAATCTAAGCGACATAGCCACTGGCTTCCAAGCCGGGTTTGGGGGTGTAGGACAGAGCCCTGACAGAGCTAAATCTGTCAGCACTCTGTTGACAGAGTGGCCAGGTAGACAGAATGTAGACATAGTGTCGACATTATGTCAATTTGGTCACTTGACAAGCCTAGCCATAATAGTACGTGCATAATCTGTACATGCTGGTCACTTGGCCTGCGCGTGGTCACTATGCTAACCGGTTTTCTGTCCAATAGAACAGAGGGCCAAGGGGCCATTATGATAGCCAGGTATTCTGATAACCCTTGTCATAATAAAATGCTAGTAAACTGTCGTGGGTTAGGACATATTACTAAAATAACAGATGTTCAATTCGTAATAATGACAGTGTAGACATTAAGTTATTGATTTAGCCATATGCCCGTTCGGTGAAAGATGGCCAGGAGGGATATATGTTAAACTACACCAGATTTTCACGATCAGTAATATGTCGGTAGCATCGTAATCTGTCTACGGTTTGTTATATATCTCGATGGTAAGATGACCAGCTTACCAGATGGCGAAGGTAAATGGAAATTGGAAGGTCTACTGCTATTACTACCTTACCTTATTTAACGACCGTTGTTATTTTCATGGAGGTTACGGTATATTCTGGATGCATAGAGGCAATGATATGAACCGTGAGTACCTTAGTGAACCAGGGAATGAATTTGACCCTTCACGCTTGGTGTAATGGTAAATATTACCTTATCCACTGACCCGAGAGTCTCCCCATGCCTAAGGTAAATCCTTATTATCCCGCCCATTTGAACCTGTCCAGCAACCCACTTGGTGATAATTCCCTGTGATAGACTCCTCCCGGCTCCCTCAAGACCTCAACCCGGCAAATTAGCAATGTTCCTTTGGTGAAGTTGAAGAAGAAATGGCAAATTATCCTGCCTGTGATCCTGTGAACGGCGAACCTAGCAAGTAAGATCGTCAAAATCAACGTGTAGATAGCAAGTAAATGATGCTAGACTGTGAAATCTAGATGTCGCTGGTGGACTCAGCATTATTGGCATTGCCAGCGTTATTGGCTGCGAGCTCGCGAAAATGATCCTCCTCAGACTGATCGTCACGACGAAGTGGACTATATGCCTCTTGAACTCGTTGGTAAAGCGGTTCACGGCTCGGATTCACAACAGATTGATAGGGAATACACCCATATATGTTCGTATAGTAAGCATTTGGCGCGGTGGTGAAAGCAGAGACTGCAGAGGGCTCACGGGTCATAGTCAGACCAGGAGGGGAGGGATAGGTCATGATGAACGCAGAGCGGTCCTGAGCCATGCTTCCAACTCTGCCAGTGTTCTTGGTGACCTTGTCCTTACTGACTTTGGTTAAATTGCCAGTGCTCTTCGACATCTTGCTGGCCTTCGTGGCATTGCCGGCCTTCTTGGCCTTGGTTAAATTGCCAGTGGTCTCGCTGGCCTTAGTGGTCTCGGTCTCGGTGGTCTTGGCCTTGTTTGCTTTGTTAAGCGCGCGTTTTCCGGAAGCATGGGGATTATGGCCTTTTTTGTCGGTGTTCAGCTTCGTGATGCTGATAGCGAGAACCTGTTTCCATTCGTCAATGCCTCGGACGTCGGGTTCACCAGGAGGGCCGGGAACAGGGAAGCCGGCTTCGTAAGCAGCATCTCGCCACTCCGCCACCTTGACAGCATTGTTCTCGCTGGCGGCGGCAAACTTTACGATCTTCTCTCGCATAGCACGAGGGAAGTTGGTTTCACCATTGTATGGGACAATGGCTGCCAGGTAGAGGCCACAGCGAGGGCGATCGTTAGAATCTTCACGAAAGCTGTCGGCAAAGCGGCGGTAGGCAAGCACCTGGGACTTGACAACTTCGGAGCGAACCATGTTACCGTCGTGTTCGTGTGGCAGCTATGAGAACTGGACTGTTAGTATTATCCCAGGAAAAGGTGAACTATGAAATCCTTACATTTTCTCTGGGAGATGGTAATATATTGCTCTGGGCAACTCGGGGGAGGATCTGAAGTTGATTAGTTGGTGTCGTGATCTCGTGATGGGAAAAAAGCTGGAGATATATGGCCAGGGGCAAGTTCTTGAAGAGGGAAAAGACGATAGAGATCTTGGAGGTAGACCAGGAGGATCAAGGTCTTATATTTCTAGAGAAGAAGTAAGTCAAGAAATCAAAAATGAAACCTGGGAGTTTGGAGGCAGGCAATATCGGTCAGTAGAGGCAAGATTGCTCTGGGATATTATCGTAGAGAAAGAAAGATCGTATATGCTTGCTGTTGTTACTAGAGAAGGAAGCTGATTGCTGTTATTGTAAGAAGGAAGCTGAAGATGATTGCTCTATCGGGAGGGGGAGATAATTACTATCACCATAACCTGTAAGGAAACTTAGAAGATAATATCAATCTAGCTGATTATAATTGTGAGCAAATAGGTATGATATCTGACTGCCTACCGAACTCCTGACCCATAGCCGTTATGTCCCTGATAAAACAAATGTTAGAAGTTGTTGGTAAAATGGGTAGTCCGAATCTTGGAAACCATAAGAAGGTATGTCGTGAACCCCAGCGCCTAACATCCCCCATACCTAAAAGTAGAAAACACCATATCATATCTCTGCAAGGTAGGTTAACCGTTCATCGCCATAACCGAGTCCCCTAACGCCGCCATTTACAACCCGAAAAAAGAAGTGCAGGAAAAAGAAACAGCAAGGCAAACATTACTGCATACCAGCGACATCGGGAATAGCATCGTCGCTGTCCTGGGCACCCTCTCCCGATGCATTACCCTGATTAGTCGATGGTAAAATCATCGAATGGGTCTCGAAGTCGCGGTCCCGTGGCCTGAATGCGAATTCATCCTCATCAAAGTCCAGGAAGTCTTCCTTCTCCATCGACGACCGAGGGAGTTCCGATCTTTTCACCGATTTAACAAGGGTGATATCATCGACGACGTAGTGTTGACTCTGTTCCGCATGTCGGATTTTGCTAAATCGCATAAGACACCACCGCCAGTCCATTGTGCGTGTGTCAGTAGGGACTCCCGAGGCGATGTCTCGTTTCCACATAAGGTGGCGTTTGATTGTCATGCACAATTCGACATATATATCTATATGCTAAGGTTAGTAAACTCTTTGGAGTATTGGTTAAAGGCCGGAGATCCTAACTTACAGAGGCACCAGCGTCGGACTCTTATGTCACTTCCCGCGATGGTAATCCAGCCCCTACAAAAGACAAAAAGGACTTCGAATGTGTCGGGATTAAAGGACTTGTTCAGGAAATCTTGTAAATTCCTGATGTCCTTCTCTCTTCCGAACATGACAGGAGAGTCTCGCTCCAGCTTGAGGACGTGGGCCTGAACAATTAGTTTAACGATGCCAGATGCATTGCCGATGAAGCTTACTTTGAGACTGTACATCGTGCGCGACTTCCATGTGTTGCAGTTCGTCTGGAAGCGTTTTCGAGCAAGGTCTCGAATCCATTCATTCTCAGGACCCTGGGAATTTCTGAGGTAGAGGCCCACGGTATTTCCCATCCAGGATTTATTGAGGGTGAGCAAGAACACCTTCCTTGTTGATTGCTCTAGTCCACGGAAAATAGGGCGCAGTTCTTCGGCCCAGTTAGTACTCTCCTTCGTAACATAATGCCGCCTGGCACGCTGGGGGGGGGTTCGGAGCGTTGGGTGGCTTGGTAAAAATCAGTATATTATAATCATATAAGAAGCATCGAGTAAAAGATATATGGATTTGGCTTACAATGTGTCGCTGAATGTAGCTCGTAAGCTCGTCCTCCCGGACAGGACCAAGCTTAGTCGTCGAATCATCTGGCTGAGACTCGGGAGCATCGTATCCATCAGGGTTTACATACTCCTCATGATTGCCATCATCATGATTGCTATCCAGTATGTGCTCGTCATCTTCGTCGAAAAGATCTGGGTCGATAGGTGTTGTCTCTTGGTGAACTGTTTGAGAGGTGGAAGTAGAGTTGATTTGACTGTTTTCCAGTTGGTGAAGTCTTTGGGGGTTGATGCCACGTCTAGCCTGATTCTGGTTCTGGCTCTGTGTGGATCGTTGAGGAGGCCTTACCGGCTTCTGGACTCTATACTGCGGGTTGGGGTTGACGGAGGTCGTACGATGCTGTGGGCGCGATAATCCTATCGTCGTAGCTGCGACAGACACCGGACAGACCCTGGACAGACCATGGACAGATGTACAGTCTGACAGATGGATAGATGGACAGAGTGTTGCTTCGACAATTGAAATTCCAGGGTCGTGTCCTTGAACTTCAAAGGGATTTTACCAACAGAGTGCCATGAAATAGAGAGATGGTGAAACGAGAAAATCAGAGATGGTGAAAAGGGAAAATCAGAGATGGTGAAGATGAGGGAGGTTTGAGGTATTTACCCTACCTCCCGCTAATATAATGTATGGTAAGGTAAGGTACCTTAGATCGTGGAAGGAGTAACCGAAGGCGGGCAGGTATAACTTTAAAATAACGGGCGCGTGATTCATGATATCACGCGTTTTAGCTCCAGGTTCTATGTCGATTTTTTTTTGGGGGGGACGGCTTAGGTAAGGTCTATCAGGCGAGGTGGTGAACTTCCGAATACCCTATACGATATACCTTACCACGAAAAACTTCATGAGGTGCTTTACTGATTCTTCAGATAAGTGTAGTCTGCCTCTTTTTTTCTTTCTATTAAGATGTATTCCTCTGGTGGGAGGAATATCTTGCCCCGGCGGCCGCCTCCTGGGGCAACACGACCACCTCGATTTTCACCATATGCCCTTCAACTTCCCAGAGAAGAAGAACTTGTACCGCCGGGTCAAGATGCCTCTACTCGCCGCCAGCGTCGTCGTCAACAGCTCAGAGATGCTCGTGCTATTAAGAATAGCGAGATCGTTGACTGGTTAAATAATGACGACTTCGGGGTAGCTGGGGATGTTACCGTTGAGCGCCCTGAGCCTGAGCCTGAGGTAGATATTCATATGGAATTGGTCCCGACACCAATGATCGTTCACCAGATCATGCCGATGCTAGTGAACTCCTGGGCGCTGATGCTCTCGACACTATCGAAAGGATACTCGACCATGCAAGGGCTGGTGAAATCAACGAAGATCCGGAGTCTGATACGTCGTCAATATCAGGACAACATCTGCCCGAACAGCCCGACGAGGAAACTCCTATCGCACCTGCGCCGGTTCTCGAGGACAACATTAACAATGAGTCGGAAGAGGAACTGGAAGAGCGATCTGCCTCAGCTACCCTTGATTTTACGGAATCAACGACCCTGGATTTTACAGAATCAGTCACTCTCGATGCCTCAGAGTCACATACTGCAGAGAATTCCGCGCCCAGTTCACATTATCATTTACCAGTGGACACCACAGAGGAGGTTCGCCACACGCCATTGGATTTCACTATGTCTGTGACGGCTTTCAAGATGGCCTTGCTAGTCACAGACGCGAGTTTTTCACGATCCACCTGGACTGCCCTTGTCGAGATTTTACGGACGTCCCCCATTGAAGAACTTCGAGCTTTACCGAAGGAAAAGGACAGCCTTGTCAAGCAGCTCAAGTCCCAGATACCGTTATGCACCATTCGTAAAAAGGTTGTCACTCTCGATGCATCTAAACTACCGAACCGGGCTCTTCACGTCGAAGATTTACTTGCCTTTGACTTGAAGCATATGCTGGAGACAATGCTTAGTTCGTCAAGCATTCGCAAACTGACATATCAGGGTATGTTTTCTTTCCCTGCCTACCTTCCAGGTTATGGTATCAGGCTAATTAACCGACTTTTACTAAGGAATGGCTCGTTTTAACCCCTCAGGGAGAGAAATGTGGGATTCCAGGGTTTGGGGTGAATCACTTCGCACGACATCCGGTCAATTTCACCGATATACCGATAAAACGCCTATCTTCCCGTCTGACTTCGTGAAACACCGCTGCTACGACAAGCGCTGTTGTCCCGATAACGCCGCGCCTAGACATACTGGACGAGTTACCTGGGCAGGGTTGGACTATTCTGACGACGCGAGAAAACGAGGCACTGTTGGGGATCCTATCGTTTTCATCGAGCCGCTATTTACGCCCCAGACACTGCCCCCAGATAGCAGAGAAGCCTTTACGCAACTCCCTGCTTTTACGCCAAGCGCTGCGTTTCAGCGTGAAGTTATCCTCGGTGAAAAAATGGCGGTAAGGCTACCCGCCAGTACTGTCGTTGAAAGGGTCGAGCCTTTTCTTTTTTACGACTTTGATCCAAAGAGACCCGATACACACTCCCCTCCGCCGACCGCGTATAACGTGATCCGATATATCCTGGATGGAGACACTCGACAGTTTAGGGCTTTGATAATTTCAAACCCACACCGCGGTGAACTCGAGATTCAGACATACGGGCGCGACTGGTTTGTTAACCAGTTCGATGGTCAGCGTCAGCCAGTCCTATCACTGCCATGGAAGCTTTTCTGTGATGCGTTTGGGGTTTACCGAAATATGTACAGGTCAATCCTCGGCATCTACGGTCTTCCTGCATTCCTGCCGGATAGTATAGGCACCCGGCGTGCCCACGTTTTACCAATCACACTCGTTCCTTTTGGCGCAGACCATGTCGAGGCCCTCCAGAGTTTAACGCAGCTAGGCCAGTTAGATCAGGGATGCCGTCTTACGATCGCCGGAAAAGACCAGTTCGTGTGCGCCTTTCCCCTCTGCTTTCTCGGAGATATGGTTCAGCAACAGGAACTCTCTGGTTGCCTGTCATGGCGAGCATCAGTCCCTTGTCGTGAATGCCTTATTACGACAGCGCAACGATCAAACCTTGACTTCGATGTCATCAAGAATGGCCGGTTTTACCATCATATGCAACGTACTCGTAAGGAATCCGAGGTTATTCCTCAGGTCAAGGCAAGACGCGAAGCATTCAGAGCAGTGGGACTACGAGAGGAAGATGATTTACAGCGTGCAGTCGCCTTATGGACCCCAGCCCTTGATCCGTTTAGGACAAGGGTACCAGATGCAGCACACTCTGAATTAACAAGCCTGGTGAAAACAGTACATCGTATTCTCCTAGCCCATATTATCAGGTCGCAATACCACGAGGACTATTTACGATGGTTTCAACAGTTCCGACTCCCACCAGGGTATAAGCGTATTCAATCACCTCTTACACACGCTGAATCTTGGCGGATTATGGAATGCAGCATGGCTTCTATTATTGTACCGGTGATACTACGACATTTTCTCTCGCCTCATCATATCCACCCAGATTTCACCGCCGCTATTGTATCAGAAGCACCGAATTTCTTCCCTGACGCCTCTAATCCAGGATCTGCGTCTTCCATCGTCGTCAAGTGCTTCTGGAACATTGCCAAGTCTAACTTGCAGGTCTGCGGGCGACACCCCCCACCACTTACACGTACCGAGTTTCTGCGTGTTGTTATGTCTGGCCGCAAGTCTTTCCAACTGCTAGTACAGGCTGCCGCGAAAAGCATCCGTTCACAAAATCCGAGAGGGAGGCAAAAGACACAGCAAGGTTAGTTGGTGAATCTTCTCTTATTTGACTACCAAATTAAATGCCGATACTAATATCTATTTACGATATTAGTTCAAATTCCCGACAACCTGACTCAAGCAAGCCAAATCACAACTGCGACCGGCTTCACGAACATAGGCTCAATAAATGGAGATACCCTGGATCCTGAGAAGTTGACCGGATCCAAGAAAGCGCTAGCCTATTACCGTATGAAGGGTTTACTAAACGTTCATGTCGGTTTACATCTTTGGGATATTTCCTATACATATGGGATGTGTCGCAATGCCTTTACTCTTCTGGGCGAGGATAAGCATCGGTATGTCGTACTAATGGAATTTGCCTGGGTAGCCCTGCTGTTTACTGCGCTGACATAAAATCTTCTATCGTCCAGGGAATATAAGAGGGATATCACCAAGACAAACCATCGAAACGCAGCTTCCACTCTAATTTTTCGCGAAAGAATCAGAAAAGCGATGCAATTCGGTCTCGCTGGTTCGTACGAGACTTCCTATCCCGATATTCACAACGCCTTTTGTCATTTCCGTCGGGATTGTAAAACTCTGTCAATCAGAATTGAGAATCAGATGCAGGTCGGCTCGATCGAGGAGGATGCAGAATTAGAGCCTCTAGCCTGGGCTATTAGAATCAAGGATGATCCAGAACATCGAAGGCCTAGACAGAGTCGACTTCTAAAACAGACAGCTATACAACAGCAGGATGATCCGCTTCTACGTGTTCTTCAACCGTCCAAGGAACCCGAGGATGGTGAATTTTACCAACTGCTTCAGAAAGCATACAGGGACGACTATAACATGACAAACATACCCGTCGTAAAAGGAGACACTCCACGATGGAGTGGCAGGATTGCTTTCACGAGAAGGTTCGCTTATTTTACCTTATTATATATTTCTCTGCAGGTTAACTAACTTATATTCTATCTTAGCAAGAATGAAGATATCTGTTTTAGCTGCGGCGACTTTGTTTGGACAGGAAGTCCTCGCCGCCTTGCCCGTATCGACGGTGTTTTCGGGCATAAAATCTCCTCGTCCTACCGAATCTTCTTCGTGCTCACTTTCACCAACTCCAACACGACAGAACTACCTCCAGATGAAATCCTTGGATGCCCAGTCTATAAGTTAACAGACTTCCGCCATATTGCTGGGCTTCCGGCCATTCACCCGGACCGTGAATGGATTGTGCCAAGGGAGGATAGGACGCTGCTAATCCGCCTTTTGATATCTATATTGTAGACAGAGGGCAGTGCGGTAGTTTGCAGACTAGGAGTAAGAAACAGAGGACGGAATTTTAACCGTTTTACCACTACCTAATAAACGCCTTATACCAGATCTCTATATAACCAGCTGGGTACCTTGCCTTGCATATTAATTCTGTTCTATCTTATGTGCTATTCTTGCCTGCAACGACCTTAATCTCACCGTGCCTTCACGAAGTTATGGCAGGAAGGAGCACCAATTAGGTACCCGTAAGAGCACCTTCCACATCGTGTATACGCGTGATCGATATTTTACTACACCTACTGTTGTTCTTTTACGGATTCTTTTCTCTCAACCTCTCCATCTTCCCATCCGTCAAGTTTCCGGGTCTCCCACCGCGTTCAAGATCCACGTTTTCACAGAAGAAGAGTAAGATATAGTTATATTTCACTACGGCCGTCACTGATTAGGATTCATTTAACCATCCTCTTTCTAGCACACCACATTCCTCTCCAAAGAGAAAGCCAATATCCAAAGCATCAAGGTTCAAACATCTGATCAATGTGAGTTGCTATCTCCCGTATATTAACCATCTTCGACGCAATATTTACGAAGGCTCTGATATTAACTATAACCAGCATGTCTTCAGCCGCAGAGAACAATGGAACAACCCATCACGATGAAGATGGAATGGTAAGAGTCCTTCTCCTGTACTGGTACTCTATAAGGTATTATCTAACGAATAACTAAACAGGGAAACTCCCCTTCCATGGCCCAGAACGTTTTGGGTATCTCTGACGATGAGGATGATCTTATTCTCCTTGACCGCGTCTTTGAAGCCATGAGACTTCACCATCGGGCCATTCACAAGGTCATTAATTGCATGAACCGCATGAATCAGGCTCTCGAGGACCATACCCGTGGCATGAGTTCTAACAAAAATAACCTCAGGCTCTTCGCCGCCACAGTCCAGGCTATGGCTGAGGCTTTCGAGAAGACCGAGGAAGTTGTGCGTATGCGGGAGGACCTCAGGGAAGATACTCGTCGTATAATGGGACTTGCGGGAATGCCTCTGCAGGACATCATTAACCATCCTGCCGCCACCAACCGTTCTGCGTTCACTAACTCTCGTGGACAGACTGGCAGTGACGAGAATGAGGATGCCAACGCGGACATTACCATCCCGGACATTGAGGATGAGGATGACGAAAACAAGGAGAACCTGTAGCCGGAGGTCTAAGGTAAGAGCTACCGGTATAGCTATTGTGAACTACGACGTGATAAGATAGCTACCTTACATACCACATGAATGTGCCAACAAGGGGATTTTACAATTTTAATTCTAGTACTTATTTGCCGTGATGCGTCCTCTTCCAGTTATGGTAGTGGTGTAGAGTTGACGTCCAAATTCTATCACGTGACAAACAAAACACGGTCACCCTTACCCCGCTCCAAGCGTGAAAAAACAACGCGTTATAGACCCGCCTAATCCTTTTCTGTAAACCACCACCCGCACTATCATCCTCCTCCATCAAACCATCACAACCAGAATCATCAACACTATCACTGGAAAGGCATAGACCTTGTCGATTATTACCTCTCTTCAGTCATACTACTGCTCTATGCCATTTACGATATATTTTCGTTGTACAGAATCACGAAGAATCTGCTGCCATTGTCTTGTTTCTTGGCGCCTTATGCAATCCGCCGTCGTCGGAAATGACCATTTTTTGCATTCCTCCCATTTTTTGCATCTACTATTCTCTGCATACTAACCTGGAAGAATCTACTATCGTCTGGATGACAGGAACCCAGCCTCTCTTGCATCATATCTTTTGCATATGCTATCTTTTTGCATATTATTTACCACATCTCGAGCCTGTTCACTAACCACGAGCTTCCTTCTAGATGCCTACATACCTTATACTATCTACTGGTGATGATCCCAACCTACCTTACTTATGCACCAAGCGATAGACAGCCATCAGTCATCATCTGTCCTGTGCTCTCTGACCAAATTCACTAATCCTGATGCTAGGGCCTCCATAGTACCGAAGCGTGCCACACCATATAACGCTGCAGCGGTCGAATGCTCCTGGGTATGATATGAAGCCACTTCTGAGCCCGTGAAATGTAAATGTATAGTCGATGCATTCCGGTTCGCTGGCGTTGCGGTTCGACGACAGGAATTTATTGCCTCCAAGATTTCAGTATGGTATGTCAAGGGCTTTAACTTCTACTGCTCGTTTACTTACTAACCTCGGGGCGCATTACCTAGAAATTCAATTCTTCTATAACTGTCCGGGTAGGTGCTGAAACTCCCACGATGTTTTCCTGGAGGTTTGCTCACCGTTTTTACGACAACAGGAAGATCAATAATTCTACTTCGCGCGTCGATTTCACGGTTGCCGTCTATGCTTATTATCATCTAGATTCCGATTTCCTGTCTTCTTTTCACTATAATCGTCCCTCGAACATCCTAATACTCATCCTCGAGGAGGCCTTGTCGTTCATCCAGGTATGTCAAACCCATACTAAATTTACCAACCGTGTACTAATTCAGTACACTCAGGATAATCAATCAGTTGTACCACCACACATTCCAGACAGGTAAGCATCGACCTGGATCTCTCCATCACTGCTAGACATTGCTAACATGCAAGGTATCACCAGATAAATGGATATCGATGACAGCAACATTCGCCACGAAACGAAACCCGTCATATATACTGTGTACCTTCACGATCGAGACTCCCTGTACGTTGACGCGATTTTCCACTTCACTAAATCAACTATACTAATGCCGGGACCCTAGGTAGGTTCGACTTGTTGACTTTACCTTATATTTAGGTAGGCAACGGTCGCCGTCTAGTCTTCTTCGAGCCACCTTCTGCATTTTGCCACCGACACAATCAGGATAACATGATGCTTCCGATCGACAGGATCAGGACAACAAGATTGCTTTCGATCGACACGAGCATAACAACATGATGATTCCTATCGCTGTCAATTCAGGTAGGGTACAGCAACCTGGCGATAATAATCAGTGAACTGGCAACCTCAGGTTTGAAGCTGGGTGGGTGGTGCATCACCACTTATTTTCACCAATGAGCATGTAGTATTGGATCGCGTTTTTCCACCAATAGAAATCTTATTTTACTCACCAATCAAAAGCCCCAGTGTGTTTCGTATTTTCACCAATCAGAATTTATTAAGCAGAAAATTTGGACCAATCAGAATATTATATCGTGTACCAGGTATACCGCCTGAGCCATATAATTTTGGACATCTTACTATCTCCGCCATATGTCCAAGCTTAGTACAGCTGTCCTATCAAACATCTGTCGGGATGGACAGATGCCTAGGCGCCTGGTTATTTAGCAGCGTAGATTGCTGTTCACAACGATATCTGACTGACGTGGTCAACTTTCACGATGGTCAGTTGGAGAGAGCAAAAGCTGACAGGGCTCATTATCTGTCCACGGGGCCACTCTGTCAGCTTATCCACTCTGTCAGGTTTATCAAGTGTCACTGATTAGACATCGTTACGTACCGGCCAAATGGCAGTGACTTAACCACCTGTCAAACGGAACAGTCTGATTATGCAGGTCAATGTGTTTCACTAAGCATATTACTAGAGCGCGTCACAATATCGCATTGAAATTATGTACACTTTTGTAAACTGTCCACTGCGACATATATCTACTTAGTCATGAAGTTCTAAGGATGACCACGCCGTAATCTGTCCACCCCTGTCATTCTATCGACACAATGGCCATGCTCTGTCCTACAAACCCCCAAACCCGGGTAGGTTGTCACGGTCTAGCCCTATATGTTCTCTTCCCCTTCTCCTTATCCAGGAGTCCAGTTAATAGGGCCCGGTTGATATTCATCAACAGTGATCCAGGCGAAGGCGTAATACTCTAGGTACTATCAAACGAAACTCTGAAAACTTCCAGGTTGGTTAACACGTGCGTAAGATAGTGCAGATGGTCAACCTCTTGGTAAACTCCGTTCATCATGTCTATCTCTTCTTGTTTCTAACAGTCCATGATTAAAAAAGAAAAAAAGAAAAAAAAAAAAGCACACAAATGGCCTCCACGACGATCCGCAGGGGTATCAATGCGAGATTGAAAAAAGTCGCCGCTATATGGGACGGTACTACAGTGTTCCAACCCCACCCAAAGCATGAAGCGCGCAGCTGGTAAGAGAGAACAGGGTATCAACTTCTCAACGTTTTCAACTGGGCTCCCCGTTGTGGTTGTGTATCTCACAGCCGATACACTGACAATCGTCCCCGCAAGGGCAAGACGCCGTTTCGCCCAAGCAAGACTCGAAGGGATACTCGACGAAGAAGAAGTCGTTCGCTGGCAGCTCCTCGTTGACACCCGAGGCGGCATCAGACGGGGTCTGCGGAGCTGATGGCGAGCCGCCTGCGTCTGCGGTTAGGCGGGCGTCTGATGTCAAGTCTAAGTTGAGATTTGCCAAGCCGTTCATGTTTTCCTGTACGGCAGGCGAGTTCTTCTCGCTGATAGCGCCGTTCGTATGGAAATAGGGGTCCTCCACGGTCATGCTCTGCCAAGCTGACCTTATGCAGTTCTGGGTGGCCTCGTTGTACGGGTGGGCGGCACAGCCGACACACTGGCAGCCATCACCGCATGAGCAGATATGGGATACACCCGCCGCCGCATTTGCCAGGTGAGAAGCAGGTCCCTCGTTCGGGTTGAAAGGCAGTGGCGTTGTCATTTCATAAGAAGATGGTTGATGTATGGGCTGGCCGAGTTGAAGGGCTTCCATCGCCTTCCTCCACTGTGCAGGTTGAAGCGGTGCCAAGTACGACCCGTACTGAGGCGGGTAGGTGAAGAGGGTGGGTTGCGGGAAGTATGAGGCATACATCGGCTGGCCAATATTCATTGGACTTTGGAACGGGGTCATGGCGGCTCCATTGCCTGCGGGAACTCCGTTCCCAGGCGTCGTGTTCGGCTCTGCGGGTGACTGCACGTTCTTGGATGAGCAGCACCCGCCTGCTTGAGGCTTAGGGGCAATTCTAGGACTGGAAGCCGCACTGTCGGGAGGAGTATCTTTTATTTTCCCTGGAGGTGCGGCGCAACATGACCGAGCTCCTGTCGTCTTGACTGCGGTTGAAATTTCAGACACTTCTGCAATCCCGGAACCGACTACGGAAGACAATGCCGGTGCCTCTTGAGAATTGTGGGACACGAGGGGCGCCATGGGCGGCTGGTATAGAGGGTATGTCATCGGACTGTGGAGTGACCCGTTGGGGCTCAGAGGGACTCCCTGAGTGTAGTCCAGACTATGCCGGGGAGTCGGCGCCATCACAAAAGGGACGCTGCCATTCAACTGGGAAGGCACCGTTTGCGACATGTCGTAGGCGGGCAAGATGTTTGTTTGGCTTGGGTCCATACGCTCGAAATTGGCGGCACTAAAAGACTGCTTGCGGCCGTTGGCTTTGGCATTCGGTTTCGAGACGCGATACGTGGAGCTAGTTGTCATAGGCTTCATGGTGGCTGGCGAGGCGGGCAGCGCCTCGCCAGCGGGCGACTCGACTTTAATGACGCCTGGGCCGTTGGAGTTCGAACCGTTGTTGCTGCTGGAAACGGCGCCGTTGGATCCACAGTTGCATTTTTGCTTCCTGGGGATGGCGGCTGTGACGCTGCCACATCCACAGCCGCGGGACGGCGGATGCGGGCATGAACTGAGCGGTCTTCCGGGTTTCCGGACGGGGATCATCAACCGTTCATTGGCGTGGGTACATTTGGTGGAACGATGGCCCCGAATGCATGGCTCGCTAGGTGACGGAGGAAAAAAAAACGAGTTAGTTTTGGTTTCGATACCATGCGCACTTGCGGGTTCGAGAGTAGCAGACTCCAAATAGGAAGGTTTTGAAAGGGTTCTGTTCGGGTGAATTGATCCAGCCGGAGCAGTAACCGCTAGAAAAAAGGGGTAAAAAAAAGAAAACACAGGTGAGAGGAAGGAGTGACTAACCAAGCCATCTTCTGGCCGTTGATGATTGGCATTATGGGCAGCCGAGGCCTAGGCCAGCGAGGGGCATCTAAGTGCGGATAAAGGAGATGGCGAAATGAATGTGCAGCGTCCTCCGCTCGTGCCGATGTAAAAGCTTGAGCGGTGCTACTGCGATAGAGGCTCCAGACACCCCGGAACAAAAGATGAAAGTTCCGCTCGTGTAGTTTCGTCGGTGGAAGAGTACGATTCAGAACGACAACCAGGCAGAGCGAAGACCGACGGTTTTGGGCTCACAAAAATGAGCACGTGCTAGAAGATTGGGAAAGAGGCGAGAAAAAGGCCGACAAGGGTTTAACGAAGGGCGACGGCGTTACATGTAGTAGTCATCGGCCGAAGAGAAGGCTGAATTTCGGTAGGAGGAAGGGGTACGTTGTATAAAGGCGAATGCGCCGCACCCAGAAAAACGCGCTGGGAAGTGCGGGGGAGGCTGATTGGGTTGCGCTTAGTTGGACGAACGCATGGACGAGCGTTCAGGGAACGTTGGATCGTTGGATGACGGCCTGGTAGGTAAGCGGCCAGGGTACCTACCGGTAGTACGTGTAGGAAAGGATGTGACACTCGTTGCGTGCGTTATGTGTCTCCGGGGAGCCCCAGGTCGCCAGGCGAAACCGGGTCGATCTCTGACGGCTCTGACCTTCCTTCGCGAGCCAAACAAATGGATGGAGTTTGGTCTGACCGCAGCTTACCGCGGCAAGGTAAGATGGCACTCAATGGCTCAACGAGTCAAAAGGATCTGTCCGTGGATAGCGTGGAGAGGCGTGGCATGGCGTGGCGTTCGGGGGAGAACCAGACTGGCTCTTTGCAACCGACGTCCTTCTCCAGGGAGTGTCTCGGGATGCCTGTAGCTAGCTGAAAGCGGGACGACTAAAGCAAGCCTCGTGGCTTTGGCGAGGGTTTGGGAAAAGTGATTAATGAGAGCAACGGCGCCGGATGGGCGTTGACCATGCTTAATTGATGCTGATGTGTGACGCCGCCTGCAAGTTGAGGAACAGCGAAAGGCGGCCGCGGTTGAGTGGTGGTTGACAGTGGTAAGTGACGGTATGAAGTAAGGTACGTGTAGTGTACACAGAGGAATCGGGAATTCCTGTTGGTGGGGTCGATGGGCGGGAGTGGGGTCAGATTTCACATTTCAGAACTGTTTTTGAATCGTATCCACACGGTACTCGATAAGCCCCACCGCCTTGCGAGATGGCCGGTTCCTTATCTACCAATATGGGACTTTGCAAGTGGGTTCTGGGGAGCCACCGGCTTTCCCGTAAGTGGTTTAACCTGGTGTTGAGAAGATGGTCTTGCCTTGCCGGGGGGTGTTTATCGGGACCTAAGAGTGAGCAAGTTTTCGTGATCACTGGGACCAGGGCCCCCCAGTCGTGGCTTCCTTTGTCACTTGACGAAGCATGTATACACGTGTAGGACTACAAAGTCAGTAATCAGTAGTCATGCCAGGTTTGTACACCTTATGTACAGTTTGTGCATCAACGCACTAGGTATTCAGTGGTGTCTCCCCGGTGCGTTTTGACTCCAGGTTTTCCTTCTTCAGAGTTCTTATCTCGTAAAACGATGAGAGTGAGTTATGTTTGGAAATTTGCTTCCTACCCGAGTTGTTCGGACAATGCTTGACGGATGTCAAGACGTTTCTGCTCGCCGTATTTGCAGTATCATTTCATCAGTCTCTACCTAGGTAGTCCTGGGCCCCGCCATCATGTCCCATTATCCGTGTCTTCGGGTTCTGCGAACATGTCCACTGCCCTCATACGTCTCCGTGCCTGTGCCGCAGATTTGGGCGGAATTTGCGTAGCTGCAAACTTAATCGAGTTCTTATCCGTATTGGCATCTCCATCCCCGACGGGAGCAGAGGGCGGGGGTGCCGGTTCCTCCTTGCCGCCGTTCTGACTTGGCGGTCTCTTATCCGGATCACCGTCTTCCTCTAACGTCTCACCCAGAATGTCGTCCTCGTCCAGAGGTTCGCCTTCGACATCACTCTCTTCCATAGGCTCACCCTCGACGTCATCCTCATCCATAGGCTCCCCTTCGACATCATCTTCGTCCATTGGTTCTCCTTGAACGTCGTCGTCCGTGGCCCGTTCCACGGACCGTGGTCTCGCCGTCGACGTGGGTGCGTCGACAACTTTCCACCGACCCTTTTTCGCACGCTCGTCGTCACCCTGCTCCTCCTGAGCCTTCGTGGCAGGAGGATTGTTGAAGCTGTTCGTGAAGAGATCCTGGCTCTCGGCCGGAAACACGCACCAGCCTTCCCAGAGATGAAGGATCATGCCCACGCTTCGCTTCCATTTTTCCGCCCTCAGCCGGCCCCAGTTCAGTTTCTCCGCCATGAGGCCCAGCATCTCGAAGGTCTTGCGTTCCTTCAATGCCCCCTCGAATATCTGTCTGAAACGCCACGCATGTCGCACACCGCTTGTCGAGGATGATGCGAGGATGTCGTTCACGACGTAGAGACTCACGAGACTCGCCCCGCTCGTATCTTGGGCAGTCTCCTTTTCTGCCTTGTCGTCGGGTCCAGCATCCATAGCCTCCGACTCGTCTCGGTGTCTGCTCTTCTCTCTGTCATTTCGTGATGATGAATGCTCGGGGTTCAGACTCGTCAGTGCGAGGGGTTTCTCGATGTTGGAGACAATCATGTCGACGACTTCATCCGCACCTCGGCTGGCGTGCGTGAGTGCGAAGGCCGTCACTCGGGCGATATCGCCTTTCCTGATTCTCGAGAGCGTCGTGGGGAGGCGTGACAATAAGTGGGTAAGCTTGGCCTTGTCCAAAGGATTGAGAAACGTATTCTCGGCCTCCGTGTCCCCATTTTGTTCGCGGTTGCCGTCTCCGTCCAGATCCTCGTCGTCCGACGAGTTGTATTCCGAGTCGGATACAAACTCGTCCACGCTCGTGGTGTATTCGAACGGGACCCCTTTCTCCGGCGCTTTCCAGGCATGGCTCCCGTCGAAGACAGGCAGATATTTCCCCTTGTTGCGCTGTAACGAGGCGCCCGTGACGATCTCCCACATCCTCCACCGGTACCAGATGCCTCCTTCGCTGCGGGCGTCCCAGATCCACGCCCACTTCTCCTCCCGTTGAACCTCGGGACGTGACATGAGCAGAGCCTCGAACTCAGGACCGTGTTCCAGCACCGACTCCAAGGTTTTGTTGATCAGCCGGAGCATCTTGATGTCATTGGGCGGCTTCACCGGAACGTGCAGAATGCTGTTGCGGTTCAGAGGCCCACCAGCGCTGGGCCCGTAGGCGGTGGGGGGCGCAAAGCCGCGATGGAAAGCGTGTTGCGTGTGCGCATTGCCTGGGGTCGATCTCTGGGCCACGGGCTTGGCGCCGAATGGCCGCGACCCGGCCGGTGTGACGCCCAAACTTGACGTCGATATCGATGAGGCCACGGCCGAGGAAAGGTGCCGGTGAAGCGACAGATAGAAGCCGTAGCCCAGGTAGCGATTCTGCAGCGCACTGACGGCGGCATCGATGTCGCTAGCAGGTGTCTCCTGAGACAGTGTCACAATAGCCACCGTACATTTCCTGTCCGTAGATGGACCTGAAGGCGGCACAATTTTGACGTTCTCGACCGTCAGGTTGGACGGTATCAGAGCCTTAATGGCAGCGGGAGAGGTGCCTGGGGGAATCTGAGACAGCCTCAATGTCGGCTTTGCGACAGCCATCTCCTCATCTCTCGCGTCGGTCGACGCATCCTGTTCATCATCGCTGTTATTGAATACCTTGAGTACCGACTTGGACTCCCCCCGCTCGTCGAAGCCTGGCCGGCTGCTGCTATTATCCCTGTCCCTCTCCTGCTTGTACGAATCGAACCCTCTCTTCTTGCCGTAAGAACTAGGAGGAGGTCCGAGGCTTCCGGGACCGCTCTTCGGACCTGGGGGAGGACCAAGACTGCCGGGGCCGCTTTTCAGGCTGGCGGCTCCGAAATGTCTCCTAGGGGCTGCCATGCCGCCGCCTAACGCGGGGCCCTTGGGCCCGAAGCCTTGACCTCCGCCATGTCGCGAGCCGCTGCTTCCCTGATCATCTTCGTGATCAAAACTCTTCTCAAATTCCCTAAGAGCCGCAGCCGTCTCAGCTTCTTCTCGGGCTCTCTTGGCTTCGGCTTCGGCGCGCTGTCGCTGGAAGGCGGACTGTTTGGTGGGCTTCTGGAGCTTCGCCTCCACGGCTGGGAATTCGGCGATCTTCTTGGACGACATGCTTATTCTAGTTTCCGCAGGTCATCTCGAAGTCGAAGAAAAGGGAAAATGTACGTCGGCACTCGGGAGGCGATTCGAGCTTCGAAGCTCGGGAGGAGGAAGCGGTTTGGCGGTAACTAAGGCAGGCTAACGTCCGTTCGTTCGGATGAGGCGTCGAAGCTACAGGGTGCTTCGGGTGTAAGAGGCGCTTTAGAAGCATACGTTGCAGTGTAGGGCTTCCTTCGATGGAGGTGATGGGAATGTAAACAAAGGAGCCCGATTAGTAGGATGGACGACGGATGTTCGTGAGTAGCTTTACAACGTACATTTACTTGGGAGGAAGGTGGGTAAGGTAGTTCTCAATTGGTCGCCTGCTGAGCGGGATCGGGATTCCCAACGGGTTAGTCAGCATCGCCCAGCTCCCTAGCTCCGTCACAGGATTTGGACCCCCACGGAACCCCCACTACAACCGAGACGACATCAGAGCCGTTACTCGAGAATAGGCAGCTGGTGATCTTTAAGCTCATGACAGACGTCCATGACGATGTCAAGTCATCAAAAACTTCCTCGACGCCTTGGCACTTACTTCATACCTATATTTTCCATGTTCGACGAACTAGGGCATTTTTCCCCGCATTTGTGAGACCTAGCGTACATAAGGTAATCATCACCACTTGATGACGGGAGGCTGAAATGCCCAAATGGCGGGCTCCGCCAAGATATACCGAGTCGAGGTTTCGATTTCACTTCGTATAGAAGCTACTTCAGCAGAGCTTCTCAGGTGAAAAGCTAATAATCAACAGCCCTTACTCGAGGCAGACTATTCCCCGTTCTTTCAGACAGGAGGCTGAAGGATCGAGGGATGAGGGATGAGGGATGAGGGCGACTTCGGAGCCAAAGGGCGCACAGAAACAGTTGGCGCCGACTGGTTACGGGAACCACGATAAAATCGGGTCGACAAAGACGGATCAACCGAGGTGGAGAACAGTGAATTTCTAGGGCCATTTCTTATCGTGTCCCACTTCACGTTCGCCGACAGCTCCGAGCAAAGGAGATGCTCCGATGTGCGGGGCACTGCACTCGAGCCCAAGGGATGATTTGGGAGCCATGAAGGCGTTCCCTCTCTCTCTCTCGCACCCTTCTCGGCTTCGTTCAAGTCCATGCTAGTCTTTCTATCCTTCGGGGACCCGTTGTCCTTCGTTTGGTACAGCCCATCTACTCTGTGGCGCATATTTACTTGGAAGAAAAAAACAGAAAAAAAGTCAGCCGCCTAACACGAGGTTGGAAGATCAGCAACGACGAGAATGGACCCCTCCTCACCGCCCTCCTCCATTCTCATCATCGGGTCCGGGGTCTTCGGCCTGTCCACAGCATTCGAACTCACCCGACGCCCCTTCTTCGCCCGCACATCCATCACCGTCCTCGATCGCTCTCCCGACAACGGGGTCTTTCCGTCCTCCGACGCCTCCAGCATCGACTCGTCACGCATCATCCGTCCCGACTATGCGGACCCTGCCTATGCCTCTCTCGCAGCCAAAGCCCACGAATACTGGCGCCAACAAGTGGACGATGAGCTCGGCGGTCAGGGTCGCTACACGGAGAGCGGCATGATCCTTCTCGCCGATTCACCGTCCACTGCCCAGGCCGACCCCAAGACTGGACTCGGCGCGAAACAGGTGGAAGAGAAGAAGAAATCCGCGCTGGAATACGTCCGCGAGAGCTGGGATAACGTGCGCGCCCTCGCAGCCCAGGAAGCCAGCGGCTTGTCAGCAGAGAAGATCAGGGAGCTTCCCAACGCGACTGCCGTCATGGAGGCCATGGGAACCGACCCCACAATAGCGGCCGTCAACCGGCCCGGCGATTGGGGTTATCTCAACGGGACGAGCGGCTGGGCCGACGCCGAGAAGAGCATGGCCTGGTTCTTTAACAAGGTCCGACAGACAGGCCGCGTCAATTTCGTCCACGGAACGGCCACCGCCCTAACTCGTACAGGCGATCGCGTGACGGGCGCACGGCTGGACTCCGGCCGCCACCTCGAGGCCGACCTAGTCATCGTCGCGACGGGCGCCTGGACCGGTGCCCTCGTCGACCTCGCAGGTCAAGCCATCGCCACGGGCCAGGCCCTCGCCTACATGGATATCACCCCGGAGGAGCAAGCTGCGCTGTGCCGCAGACCGGTCATCCTCAACCTGAGCACCGGGTTATTCGTCATCCCTCCTGCGGTGTGCCAGCTCAAGGTCGCCCGTCATAGCTACGGCTACATCAACCCCCAACCCACCTCGCCAGACGTCCTGCCCACACGGCCCGGCGCACGCCTCCCCGCCAACTCCACCTCGCTCCCCCGCACACTTCTCTCCGATCCGAACCTCCGCATCCCCTCCGAAGGCGAAGCCGATCTCCGCAGGGCCATCCGGGCCATGGTGCCCCTGAAGGAACTGCACAACCGGCCATTTGTGAAGACGCGACTGTGCTGGTACACGGATACGTCGACGGGTGATTTTCTCATCGATTACCACCCAGGTTGGAAAGGGCTCTTCGTCGCTACGGCGGGGAGCGGGCACGGCTTCAAGTTCTTGCCCGTCATCGGAGAGCTGATCGTTGATTGTCTGAAAGGGAGACGGCCGGCCGAGTTTGACGAGAAGTGGAAGTGGAAGGGCAACGACGCGAAAGAAGACGTACAACAGCTCGATAAGCATATTGTCACAGAAGATGGGAGCAGAGGTGGCAGGCCAGGTCTCATACTGGCAGAAGAGCTTGCCAAGGATAATAGTCTTAAGCCTCGAATGTAAAAAGATATTTTCCTTTTTCTTGTTGGCGCCTGCATGCAAATAAAATATTGAATACATTGACGGTCAGTTCCATGGCACAAGGCGGGCCTCTACAACAACAACAACAACAACAACAACAACAACAACAACAGTAACACAAACAACAGTCATCTCAGACATTCCAATCCTGGCAATGATGGACGAACCGCCACAAAGAAGCTTGCCTGCTTACCACCATGTCTACGAACAGACGGCATTCATTTCACATTAAAGGAGACCGCTTGTTATGCGGTTACTGTCGAATACTGGTATTTGTTTGGTATCATCCTTCTTGCCTGTCCTTCCGCTCACCCAAATCCTCATAAGCTTACTCAATCGTGAGGCGACGCATCTCACACTTCTTTGTGTCGCTCACCAACGGACGCCGCCTCATATCAGCCCCATTAAAAATCGGCATAGTCGACCTGCGCACCTGTCGCCAAACGATGCCACGGCAAAATCTATGACGTGTTGTGGGATAGAGAAATCTTTCCTTTTGTGTTTTCCGTCTCAAAGCAGCCCATCCCAGCTGGATACCCCTTCCAGCCTGGTACCGCCAACGCCAATGCAATGCTGGAAACTGAGAAAAATAGAAGTGTTACAGACCAAGGTTCTCAACGGCTGGACTGATATGATAGTCCATCTCCCCGCCGAATGCAAACACTTGGTTTAAGAAGTAGTGTCGTGGGATCATAAGTGTAAAAGGGGGAGAATATATGATACATCCGCAAGGGACAAGGAAGGATCGTGGAGGAAGAGTAATCCATGTGACGGAGAGAAACTTCCACACGAACATGTCGACCAAGCCTTGCGTGACCGTGTGCATCTAAACCTTGCGGAAATCTGAAAGAATGCATGTGTCAGAGACATGGTCCATAGCACAACTCGCAAAAAAAAAAAAAAAAAAAAAAAAAAAAAAAAAAAAAAAAAAAAAAGGCAGGAGCTTACCTTGCAACACGGGGTAAATCATCTCGAACGCCTGGTAGATCTCCTCTCGGACCTTGGCCCCGGTGAGAACGATCTTACCACTGACGAAGATGAGAAGCACGATCTTCGGCTTGATCATGCGGTAGATTAGGCCAGGGAACAATTCAGGCTCGTACGAGCTGAAATTGTGATGGCGGGAGGCCAAGCCCTCGAGGCGAATGGGGAACTTGATGTCGCATGACCCCACGATATTCTGAATCTTGAAGTCGGTGAACTTCGCGTTGAAACCTAGCTTCTGAATGATACGCGCGTACTTGCGGGAGGCAAGCTTAGAATCGTCTTCCGACTTCGCTCCAGTCACCACCATCTTTCCAGATGCGAAAATAAGCGCCGTGGTTTTGGGTTCGCGGATTCGCATGATCACAGCGGCGAAACGCTACGCCAGCCCAGTCAGCATCCCGTTGAGTAAAAGCCATGGCACAGATGTGGCATCTAGTAGTACCTTAGGATTGTACTCGGCATTCCGCGCGTGCAAGGCAATCGTCTTCAGATCCAGCCGGCAATCAAGATTGACCGTGGCGACGATGTTCCTTGGCGGAGGATGAGCAACTTGTACAACCAGCAAATTGAAACAGAAATTCCTCAGAAGGGTACAACATACTGCAGCGTCGGAGTAAGGCCCGATCCACCTTGTGTGGTGGCAGCAGGAGTCGCAACAGGGGTCGCGGGAGTCACCCCATTGCCATTTGCGTTCTGCTGACCGTTCGGCACTGGCACATGGCCGTTGACCTTCTCACCAATGGTGGATGGTGGCGTGAGCTCATGAGCAGCGCCAGGGAAGGAGAGAGACCCAGGCGCCGTGAAGGCCTTTGCTTGCGCGGCAGTGGCGGGATGGGTTTGAAGAGCGGACTCCATGATGAGTAGGAGTTCCTCGGCAGTGGGAGAATCCAACAGCTCGAATTTGTGATGTGAGCGATCTAGAAATTGAAAGCGTGTTAGTTATGGGAGACTTTTCTCTATCTTGCGCACTTCAAATAGCAGAAAAAAGAAAAAGAATGAAAAGAAGAATAAAACTGCGGGCTAGGTTGGCGAGAAGAGGAATGGAGTGGAAGATGGAAGAGAGCTTGGCCGGTGTGCCTGGTTGCAGAGGCAACGACTTTTTATAGGCGTTCCGAGGGAAGGTGGTGGTGCAGCTGCCGGGAGATGGGGATATAAAATGGGCAACCACGCAAAACGGATGTTGAAGCAACAACGCTACCTACCAAATTCGGAGATAAACAAGTGAATGTCTCCCCTACGGCGATTGCTCTTAATACGCCCCTGCTTCGTGGTGCGGAATTGCAAGAGAGACCGAAGTCGAAGCTTGTGAAATAGATACGGAACCCGAATTCGTAAATAATGGATCTCGGATTTCGTCACTTAGGCACAAATGTTCTCTCTATTCTCGGGAATCGATGCGCACGATGTGTCTACAGAGCGCGGCGACCTCGGCGACGGCGACGATGGAGTGCTCTGTATGGAGTAAATCGTTGTCGTCGATGGAGAGTCGCGCGAAAACAAGGAGAAATCAAAAAACGTATTCCAGTTCTTTGATGCTTCAAAAGCTCAACGTCGAGCTCGGGGCACTTTCAGTTAAGAAGGCGCGCCTGTGTTCATTCGACGGAGTGATGAAGAGAAGAGGACTTTCCAGATGATCTCGACACCGCAGTTGGGTAAAGGAGAGTATTCCGCCTCTTTCCGGTTGGCACTGAAACACTGCGCCGCGATGGCTGTTTGCAGTGGTATCAGGAAGAGTCGAAGATGGAAAACCAGATGTGGGGTATCGTCGTGATAGTAGACAGACGTCGAGGGTAGTAGTTCAGGGGAAGGATGAGGAAAAAGAGAAAGACCGAACGCATGCGAGATTACGTAAGGCCGGATCGTAACTTCCGATACAAATTTCGAAAAAAAGGGAAGGGGAAGGGGGAGGGCGGCTACTTATATTTTCGAGCAGGTTGCCCCCCCTAGGCAACAAGTTGTGTTGTGGCGCTCATTAGCGTATGCACTAAAATCTCTTCGTCCAATAAAAACATTCTGTACTGACACTTGGGCCGCACCAGCCCCTTGGACACATAACGTTGTCCCCCGTATCCTTTTCGAAGTACCTGTACCTGCTGCGATAAGCCGACGGATCAATAACACTTTTGGCCAATCCCGTGTCACACAGGTTGTGGCACTGGTGCATTCATAGCATCATCTCCTTCTTTTCTGCACTCGTAAAATTTTCTCTCCTTTCTTCTTCTCACCCTGGCCCCTTCGAAAATGCTCCCTTGCTTTTAGGGGTTTGACCCAACCAGCAACAGCACCAGCAGTTCACCATCATCGCCCCATCATCATCCCGTCACCACCAGCGCGAACAGCAATAAGAAAGTCGATGATGAAGCCGACGCCGATTTTCAGTAACATTTCGAATGACTGGTTTGATGATTGTTGCCGTTCTCATAAGCCGATGTCAATAGCATGGGGTCGTCGCCGCGATCTGTGCCATCTTTCGTGGTGAATGAAGGAGAGATGGATGAGAAAACAGGGCCAGGTGGCCGCGGTAAATCTTGATGGGGAGATTTCAAAGCGCCTGGACCTCGTCTTGGAGGACCACCCGGAAACCCACAAAAATCCCACCGCGTTATCAGTGGTCAAGAACGCGAAACCACTGACAGGACATGCAACATTTCCCAACCCATTGCGGTCTCAGCGCCGAATGCCGGAGGTCCATCCACCCTCCCCTCCTGAAACGATGGGGCAGCCCCTATTCGCCTGGATGACCCAAAGCTTGACAACAGGCATCTATTAGGTCGACATGCTTCCCCATCGCTTCCCCGTCGTCACTGCAAATTACAAGGACCCCCTGCTTTTGTCTAACATGTAGTGAGCACTGCACGCACACCGTAAGTTTGTTACAGTGGCAAGGTCGGTCTACCCTCCCCCTTTTTTTCGGTTCTTCAAAGTACCTCCAGGACATTCGGCACCTTCAAAAGAAAAACTTTTCCAATGGAATAATTACTTGTGAGCGGCGTTTGTTTTTGAGCTTCTGGTGGAAGGACACGGTGTCCTTGTTTAAAATTCCAAGGTTGGTTGGTGACGACCGCGTGTGAGTCATTCCTTGGACCCAACCAGAACTGAGAGAATGCAAAGGGGAAACAAACCAGCCGGAAGGCTGGGAAATTATTCTGCGCCACAACATGCAACGTACCGCTACTTCAATCAGATTGCATCCTCGGTTGCGTCCTCTACTCATATCTACCTATATATCATCGCCAATTCCTGCACAAAACCCGTGTCGGGTTGCTCCAGTAACGGCGCAAATTACAGGAAGACCATGGCAGTATTATATGACAACTTCCCTAGGACCTTATAGCCGTCGTAAGTTCAAAGCCGTGGTGATGCAGTTCTCGACGTGCAGATGATTTTTGTTTCGAGCGGCTCAACTCAACCCACATGTCCTGGTACCCGGCACTCGTGAGAGAAGTCAAGCCTGCATAGCCCCTGGCTTGTGGGCTCGATGTACCGCCGTATCCACATTCATGTCACGATACATCCGCCACCCCTCCTCGGCAGATGGCATCTTTCAGCTGGTTCGCGATAGAGTCTGAGACGATTGGCCACTTCGCGACTCAAGTCACGGGCTAAGGTCGGGAAAATCCACGTCGTAATTTACCTTGGCAACTCGTTTGCTTTGTCACCCCCTTGCGACGAAATTTCATGCCGCTCTCCGCGGTCGGAGGACTTATTTGTTGTTTGTGCTGTTTGCTCTTATATTAGTAAACAGGACAAAATCGAGACGTTATACGAGATATTGGCAAAATGATAATGCATGCAACAAAACTGCTGTTGTCTGGGTGTCTCTCGTTTTTGGAAGAAAGGTGAAGAGATCGCGTGCAGCTGTCATTCCAGCCTTGTCGGTGGTAAGTTGTCGAGAGAAAACTTGAAAATGATCTGCTGCCACACAAGCTTTCGAAATAATCAAAAACGAATTGGTGGCGTGCAGACTGATGGTCCACAATGAAGACGGCAAATTGCGTCATCTTGTGGCTGATGAGGGCCAAAACCTGTCCTATTTTGTCCATACCGTCTCTGTCTCCGTAATGATTAATTCCACTCAGTACACCATGCAAATCATTGACCCGACAATACCCGAATACCATCATCATCATCATCTTAGTCGGATTAAACATTCTCAAGTGCTTACTACCAAGTTCTCTAACCACCACAACGTACTTACTTTTTATAATGATGAGAAGGACCAGACGCCATTATACTACCCTAATTCACGTGCAACCCCGTTAACACACCCCCGGGATATCAGAACCGCTCTTCTAGGACAGATGCACCCCCCCCTCGGTTTCGAGATATACAAAGATCAGCCTTACATGTACATTGACATCCTGATATATTGACCGTCGCTCAGTCGCTCTATGTCATGTAGTACTTGGGTCCCTCGCCGCCTTGCGGCACCTGCCAGTTAATGTCCTGGTGCGGCGCCTTAATGTCGCAAGTCTTACAGTGGATGCAGCTGTTCCAGCCCGGTTAGCAACAAAATCCACCATCCGAAGGGACGGAAGAGAGGGGGAACAGAGACGAGGAAACGTGAAGCAAGTAGAACGGGAGTAAAACTCACTTCTGGGCATTGATCTGGAAGCGCACACCAAGCTCCTTGGACTCGTCCTCCACATACTCGTACACGCCGGCAGGGCAGAAGCGGTTCTCGAGCCCCTTGTACTTGGGCCACGTCTCGGCGGCGTGCTTGTCCCAGTCCTTGACTTGCAAGTGCACAGGCTGGTCTTCCTCGTGGTTGGTGCCCGTCCGGCTCACGCTGGTGAGCACGTCGAAGCTGATCTTGCCGTCGGGCTTCTCGTATTCGATCTTGGGACACTGGTCGGCATGCTTGGTGGCGGCGTGGTCCGGCGTCTTGTGCTTGAAAGTCCACGGCACGCGGCCCTTGAGGACCAGGGCCTCGAGACCCGAGTACATCACGCCGCCGTACAGGCCGAGCGGGGTGTGGAAGGAGGGCCGGTAGTTGCGCACCTCCTTCAGCTCCTTCCAGATGGGGGAGTTGCGCAGGGCGTCCTCGTAGTCGAACAGGAACACGGTGCCGTCGTCGCTGGTCGATAGGGCGGCGTGGGCGGCCTCGGCGGCGAGCATGCCCGATTTGATGGCATTGTGCGTACCCTTGACCTTGGGGAGATTGATGAAGCCGGCCGAGTCGCCGATGAGGGCGCCGCCGGGGAAGGCGCACTTGGGAATGGACTGGAAACCACCCTCGACGAGGGCGCGGGCGCCGTACGACAGGCACTTGCCATCCTCGAGGACGCTCCGGATGAGCGGGTGCTGCTTATACTTCTGGAACTCCTGGTAGGGGGACATCCAAGGGTTGGGGTAGTCCAAGGCGACGACAAGACCGACGCTCACGAGGTTTTCTCCAAAGTGATACATCCAGCCGCCGCCGTAGGTATCCTTGGGCAAGGGGTAACCGAGCGAGTGGGTAATCTCGCCCTTGCGGAACTTTTCCGGCGGCACTTCCCAGACCTCCTTGAGACCAAGGGCATATGTCTGGGGTTGGCTATCGCGGCGCAAGTCGAACTTCTTGATGACTTGCTTGGTCAGACTGCCGTGGCAGCCCTCACCAAAGAGGGTGACGCGGGCGTGGAACTCCATGCCGCGCTCGAAGGTCTCCTTGGGGCGGCCGTCGCGGCCAATTCCGAGGTCGTTGGTAGCAACGCCCTTGACACTACCGTCCGCGTTATACAGGACCTCGCTGGCAGCGAAGCCGGGGTAGACCTCGACACCAAGCTCCTCGGCGCGCTCGCCCAGCCACTTGGTGAACTGGTTCAGAGAGACGATGTAGTTGCCGTGGTTGTTCATCAAGGGTGGCATAGGCAGGGGGATGGCGGAGTTCTTGGTGAGGAAGCGCATGCGGTCCCCGCCAGCAGGCGTGGCGTGCTCGAAGCGGCTAGGGTTATCCTCGGAAAGCCAGTCTGGAATCAGCTCTTCGATCGAGGAGGGCTGAATGACGGCGCCAGAGACAATGTGGGCGCCGATCTCGCCGGCTTTCTCAAGGAGGAGGACACGGAACTCGTCGTTCCCGGCTTCATTGGCGAGCTGCTTCAGTCGGATGGCAGCACTCAATCCGGCAGGGCCTGGTCAATGGGTGGGGCTAATCAGTATGGTAGCAACAGCAACACAAAGCGGTGATGCGTTTATGGCAAAGGCCCTCCGCGGGGGGCGGAGGGGACAGGGAGGACTGCTAGTGTAGAAAACAAAGAGTCATAGGAAAAGCAAGAGGCGTACCCCCTCCGACAATACAGACGTCGACCTGGTCCGATTCGCGCTCAATGGTGGATGGATCGAAGGTATCAGAGTCTTCGGCACTGGCCATGCGCGCAATCCGAGTAGTCGCAAAGGTTCTTGTGGAAACGGAAGCGGCCAGGGCACCTCGTGGTAGAGGAGCCACCCGTGTCCGTACGCTCGGAGCTGAAGCAATGAGGGGTCGGGCCTGGAAGATTGTGCGGCATGTTGAGAGCGAGCGAGAGCCGCGTTGTAGAGAACGGGCGACGGGTACGGTAGAGGCCTTCATGATGATCCGGCCGGTTTCGTCGGGGGGACGAACCCGAGGACGGAGAGTGATGGAGAGAGAGGCGGTGCGCGAAGGACAACCCTCGAGACCTCGAGACTGTGCTGCCCCAAGCGGTGTTGAGCAAGCAGCAGGGTGCGCAGCAGAACCAGTGAAATGGATGTATTAGTGAAGTGCTGGGCTCGAGTCAGATTGTCACAATCCGTCTGTAGACTCAAATGCGTCCGGGTCTTGCGAGATTGAGTCGTCTGAAGAAGGGTGACGGGTGAGAGCTACGAGACGGGTTAGTAGGCGGATTACAAAAGAAAAACTGAAGACGGTACAACGCTGGACTTCTTTTCACGAAGTATTACCTACGTAATACACGTGTAGAAGATCAACGGAGTACTTCGTCCTGCCCCGGTTCAAGCTTGTGCTCCGGGTGCAAATAGCCGAGAGAAGCCGGAGGCGGGGATCTGGAACCGGTTGAGTACGTCGAGTTTGGTGTTTTATCCAGCGTACTTTGAGTACCCTTTGAGTCTCTACTTCCCTTCCCCAAACAGCCCTGAAGCACCCCACCTCCTTCCTCACGTTGTACCTTGCACTTAGACTGGAAACTCCGGTCCAGTCACGACATGGACGGATCGGATCGGAAGAACTTGGGAGGAGTCATGAGCTTTATCCAATGGAGTGGCGTGGATTGTAATCCCAAAGTACTGTACCTTAGGTACAAAGTATTACTCTTCTTATTCGTACTTCGTACTCCGTATTCGTAAATCATAACGCACAATTTCCCACTTCCATCCCCATCTCCTTAGAAGCTGTCCATCTCCAACGGCAACCCAAAACGCACTCTATGGATTACCCTTCTCCAAATCGCACTTTCACGAATATATTGCATGGTGGCGCTTCTTGTTTTGTGTTCCTGAAAACTTGAAAACCAGCCACATCGTACCTAAGAGAACGAGAACCCTCTCCTGTCATACGGTCGCAACGGGCCGAGCTTCCAATTACAGGACACGGACTGTCCTTTTCACAACGTACATGGGCCAACGCCTTCAAATTTCTCCTGTGCAACTTCTCGCGTTGTCATCATGTGACAAGCAACCACGAGCTGTCATTTAAAGTGGACAATAGCCCTACGATGCATGCTTTGCTTTGCTTTGCTTTGCTTTGCTTACCTTACCTACGAACCTACGGACTACGACTGCTTTCTCTAGGATTTCGTCCAGTGTTATCAGATCTGTCCAAGCACCGACTAGGTAGCCTGGAGTTCCTACCTACCTACCTACCTACGTACAATTCCTTCATAAGAATGTTCTGAAAACTACTGAATTATTTACGCGACTCGGCAGCAATGCTTTGGTTGTGACGCCCGCGTCCCTTTTTGTTTTTCCGTTTCTTTGCCCTTTGGCTACAGCTTTGCCGGTGGCTGGAAAGGAGAACGCAGAAAGGAGAACGCAGAAAGGAGAATACCCTCCGCAGTGGCAATTAAACTCTCACTAAAGGTGCGCCATGGCGCCGTTGATCATCGCAACTTCTATCCCGCGACGTGCCCGGCTGCCTATTCTCCTCGTCGCCGCTCTTGCAGCCCTCTATATCCTCTCAGCACGTCACGTACCGCTCTTCGCCGTGGATTTTAGCCGGTTCTCTCCCTTCAATCCGTCTCGTTCAAATCGCATGGATGTGCTGCGGTTCGTCGACCCTCTCATCGGGACCGCCAATGGAGGTTGTTCAGCTTCTCCCACTCACCAGACGGCCTACATCACTTGCGACTAACTTGTCTTATTCTAATCCTAGGCCACGTTTTTCCTGGTGCTACCTTGCCCTATGGTCTGTTAGGCCTACTCCTCCTGTCCTGTCCTAAGAAACACACGTATGATGATGCCCTTTCAAAGGCTGAGAAACTTATGCGCATCTGGCCATGGATCTAGGCATGGCGAAACCTGGTCCTGATACGGACGCCAGGGGCGAGAACGCCGCTGGTTTTGTCTCGGACCATTCTTACATCATCGGCTTCTCTCATTTACATGACTCTGGTGCGTTGCGTGATAGCTTCCAGGACTCTGTCCCTCTCGTGGTAACGGGTATCAAATATCTGACCCTTTCTTCCAGGTACTGGTGGCGTACGTTTCCCCGCCGCGCTGTTCATCCCACAGTCTTCTTAGCCCATCAAATCGTACTGGGACCATTCTAATCATCACATGTATGAGGCAGGCTCCGTCACTGGGCAACTTTCCCCTCTTCGTCCATCCAGGGTGCCCCGGGGATAGCTACCTTAACTGCACTTTTAGCACTTTGGGCCGGAGCGTCAGGCGCACCGAAAACTCGGCCCAGGCCCGTCCTGGTTATTTCGCCATCGGCTTGGAGAACACAGTCCGGGCTGAAATGACGGCTACCCAGCATGCGGCTCTCTACTCCTTCTCTTTCGTTCCCGAGCAGACCGTTTCCAGCCCAAACCCCGGCGGGCCGGCGACCAACGAACCCGTCGAGATCCCCACGAACCCCCTCATACTCATCGACATCCAGGACTTGGGAAAAACGCGCACCAGCGGAGGCGTCCGGGTAGAAGAATCCGGTCGTATCGTAGGGCACGGCACCTTCGGACCTTCTTTCGGCGTTGGAAAATATCAGGCCTACGTCTGTGCCGACTTTCGTGGAGCAGAAATCCGTGCATCCGGCATCTTTGAGGGCGACCATCCTCGAGAGGGAACCAAACAGCTCGAAGACATGCGGCAAAGTTCAGCTGGCGCATGGTTGCACTTCGACCATCCAGCCCAAGATCGAATCCTTGCCCGCGTCGGTCTTTCCTTTATATCCATAGACCAGGCATGTGCCAATGCCGAAGCCGAAATCCCCGACTTCGACTTTGATCGCGTTGGACATGCCGCTGCTGCGATATGGGCGGAGAAGCTTTCCGTCGTGGAGGTTGATGACCACAGCGGAAGTGATGAGCTCCAAACCGTCTTTTGGTCCGGTCTATATCGCACTCTGCTCTCGCCGCAGAACTACACGGGCGAGAACCCGCTCTGGAAGTCGTCCGAGCCCTACTTTGACTCGTTCTACTGTATCTGGGATTCCTTCCGGGCACAGCACCCACTGCTGACAATTATTGACCCGGAAGCACAGGCCCAAATGGTTCGGGCACTGTTGGACATATATCGCTTTGAGGGCAAACTCCCCGACTGCAGAATGTCCTTCTGCAAGGGATACACACAAGGGGGGTCAAATGCCGACGTTGTCATAGCGGATGCGTTTCTGAAAAATGTCTCCAATGGAGTGGACTGGAACACAGCGTATGAGGCTGTCTTATCCGATGCGGAAGGTGAATTAACCATGGCTCAATTTTCCCCCTTTTATAACCAACCCACTTCACCCTCGAAGTCTACAATCCTAGACAGCTAGCTAATATGGAGTATCGATCCAGTGTCACCCAAAAGCTTCAATGTAGAAGGACGTGGCAATATCGAGAGCTGGCTGGACCTGGGTTACATAGCGTCAGACCACAGAGACAGAAACTCTACAGGGCCCCACTCGAGGAGTGTCTCTCGCACGGTCGAGTACGCCTACAACGACTTCTGCATCGCGACCCTCGCCAAGGGCCTGGGCTACAGCGCCGACTACCAGCGTTTCATGCGACGCAGCGTCAACTGGCAAAACCTCTGGAACCACGACCAGCGCGACCTCCTCCTGCTCTGGGACAGGCCGGGACGAGAACGCGAGGCGACCAGCTTCGTCGGCTTCCTCCAGCCTCGGCGCATGGACGGCACCTTCGGGTACCAGAACACGCGCGTGTGCTCCCCCGGGGCGGAGCCGCACATATGCTACTACGACACCTCGCAATCGACCTACGAAGGGTCGCCCTGGCTGTACAGCTTCTACGCGCCGCAGGACATGGCAACCCTGGTGCGCCTCGTCGGGGGCCCCGCCGCGCTGGCTGACCGCCTCGACTACTTCCACGAGAGCGGCCTGGCCTACATGGGCAACGAGCAGTCCTTCCTGACCGTGTTCCAGTTCCACTACGCCGCCCGCCCGGGCCGCAGCAGCTACTGGGTGCGCCGGTACATCCCGTCCCAGTTCAACACCACCGTTGCCGGTATCCCGGGCAACGACGACTGCGCCATGGGCGCTTTCACCGCCTTTGCTGCCATGGGGCTCTTCCCCGTCGCCGGCCAGGACGTCTACCTGATCACTGCACCTTTGTTCCGCGAGTTGAGGTTGCCATCGCGGCGTGGGCCCGAGTCGCCGGCTATTATCAGGAAGGTCGCCGCCCCCGGACAGGGGAGAGTGGGAGACGATGGCATGATGTATGTGCAGAGCGCCAAGCTGAATGGGCAGCCTTATACGAAAAGCTGGATCACGCATCACCTGTTGATGGAAGGTGGAGTGTTGGAGTTGACGATAGGGAGAGAGGAGACCGATTGGGGGACAGCAGAACAAGATCTCCCGCCAAGCTATCCGTTCACGTCACATTTTCGAGAGATGCATTAGCAGGGTGTGGTCTGTTGGGGAATAAAGGACTTTGGAGGGCGGCAACATACTATACTATCCAGTTTGGGTTCTGAGAATGCGTTGTTCCTCCGGACATATCTGGATGGTGTTCTCCTTGAGGAGAAAATGTCCATACACGCCCATTTGCAGCAATATCAAACCGCTCACCGGACATAACAAGATCCAATGCGAGGAGAAGCACACGAGATAGTTATGTTCCTTGGGTCATTAGAAGTTTACTTTCTAGAAATGCTGGCATGACGAAGTTCAAGCAGCGTGTTTGGAACGTTGCCCAGCTACATGGTCAACATACCAAACACCCCTTGTTGTTGAGAAATCAAACGAGTCGCAATAACAAACAAACCTGCAAAAATCAGATCGGAGCACCTGGCTATCTAGCTCAGATACAAGTACGCAAGGATCAACCCCGTCCGTACGTTCTGCCGATCTGACTTCCAGGGGTTTTCTTCTTTTTTTTTCTGGTCCTTTTTCAACCAATGGATGCGCAGTGTAATGCGATCCGATACCCATCCATGCACGTCCTACAATCACGCCTCCCTTCTGAGAGGCCATGATCAAAGAAAGCTTACTCCGCTTCCCCGCCTGTTTCCTTGACAGCTACAGGTTTGACATCGTCCTGCGCCTCCTGGGTCTTGACCTCTACGATAGATTCGCCGGCCATGTTACTGGCCAGTGTCTTCAGATCCTCTTGAGGCTTCTCGGCCTCGGCCTCGACCTCGACCTCCTCGGGCTTAGAGTCGTCCGCCTCCTCGGGCTGCTCGTCCGGTGCCGTCGGCGGCTGTATTTCGGAACCCTCTGTCGGGGCCTCTGGGCTGATCGCTTCCGCTGCCTTGGGTTCGGGTACCTCGGGCTCGGGCGCAGGTTCTGCTTCGGGCACGACCTCCGGTGCCATCTCTTTCTCTGGGGATGCTTCCTTCGCCTCAGTACTATCGCTTGTGGTGTCGACCTCCAGAGTGCCGTCGTCGCCGATACTCCAAGACGTCTGAATCGCGGAGAGACTGAGCGTAAGTGCCGCGGGAGCTGCAGTTGCTGCGGGGGCCGGACTCTTGGAAGCAGGCAGCCTACGCTGAGGCCCTCGAGCACGACCTTTCCTAGCGTCGACAAGAGGGGCCTTCTCCTTCTCCTCGATCATATCGGCCGCGGGGGGCTCATCCTTCTTAGTCGGCAGTTGCGGACCCAGCTGCAGCCGCTTGTTCAGATCCGACATAAAGCCGGCTTGGAGGGCCTGGATCTTGCTTCCAACAGGTCGGGCAGGAATCGCCGGCTTGGGTTTAGGGAGCGAATCTTGCTCCTTAGAGTCGACGCCGGACGGCAGTGTTCTGGTCGGCCGGGCCGGGATCTGAGGCTTCGGTTTATCGGTTACTGACGGCTTAACCCTCTCATCGCTTGGCGTTTGTCTAGGCCGGGGCCGCTCGGGTAAGGCCGGTTTCTCGCCGGGAGTGGGCCGCCTCTGGGGGCGGGCTGGAATCTGGGGTTTTGCGGGGGCGTCGGTCTCTTGTGTCTCTTGAGCCTCCCGAGCCTCTTCTGTCTCCTGAGAGGCTTCCTCGGGTGTGTTTACTGTGGTTTGATACAAGCTGCTTTCTGGAGCGTCCTCCCAGATGTCACGACTCGGGAAGCGATTCGGTGCACTAGGGCGCGTTGCTTGCGCCTTGAGTCGCTGGATGGGATCGTGGTGGATAGGTGCCGAAGTCCTACGGAGGAAATTCTCCGACTCGCGCGACTCTTTTTCTGCAAGAGCTTCTTGCCGCCTGGCGAAGGCCTGGGCCGGGGTTTCGGCACGGTCCTCCCCGATTTTGATTTTAGGCTTGGGGGCTTCCTCGAGAAGCTCGGGAGTTGAAACCACAGCCGTAGCATTGACACTTTCGGGAGCATCCTCCCAGACATCCTTGCTCGGGAACTTATGGCGCGGCTTCCACGTATTGGCTGCATCCTCCTTCTTCTTGACTTCCTCATCTTCGGGAAACAGTGGCTCGTACTCCTCGACATCTTCTAGTGGGGTCGAATTCAGCTCCAGTTGCGAAGAACCACGGTGCAGACTAATAGGTCGGCTAGGGGTTCGGACGGCGTCCTCTTCATCGAAAGCGCTGGGACGTCGTTCCGGTGGCACGGCAGGCTGCCAGTTGTAGTGGCCGGGGTCCTTAGCAACCTCGTCAGGGGCTAGGATGGGGGCATTGTAGGTGTCCTCGGGATCTGCCACGTTGTCGTCGCCTGCATGTTTCGAGTAGTATGCAGTATGGTCCTGGGACGCGTCCACGTGTATGACGTCTTCCGAATCGTCTTGCTGGTTCGGGGATTCAGGGACCGAGGCCGGAGAATCTCGACGTGGGGACTCGATGCGACGCAGCTCAGGGGACTTCGGCTGACTAGAGCCTGGACGGGACGCGATTCGCTGCGTGTACTCGTCCGAGGCCTGATAGCCGACCTCTTCAGTGGGCGTTCCGGTGAAAGCCGCAGATGTACCTAGCGGGCGTGCCGCGGTCAGCTCAGTCGCGTCGTTCGAAGTAGTTTCATCGGTCTCTTACCCAAAGCGAAATCTCTAGTTTCCCGAACAAGTTTGTTCAAGTCGGTGCTGCTCAATGCGTAGTCCGTCTGGCGATCATGAAGAGAACGGGCCGACTCCTTCTTGAAAGACGCGGGGTTCTTTTCATACCACGCCTTCTGAAGTTTATCAGTAGGTTCAGGGGCCCCGTGACCGTGAAGCCCATAGCTCCCAGGAGGTAGGCTAGAGAATCCTCGGGCGCTATGCTTCCGAGTGTGGGCCCGAGGTGTATGAGATCTGACGCCGTCGGTGCTACTGGAGTGGGGAGCAGGAGACGGTGCCTGGACATCACCGAGGTCGGGATTCATAGGCACCCGCTGGCCAATCTCGGGAATGCCCTGCTCCTCATCGTCGAAAACGCTCTCCGGCTCAGATGTTTGGCTCATGGTCGACCTCTTCTTCTTGAAAGAACCGCGAATGGCAGGAAGCTCCTCGCTACTAGGTCGACCAATGCCGAACGAGGCAGCTTTGTCCGAATCGGTTCGGGTAACGGCCTGCACGCGCTTCTTGGCTGTCTGGGCAGGGAACGATGGCTTCGGCGCATGTAGATGGAGGTCTTGCGCAATAGTTCGAGTTTGTTCCGGCGATGAGACACTGGCGGAGTCGGGAGGAGGAGACGACGGGGCGATTAGCTCGTCCTGCACGGCGGCGTACTCGGCGCCCTCCTCGCCGAGGGACGGCATGGTAACGCTTCCAGGGCGCTTGATAGGCTCATCCGAGTTTTGATCGGCAAGGTTGTTGACGCCCAGGCGGGTGGCTCTGGGACTCTTGGGAGCCAGAAGGGTCTCATTGAGAGGTGAGGGAGCGAATCGGTCGTAATTGGGAGACACGGAGCGGTCGAAGCGCTTGGAGAGACGGGGAGGCATCTTGGGAATCGAGTCGGTCGCATTGGCTCGGTCTTGACTCCCAGACGGCCTAGGAGGAACGGCAGGTGGTTGCGACATGGTGCCAGCAGCTGTCATGGTTCGTTGTTCAAGTCGTTGAAAAGATCTCGTTGTACTTAAGAGGTTGAGTCGGAAGGGCAAAAAGTGGAAGTGGGTAGGAGGTGGAGATATATGGCAGGTCGAGATGAATAACTCGGTCAAGTCTTGCTGAGAATGCGATTAGTATTTGCAAGTAGGGTAGAGACCGTTGATCAAAAAACGCCCATTGAACTGCGGTGTGATAATGTAGCGTCCGTCCCCACTGGAGAAGCTCTGTCCGTGCGACGCAATATACTAGAAGGAAAAACGCGAGATAACAATGTAACCTGCTGCAAGGTACGGATAAATGGACAGATAAAACCTGAAAGATAAGCATAGTGCTGAGGATGGTCCGGCCTCCAAAAAGAGCAACCTGACGCAGAAAGGACCGATGGTAGCCAGGGAGATAACGGAAACGGTCTGGTAAGGCAAAGGCAACGCTCGACTTGAGAACGGGTTTTCGCTTGACTGGCCTTCAGCTCAGATAAGGCGAGTAGCATTGGGTGACTCAGGGCCTGCCCGTCCAGGAATGTAACCATTTTTAGGGACGCGGATACCGTTGTGATAGGCACCGGAACCGAGGCCGAGCGTAGCCACCGATTCGCTGCACGCTCGGGTTTCTGTTGATGGTTCGATCGATCGATCCTTCGCCTCGCCCAGGTGTCTTCTTCCCACTCCTCGGAAAGCAGATCGAGCGGTGAAGGAGATTGAAAAGCAGCTTGACAAGAGGGGCAATCGGGGGGAGAGCGAGCGAGGAATATTGGGGGGAAAGGATTGACGGTCTCCGCTTCTTGGGAGTAAGAGAGGGAGAGGGGGGGGGAGCTCACAACTTACACCTGGAAGATAGGGATGCTGCGGGCGACCCTAGTATCGGTACAGTTGATAATACCAACAGTAGCCAGTCGAGTCGACGAAGTTCTTGTTTGTATGAATAGCTTCCTTTCAGCGCAAGCAAAACGAGTTCGACCAAACGACGCTGATAAACACGACAAAGGGAGAGAGAGAGCTAGATCGGAATGGATCCAGGGATCTAGGTACGAATGAGAAATGCAAGAGAGAGATGTGATGAAACCATGTGAATCCGCAGTCAGATAAGGACAAATAAGAGTCGTTAAACAGCTGAGAGGGACGATTGAGGGCCCCTTCCCTTTTATTATCACACGTAGCACCTTACTGCTCTTGACACCCAGAGAGCCAGGAGCAGTGTGCGTAACGAAGTACTCCGTACTTCGTACAGAGTACATGCACGCCATAATAAACGGTCGATGAATCTAACCTCTGAGCTTTCACATCGGGACACGCTGTACATACGGTGCTGACGTCTGGAGTGGACCTAATAGTCCAGTCCAGACTCCCTGCAGCCAGTCAGGTGAAAGCGGGGCCATCAGTTGACAATATCCCCCGTCTCTGGTAGGCCCGCCGGAGCCTGTCTGTCGGTTCACTGTACATATTCATCACACACGGTATGTACTTGGTACGAAGAAAGTAAGCAAAGACTCCCAGCACGCAATCACCTCAGCTCAGTGGAGAAAAGAAGCTTCCACGATATCCCAGAGTTGAACTAAACGTGGCTTCGTTTCATTTGGTTCCCTTCCCATAAGGTCTGGTCTTTTAGAAGCAAGTTCAGTAATAGAGGAACAATTGATTGATTTCTTACCATCCCATTCACAGCTACACCATCAATGGATGCTCTGTCGTCATTAGTCTCCATCGCCGTACAGTGTACACGTATATGAACAGTGTACTTGACATCTTTGTTCGCAAGTCTTTGCAGTGGGGTTTCATGCCGTCATAGTTGCAGGTTTTGCAGACTCTTCATATGTACACTTGCTGGTATTAGCTCCTTAATATAAGTACACATTTCCAACCGCATTTCACATTCTGCACAGTATATATACCCCGCCTCGACGGCCACTGACTCTCCACGGACTACGAAGTACGCTCGCTACCTATACCTACCTACCTTAGGTAGTACACGTACATGTTAGTATCAGGAAATGCAGCACGAATGAAGCACTTTCGGCCTCATCGGTTCCTTCGGGATGGCTCCTGAGGAACTTGTTCCGTTTGCAGCTTGCTAGTGGAGGCCTGGTCTGGACGATTCTACTTCCTCTTGGTAGCTCGCCAGCTTTGGTATCCAGAGATCGAGTTCATAGGTCGTCCAGGAAAGGAAAGCTATGAGGATCTTTGTGCAGAACAAATTTCGTTTCGCTGTCGTTTTACTTGCCCAGAAATCAAAACAGGTACATACGACTTTTGGGGTGCTTTCTCGTCGCCGGACATGATTTAGAGGGAGATGGCTCGAAGAAACGGAGACCTAACAATCGCCCAATGACAAAAAATACGCCGTAATAAAAGCACGATCCGCACTTATGAGGTAGAGGTATCTTCTACTTTCTTTGTACTTATGTACTCACCCCGCGATAGTCCTCGCCCGAATAGTGGCGCCTTGTCCTACAGTGTGGTCCCTGCTGTACGTCTGGATTCCGTCACCTTCGCAATAGACAACTTGGATACATCTCGTGATCTTGGATGCATTTCATACTTCATTTCATCACCGTCCGCCTTTCCGACAGTGTCCAGTCTGGCTCTGGGGAACAGGCTGTTCTTCGCTCTGTACCCTCAGCTTCTCCCCTGATTCCCTGGTCGTCGACCCTTGATGCTCCCCGTCCCTCTTTGCTAAACCGTCTTGGGACAAGTTCCAGGGGCTGGGTCGGCCCAGTCGTCAAAATTCGAGGGGATCACTTGAGGTGAGATGCGTTTTGTTGGAGTGTCATGTGCCATCGAAATTTTCATGCCAGTCTCGGCCGCCAATTACCAAGGTACCTAATAAACAGTTGCCCTTTCTGCTCTGCATGAGCCCAGGTCCAACGGTGGTCTGACGGGCAAAATTCTATCAACCGCCTGAGCAGCTTCGAGCGAATACGAGAATATTTGTACGAATTGCGCTGTAGGTACTCGAATGTGGTTATTTTTAGCCTGGACGTTCTGTGGAGTACAAGGGTAGGCTATACCTACGAATACGTCCACTAGAATCCATCGATGCGAGTCCCGACCCCCTTTTCTTCAGCCACCTTAATGAGATGCATACCGACTGCCAGATCCATGAGTCCTAGACCGACACTCTTGTAAATGACCGTCCCGTCCCGCAACCATTTTGCCAACGACGCGTCCTTGCTGGCTTCTTGCGACTCCATCTGTCGGAGAATCTCAACCAACTCCCCCAATCTATGGTGGACATGTCAGAAACTTACTCCTGCATCATTAAGGCTACACTACACACGCAAAGGCGGTAAAAAAAAATTGAAGGGAGAAGAAGGGTCAATTGGGAGACATATTACTTACTCCACCATCTGGCTAGGTTGAATGCCCGCCGAGATGACCTCTCCAGCCTCCTTCAATATGCCATCCCGCGTGTCGACGATAATGACGCCGCTGTCAGATGCGTGCTCGTGTTTATGAAAGTGCAACTGTGACCCCTCGCGCTTGGTCGCCTGTAGAAGCAGCTCTTCGGGAAGCTCACGCATCTCGGGCGTGTAACTTCCGATGGCGACGACGAGACGAGCCTTTCGGCTCCCTTCGCGGCTCGTCAGGATATCGGCGTTGAAGAGGTCCTCACGCGACGGGGTGCAACAGAAGATGACATCAGCCTCGCAGACCTGCTCGCACAGAAGGCGCGGGTACGCCTCGTGGCTCGACGCGAGGAGGCTGAATGTGGTGTCTGCCCACCCTTCGCGGGCGCGAATGTGGGCAGGAACGTCTTGGAATTGGGCAAGAATGGACTTGGCGTTGTCGGAGAGAGAGCGCACGATGACGTTCACATGGCGAACGGAGGAGCCGCGGGTTAGCAGGGCGAGGCGGACATGCCAGTAGGCTTGGAGGCCGGAACCGAATACGGTGATGGTCTCGACGGTGCTGCGCCTGGCGAGGAGGCAGGTGGAGGGGGCGGCTGTGCGAAAGGCAGTGAGGGTTTTTGCGTGGACGAAGCCAACGGGCTTTCCCCTGGGGGAGAGGAGAGTGATGGCACCCGTGGGCTTTATGGGAGGCTTGGCGCTGTCGCTGGAGCTGAGGGTGACAACTAGACGAGCAGAGAGACGGGTTCAAGGACAATACGTGAGTGAGAACGTTGCTAGTTGGTCGCTGGTGGTCGGCTTACCTTTGCATCCCATTCCGAGTGGACTGCATGATGGCATGTATAGGGTAGTGGCCCCCGTTGTGTGATTTTGGGTAGACACACGGTGTGGCTGATGGTAGGACTCCTCCTCAGGCGCCTGGTTATTCTTGGTGGAATACTCATGGAGGGTTCTAGCCATGGATTCTCTGAAGCCGGCATACTCCTCACGAGTCAGGTTCTCCAGAATGGTCCTGATCTGTTCGTCCGTGAGAACAGTGAGGGCCATGATGATCTCTGATTCCTCTTGGGGTTAGACAGAGACAACAATGGCGTCTTGGGGTCTCGGGGTCTCAGGGTCTCAGGGGCACAAGTGCGTGAAAACCGATAGCCGTTGCCGCAACGAGGAGAGGGGAGACGTGAGCTGGTCTGAGTGTGCAAACGGTGGCCTTCCGGAGACTATCCCGAGGGAGGAGTACTCATGAACTCTTGTTGAAGTGGCTGTACATAACCCTAACGATGCGCCTCAATTCACGTTTGGTTGCTACCTACCTTAGCATTCGATTCGATTGTGATATGCAGCTTTGGTAGGGTTGTTGTGAGGGGTAGAGCTTCGGCTACTTGCGCTTGGAGGTGGACGGGTCTCAGGTACGAGAATGATGTAATACGTTGTAGGCCATTTCTTGGCACACCAATGGAGCTGGACACGTACCTGCACCAGACAGTACACTGTACCATAAGCCGAAGCGAGAGCATCTGAAGTTGATTGAACATAATGCTTCCAATACCTACCTACTACCTATAATATGCACCCCAATAACCAAAGGAACATTCACGGCCATACGATAAGAAACAAGTTGTTTGGTTCCAGGAAGTTTGGGTTGGAGGGCGAGGTTGGGCACGTCGCTCAGCCCATATCCTTTGACACGTCTGTGCCTGAGAAAGCCCGCGTGTCTTTTCGTGTGCGCATGCGTATTCGTAACGTCAGCTAGTCATTGGCATGGAATACGGTTGCCTAGCCGTGGAACAGGCTTTGCTAGAAGAACGATGGTAAGAGAAGCTCGTGGTACAATGCTGATACTTTGTGGAATGTAATTATCACCGCGATCCGTTTAGTCAAATTCCTTGGACGTGATCAATTCGAAGATGAGAGATGTAGATGAGAGATGTAGACGAATACCACTGTGAGGCAGTGAGGCAAGCAGTGGTGGGAAGAGTTGGCAAAAGACCTTTCGCTCGGTTGCCAGTGCCAGACAGTGCATAGAAACAGTCATGACGCGGGTAATGCTGTGTATACAGTCGTATACAGTTCGTGCTCATGAACTTGTGGAGTCTCAAATAACAAGGTGGAGAACCCAAGTGTTAGGCCAAGCAGTCGGAAGGTGTGTCCCAGCCTCCATTCTGCAATCAGGCAACGTAACCTGCCGGAACAGCAAACAGGAAAGAAGACGAAGAAAAAAACACGCATCTTCCTCCCTTGCCCTTTTACTTACCATCAAACACCAGACGTCGATCGTCATCCATCAGCATACCCACTCTAGAGACTTTCCGGACGGGCATCTGAACTTTTGGAACCATTATCCCATTGTCGGCCGGCTAACTACCCAACTCTACGATCAATCAGGCCAGCCAAGCGTCCGCTGCATCGTGCCCATACATCCGTCCGTTTTATTGCGGCGCACCATCCCACAAGTATCACCGTCAACCTGAGCTACCAACGGCTTGTTTCTCGCCCTTAGATTTGGTCAAAGTCGGGATCGAATCTCCTCCGTCAACCTCGGCCGACTCATACCCATCTCCATATTCGAAGACCGCGTCGGCGCATTCCCGACTACACCATCATCATGTCTATCGCAGACGAGTTCAGGACCCGCAACTTCAGTATGTTCATTCCCTAGCCGGCTCCTGTCCTGGCATCCGCGAGGAGCGTTTTGTGTTACTAACGTCGTTGGCGCGCAGGCATCTATGGCCAATGGTGAGCTACTCCCGCTCCCGGATTGCCCTCGAGCACCCCTTTGTTTGCGTCGACTTGCTTCACGACCACGACCAGCCCTACTCGGTTTTCCCTCCCTTCGACTCTCTTATCGAGGATGGCGTGTCGAGAGACCTTCGACAGGGCTTCAATGCTCGCCCAGCCGGCATGGCTGCTTCTATTTTCGTTGCGATCAGGCCTGGCCTTTTGCTAACCGGAACACTCCTAACCTAGGCTCGGCATTCTGGCCATGATTCTGTGCCTCGCACTGGGTATCGCCAACATCTTCACTTTTCGCCCGATTATCATCGTCTTCTGTGCCCTTGCCATGTAAGAATACTTACCCCTACTTGCCTCCAACGCCCTCAGTGTGTTGGCTTTGGAGGGTCTTCAGCTAAATCATTTCTGATCGTCATCTCAGCGCATCGGCTTTCATCATCCTCTTCACGGAGGTCCCCCTTCTCCTCCGCATCTGCCCGACCTCACCAAAGTTCGACTCGTTCATCCGTAAGATTTCGACCAACTACCTCCGTGCCGCTGTATACATCATCATGGCCGTTGTTCAGTTCCTCAGCGTCCTCGACGTGAGAACCTCGCTCATCGCTGCCGGTGTCTTCCTCTCCCTGGCCGGTCTCTGCTACCTTTTTGCCGCCATCCGGGGCCAGGAGTTTGTCAATTCCAAGACTCTCGGTGGTCAGGGCGTCGCCCAGATGGTCGTCTAAACGACGTCCCCGTTGCCACACACCAATGCGCCTTGCTGGAACCCCACCAGCTGCAGGCGTTTCTTACTTGTCTGGGGAGAAGAATAATTTGCCTTGACCATTGACGCTAGGACGGCAGAAGGAAAGAAGTGGTAACTGCGACTATGGGGGGAAGAAAACCTTGAAGAGAGATGACCATTCCACGCGGCGGGATGGAAAAGCAATGAGGCAAAGGGGGCGGCTTGACAGCCAGACGCTTGCTGCGTCTCTAGTTGTTAGTGTATGAGAAGAAGGCCAGAGGCCAAGACAGAGGGTGACAGAAAAAGGGAGCGCGGTGAACCGTGTTTATTATTACGTCTTTGTTCTCAAATCGGCAAGCGTCCATCATGATATCCTTGCTCAGAACCTGGAACGGAGCTATTTGGCGTCCGAGTCGAAGCTCGGGGTAGTTTTCGTAAAGTTGCCGAGGGATATCTCCCAGAAGCCTTTTTTTTCGACAGAAATATGACGAGTTGACTTTTTTCTCTTCTGATTTTTCCCCTGACAAAATTGCGCCCACCTCTCTTGTAGATCCCTCATGCTCGCAAGCCGGGGAACAGGATTTACCTTGATAGTACTGTGCGCCGGGTGTGATATTCCGTGCCTCCAGGAGGACCTGTATAAAAAGAAAGCTATTCGACCATATCAAGAAACTTCATCAAGGCCAATAATTCAACGCGTTCATCAGGGACCATTGGAGACTGTCCAGGAGAACTACTCTATATACATGCATGTCCAATTAAAGGCATACCCGGGATCTTTACCCACCCTCCGATACGTCCCTGGTCGTCTTTCGACCAGAACCTAGGCGCTCATCTGTATCTGCTGGAACCCACACCCGGTCCATCCGATTCACCCCTCTAAAAGTGGTCGGGGCTCCAGAACCGTCTATCCCAGCGATGCCACCTCGCTCCCTCAGGAGGGGTCCAAGGCCGCCCACCCCACTGTTGCACCAACAGGGGCGAAAACGTGTAGATGCCCAAGCCGGGATACCCGTCCTCGAGGGGCGGCAGCATCCCAGTCCCGGTCTCCAGGAAGGCGAACTGTGCCGTCTCGGCCTGCCAGCCCCGCCGGGACGCCGCTTTACCCACGAGCGGGCCGACGTGAGATTCGCCCTCGGCGACCAGGCGCATCTCGGCCACGGCGCCGGGGAGACCGACGTAGAAGGCGTCGGCGGCGTTGGAGGACTTTGCGAGGGAGTGGATGCGGGAGGGCAGGCTGCGGCGGCTCGAGGTGCTGCTGCTTCTGTTGCTGCTGCTGCTGGGCTGGAGGATGAGGCAGGCGTTGGGGTGGTAGTCGTCTTCGCGCGCCAGGCGGTGGAAAGTACAGACCGTGTTCTCGGCGTGGTTGCAGCGACTGTGGACTAGGTCGGGCCGAGGGCGGCGGTGTGGTAGAGGCAGGCTCCAGTCTGCGTCGGGAGGGGCGGGAAAGGGGGGCGAAGGAGAGCAGGGGAGGGCGTCGGTGTAACGGTATTCGGCGTGGTGTTCTGGCCAGCGGAAATCAAACGTCTTGAGGTGAGGGTACTCGTTGCTGCCGGCCACGAAATGGTGTGCGCCCCAGGTGAGGAGGGAGGAAGTGGTCTCTTCGGGTTGGAAGAGGTCGCGGTATATCATGTCGTAAGGGGATGGGGTTCGCGTGTCGAGCAGTCTGACGGTACCATCGTCCCAGGCGGTCAGGAGTAGGTTGCCGCTTCCGCTCTGGCCAGCCGAGAGACCGGCCGTGGGAATGACCTCGAGAGCCCGTATGGTCGTTTTGACACTTCTTGACAGATTGCGCAGAAGACGATCACTCTTATCCACCACTTTTGGGACGAGTCCTGTTGGCGTGGCCTGTAACCAGCGTAAGGGGACGGGATCCCCGCCCAGCGCGCAGGCGATGGTGTCGTTTGTCAGGGCTTTCGCGCTGTGAATGAATAATGAACGGTCGTCACTGCCATGAAAGGTGTGCGAGTCGAGGGAGAAGGTCTCTAATGGGATAGCCTCGCTCATAGACGATGAGCGCAAGGGGAAAATGTTAATTGTTGCCCGGTTTCCCGCTACGATGGATGTCTGGTTCGGGCAGACATCTACGTATGCCGCAGCTTCCCACGTCGCAGCCTTAACATGAGACGGTGGTTCCGGCAGACGAAATGTTTCGACGACATTGCTCGCATTCCCCCTTTCTGCGGAGATGAGATGCAGCTCGCCGGAAGCCCGGCCGATCAGCATGCCCAGCTTGCCGCCAGGCTCGATGAGCTTGATGGCCGTCACATCGCCCTTGGCGGGACTGTACCCGTTCCTCCGACCCTCGAAGCAGAACCATGCGTCCCCTTCTCCCGAGTTACCACCACCACCACCACCACCACCACCATTGCTCCTCCTGCGGTCGCTCCCGCTGCTCGCCAGGGGGCGAAACCGACCGACAATGTCCTCGCCGGCACCCCAAACGACGAGCTCGAAGCTGTCATTCCAGACACGAGCAGCGTCGAGTGCAGGCGAGAAGGGATGATGGAGCCTTCTACTGTGCTGACCTGCGAAGAAGTTGCTCTGTGGCGACTGCGCGTGGGTATATGCGACGGGGAGCAAGCTCTTCCGGTCCCAGCTGCGGGACTGAGCGGTCAGAGCGGCGGCGAGTTCGTCCCATCGGCCATCGCGGGGCTCGCTGACGGCATATGTGGCGAAACGGTGCCTGACAAAGGAGCGCCAGCCTCCACCCTGGTGCACGGTCCTGTGTAAGGCCCTGCAGGCACGCGAGACGTTGGCGACGTCCCGGGCTGTGGTGAGATGGGAGAGGATCTCGAGGATGGCGTCGTCGGAGAGCTGGTCCAGAGACATGACAATAATGTGAATGTTGCTGCTTGCGTGGTTGTGACTTGGCCCTGGCGACGACAGCTGTGGAGGATAGGTAAAGAAGAGGACAATATGGCTTTGTGGTATCAATAGAATGAGAAACAATGTATAACCATGTGCGTGGTTAAGATTGGAGCTAGAGTAAAGAAACTTGTAAGAATGGCCAGGTCAGATAAGACAGTGCAAAGTCGCTTGCATCCTCCGCGGCCTGCCGTGTCTTTTTGTTATTATTTCTTGTTTCCTTTTTTTTTCCCTTTTTTCCTTTCTTTTTACACTTCTGCCCTTTTTCTGTGCTTTCCCACTCTTCACCTTCAGGAAGGCCTCTCACCTTGCGACAACTCAGGTAAGGGTATGTTTATGGCCGTAGCTGCGCCCCATAACACACTCACTATAGAGAGGAAAAATAAGGGGACGAAATGGACGATAAACGGGGAACTACCCTGGTCTAGGAACGTGTAGGAAGGATGGACCTGGCTGATTGCCTTGACGATATATATGCGATTCTTTGGTGTTTTCGACCTGTGACGTTTTTTTTTGGCGGAGCACTCCAATATGCTTACATAAGGTACGGAGCGTTATCTCCATGACTGTCTTACGTCATCCCACACTTTGTTACACCCCACCACCGTCCAACCGTCTTCGCTCTAACGGCCAACCCGCCGCTCACTTAATTTAGCTACATCGCATTCGATTGCTAGAAGTCTCTCTATTGTTTCGTAACGACAACAAAAGGGGCATTAGTGAGATGTAGTGAGATGCAACATAAATTAGGGCAAAGCAAACTATATAGACTGGAAGTTAGGAGTAATGCAAAGTGAAGATATTGTCGGTTTCTAGGCTATCCCAACGCCACTGCTCCCCAAATCCATGATATAAACGCCAGGTACCCCGAATCCGTGATAGAACTAGCCACCGTCTACCTATCCCTACCACCTTGTTGCCCGAGTTCCGGGACTCCACCGTGAGCTGAAAACAGCATCTATCGCATCGACGCCCGAGAAATGAGGAAACAGGGGACAGGATGTGCAAAAACGCCCAGAACAGATTCCTGCCACCCCGGGCGAGACAGAAGGGGGGCAAGAGAACAAAACCAATGAAGAAAACCGGTCAGTACAGCATCCGATCCTCGATTGACCTCCTCTGCGTCCCCGAACCGCCATAAAGAATCTCCATGAGCTTGCCCTTCTGCTTCGTCCGCACGCCCTCGAGGTAGTCGCCGACTTCCTCCAGCCCGCGGATCTGCTCCTCGAGCGTCAGCGTGCTCGAGTCGACGCTCCGCACCAGCGGGCTGACCAGCTTGCGGCGGAGGCTCTCCAGGTTCGCCTTGAGGGTGAGGAGCTTGCCGTTGTGCTCGACGAGGATGCCCTTGTTGCGCACCGTCTTCTCCCGCACGTTCTGCAGCAGCAGCCGGTTCCGCTCGTACTTGGCCACCTCGTTCGCGTTGGCCCCCAGGATCCGCGTCCACAGGGAGCTGAGGAGGTCGGCGTGCATCTCGTCCTGGGCGCTGGCTTCGCGGTTGACCGTGCGCGCCAGGTTCAGGAACTGCCGGTCGATGGCCTCGAAGAGGGCGAAGAGCGCGAGCGAGTGCTGCAGCTCCGTGTTGATGGCCTCTTCTAGCACGGCTAGGAACTCGTTGAAGGTCCGCTGGAGCGTCTGCCGGGTGCGCTGCGGCTTGGACATGCCGAACACATACGTCGTCAACATGCCCAGGCGCGTGGGGTGGCCGGCGGGCGTCTCGAGGACGCCGGCCGCCGACAGGAGGTTGTGGAGGTTGTCAAAGGCCGAGGCCAGCGGCGGGGATGGGAGCTGTTCCACGTGCGACAGTTCCCTGCGCGCCCAGTCCATGACGATGAGGATGCCGTCGATGTCGCCGTCGACATTCGCGAAGAACCTGGTCAGCTCAATCGCGAGCGTCTTCAAGCTCTCGCTCAGTTCGTCGAGCTCCTTGACGATGACGGGTGCAGAGGTCATGTTACTCGTCCGCACGCTCTCGCCCAGGTCCCACACCGCCACGCCCGTCGCCTGTAGATCGCCCACTTGCGATGCGCCGCCCTCGGAGAAGTAGATGAGCGGCTCGAAAGCACGCGCTACGCCCGCCACTTTAATCAGATCCGGGACTGGTGTCGGGGCAGCAGGCGCGAATAGATTCCGTGTAGCCATGATGGAGAGGAGGGCGACGAGAGTGGAGATGATGATGGACGACCAAGACCGGGTTGCAGCCTGCCACCTTCTGCGGACAAAGTTGAATGCCGACTCGATAGGTTCTGTCCGATGCTGGACTTCTGCGCGCAATGCGAATCGAATGTCTTGAGAGCACGATTAGCACTTGATGACTCTACAGGTGGAACTTGATCCTTTGCTAAGAGAAGGAAAGGAAAGGGAAGAGGAAAAGAAAAAAAGAAAAACGGAAAAACGAAAAAAAAGGAACAAAAGAAAAACCGACTCACAATTATCAGGCGCATCTTGGGTTGCCCTACCGTGTGGGCGTGACTCCTGCACGTTTATGCCGGCGGTGTCAACTCTGGGACCCGGACTGGGTGAGCGCGCCTTTTCCGGGCTCATGCTGCCGGTGGGCAAGCGCGTGCGTATGGCCTTATCAAGCACATCGTCGCCCTCGTCAGCGTCGTGTTCCGGGCTCGACTCGCGCGAGGACCGGTCGGGAAAAGCGTCCAGGATGCGGTTAGTTCTCCGCCAGAAGCCGCTGTCGCGACGGCCGTTTTCCAGGCGGCGCCAGGCCGGAGGACTGTAGCCACCTGGTGAGTCTATCGGGTCGGGCATGTCGCTCTCGTTGTCGTCGGAGCGGAAGCCCGAATGGTGCGAGGGATAGCCGAAGGTCGGCTTGGGCGGAGTCGTCGGCTCGAAGTCTTGCAGTGAGGCGTCGAGATGATCCAATGGATCGAGGCGATGATAGGTGGTTGTCATGGCGGGCCCCCGTGGCCTCGACCTCGGATCCAGTCTCGGACTGCGGTAAAGGGGGCAGAGCTTTCCACGAGCCTATGTTGGTGAACTTGGTAAGGGCGGTAGAAGGGAGCGCAAGAGCACTCGAGGTCTCGGCCTGTGTCTTTGCGGTGCTCCTGGGTCTGACGTATCGAAAGTTGGGCAGCAAGGTCGGCGTCCAAGAGACCTGGACGATGTAGAGGTAGACGAAGACGAAGGCTAATACTAGTGAGGCGATGTAGGCGCTAGGTGCGATGGTGATACTCAGAAGCGAAACGTTGTTGTTGACTGTGACGAGAGAGTACATGGAGTGGGATTGCAAGTCAATGAAAATGAAAACGTCCCAGGCCTGAGCCTGTAAGAACCGAAAAGGATACAGTAACCCAGAAATAGATGATGGGTAAGGGGTACGAATACTGAGAAGAAAGGAAGATTGTGAATTCACAATAGGAAGGGGTTGAAGAGTGAGTCTCTATCCTTTCCGATCGTCAGTTACCGGAATACCGGAATAGGTTGGGGGCTTCTTGCTTTTCCTCTTTGCGCATTCAGAAAAAAGGTGAGGAGTGCTTCATGGACAATAGAGAATAATAGAGATAACATGTATGATTGGTAGATAGGTAGGTAGGTAGGTAGGTAGGTAGGTGTAGGCCTTGTCTTCTTGTCCAGCGTTTTGAGGGGGGCGAATCAAGGCCTCTGGCATGCAGGGAGAGAGAGAGGTGGGTGGAAAATGGGCGAGGTTGGGTTTTGGGGCCGAAGAGTGAGTGAATCACGGATTCACCCCCCCCCCCCCCCCCCTTCTTTCCTCGATCCGTACCTATACCGTCCTTACCTATCGTTCCTTTGCCGAGCGGTACGTCGTTACTGGTTACGTGATATGGCCTGCCAGAGCGAGGAATCAATATATCCAATCATGTCCTGTCCATCGAGGCCAGTTTCAACGGCCACCCCCTGGAGCAAAGGACATAACTACGGTACAGTCCGTTTGGAGTTGAACCGCTCGCGTCAAGTCATGTGGCTGGCCATAGAATGGGCCTGGGGGGGGGGGGGTGCCAAAGTGAAAACAATCGAGGAGACTGAGTGGTGCCGTAGAGGTGGACGAGGACTTTTCACGAGGAACTTGTGACGTCGACCTGGACGTGGAGGGAGAAAGGAAAAAAGTCAGAAGTCGTCGTCGGATTCGAGTTCACACGTCAAGACCGCGCGCGGTACGAACCGCGTTTTTATCGACTCTATGGTGAGTTATGATGACCCGACTCGACTGGGCACGGTGCTCTGATGGATCGTTTGCTGACCGATTGCCGTTTGGATGCAGCGACGTGGCGGAGAAGGGAGAATTGCTCAACGAATGAATATCCACGACGATCAACTTTCTGTCATATGTATATTACCCTTGTATACCCTTACAACTCGACGGGGCACCGCGAAGTGGGGCTGTATGCGAATCACCTGCCACATCTTGTTTGTGCCTATCTTATCACCCCGCACCTTGATAAGGTACGTGTAAGTAAATTCTTATCGGGATAGCTCCCTCCATCTAAGGTATCCATCCATGCCTCCCGGCCTCTCGTTTACAGCGTCCTTTTCGGTGTCATGTCCATGGATTCATCTACGAAGCAATGGAAAGCCCCAACATATAGAGAAGACAGGGACCCATGATAATAATAATAATAATAACAACAATAATAATAGCTAGCCACAAGCAAACAAATCAAGTCAGCAACGAAACCACTTATCGCTCATTATCCCCAAGTTCGCTTTCCTTCCAACATCCTGCGACGTTGGAATGATGACTGACCCAGTCTAATACATCGTCGCCATGTCTCGTTTACCCTTCGCCGTAGACCCTCCCTAATCGACCTTGGCATTGGCTAAACTCCGAGCTACTGGGTTGCTGAGGTTGTTGACTTGTCGCATCGGACCTCTTTTATACTTGCTCTGTTTCTTGAGCCTCTTCCTCGCCACCATCACGGGTACTGAGCTCTTCGTCACTAGGTAATTAGAGAATGAACCCAAGATGACGCTGCGAGAGGACAAACGCGGAACACAATGATAGTTAGCACCGTCCCATACACATTCGAACAAGAGGGATTCCGGAATGTTGTGCGGGGTTAGGAAATAACGGAGTGAAGAAAGATCACTCACCCCTTAAGAGCGCTGCGTCCCCGACTCCCGAGGATGACCAAGGTCGGATTGACCAAGTCGATCACCTCCGTGATGAGATGCTTGGGGTTTTTGCAGTGTATCACCTCCACCACCACCTTGACTTGCAGATTCGTCTTCCGCAGCAGCTTCGTAACCCGCTCCGTGATCTCATCCACCGCTCGTCGCCGCTCCTCTTCCGCCCGCTCGCGCTCGCGCTCCCTCTCCCGCTCCCGACTGGTGCCCGGCGCCGGGGACGAGCTCCGGGACCCGAATCCGAGCCCCGACGCCCGCGCCAGCTGCGAGAACATGGGTGTTGATGCCGAAGACGGCTCTCTCGCCGACGTCACCGCCTCGATGGCCGCCGCCTGCTCCTTGTGCGCCCTGGTATCGTCCGGTACCAGCGCGTCGTCGCTCGAATAGATGCCCGTCTCCTCGTCCACACAGTATATGGCGAGGAGCGTATCGCCGTCGCGAAGAACTGTCCCGACCGCCCATTCCAGCGCGTGGTTTGACTCCTCGCTCAGGTCCGTTGCCACGAGGTACTTCCGCAGCCTGCGGTTGTCTTCTGTGGCTGTTTTCCGAAGTTCGTCGTATTCGCCGCGATAGATTACACGAACTGCGCGGCACGACTCGTGCGTCGAAATGATGGGAGTCATCTGGAATTTGAGCTTCTGCGCCCGTTTGATGTCTGTTACTTCTTGATCGTCGTCCGAAGCTAAGGCTGACGGCGGTTCAGAACCCGGCGTGTGGTCGAACGCCGTTGACGGGTGCACGGCCGGTTTCGTCGACCTCGCTCTCTCGCCACCAGGGCCAGTTACTGTGATCTGTGGTTCGTCGAGTAAGGACCTGTAACGGGGTTGAGGTTGCCGAGCAGCGACCTCGACGCCTACATTCGGGAGAGTCAACACGATACCATCCATACGTACAGTATTCGGCTTCACTAAGAAGAGGAGGGGAGAGAGAAAAGTAATCCAGAGTGCCTACGTTCTTGTTCGGCAGCCGCCAATAGACTAAGCGCTTGGCTGTCCTTCTTCGCCGTTCCTCTGTCCTCGTTGTCCGCAGATCGTGGTGATGCCCTGCGTCCTCTAGAACCTTCGTCATCAGAACTATCGTTGGTATTATTATCGTCGTCGCTGCTGTCGGCATATTCGTCCTCGTCGTCCGGTAGGAGATAGTCCTTGGCTAGACGGCCGCTGCCTGGTTCCTCCGCTGCGCTCGGCCGCTTCATAGCCGGGAGCTGTGACAGGCTGCCCCGGGAGGCAGCCAGGTTGGCATCGGACAGCTTGCGGTATGCGTGACTGATGTCGACCACCGTGCCATCGTCCAGGACCGCTATTCCCGGTGTTTGTTGCAAGCGGCCCGATGTGTTGGGCATGAGATTACCCCATCCCAGACGGCCATGCGGAGACCTGGACTTACTACCGCGGCCCGCACTTATGCTTCTCCGTCCCGTGCGCCCGGAGAGATAGTGATGTCCTCCTCTTTCCCCGCCCCGTGCCACGCTGGATAGATCATGGCCCCTGAGCGCATCAGCCGCCGGGGAGTGGCGCTTGGGCAAGCCTTGGCCTGCACTGCCTGTGATGATGTTGGCAAATTTGTAGTCCGAAGTGGGATCGGGGCGTCCCCGACCAGCCCGCGGGCCGAAAGATGGCACCGAGCTCGTGTCTGACATCGACCTGACTTTGCTCGATGGTGGTGGTTTGAGTTCTTCCGGGGAGTTGGGTCTGCTGGTGGACGGTTTCGGGGGCGGTGTGTCGATGTCCAGCATGCTGCGGACCGGCGGCGGGGACCCGAGAGGGACGTTCCTCCTGCTGCTTGAACTCGATATGCTCGCGTTGTCATCACCGACATCTAACATGCTCCGAACGGGCGATCGTGGTCCCCGCGGCGAAATTGACCTCTCAGAGACTGACGATGTCGAGTCCACGCGCCTTGCAGGAGAGTTGCTTAAAAGCGCCAGAACTTCCTTCCTCTCTTCGTCTAGCACGGATTCCATGCTCATCGGCCGGTTCTGTTTACGCGACATGATGACGGATGTTTAAAGGTGAAAGGCCAAGAGTCAAGAGAGTTTCAGGATATAAACGTTTTGTTTTGTAGGCCGGGCAACCGGAATCGTTCGGTCGGCGGATCTATGTTAGAACGATGTTGTTATTTCTTTTCCGGCGACGTCTCTCGCAGAGACTACTGATGCAAGTGTCTTCCTCAGGTCCTCAGGGTGGAATGATCTGTTGACGAAGAAAATAGGAATACAGCCTGTTCCGAGTTGTCATTGTTGTTACCTATGCAAAGGCTCAAACCAGGTCCATATCGAACCGGACTCGACGTCGCTGAAGGCAGAGTGAAACGGAAAGTAGCCTGGAGAATACTTTTGTCGGCGGCTAATCTAGTGGAAATGAATCGTTTGGAAAAGAAAGAGGTACCGTAGCTGAACGGACGTATAAAGTATTGGTGGCACAGTTTGTTTGCGAGGGCGGTGTCCGGAAGCGTGCCTACCTCCTTGGTACAGGTGTCCGATATTAGAACCATGATAATAATCGGGTCATCCGCGTTGTGGAATGACACCACTTGCCACATGCAAATACGATAGTGGCGTAGAGCCACTCCACTCTACGAAATACAGTACCTTAATGGTACGAATACTTCAGACAGACACAGACTGCACTACGTAGGTACTTCGTACATCGTACTGCTGATGTCGTACCGCGATCCATGATTTTTTGTAGAAAAACGCCTAACTTGGGATGTACCCGTATATATTCACGTTTTCACCTAGCCCCGGTTTGGTCGTAGCTCGAATCCTCCCTACCTTACATAAGGTACTACGAAGTCGGCGATTCTGAAGTTGGCCCAGCACTCTCAGTCCGCAGTGTGTGAACCGTTCGCTTGTGCCATCGCCTACCATAGGAAGGGGGGGTTTTCTTTTCTTTTTTTCTCTTCTTTTCTCGTTCATTCCTCTCATCATAGTTATCATGGTCCCGAGCCCTGGGGTTTTACCAAACGTCAAGCAGGACTTCTGCGACCCTAGAGTGCTGGCAGCGCGAGATTCTATTGAACAAGGTCAACATCAGACCCCCAGTGGGAGAGGCAATTCTTCTGATGACTCAGGCCTTAAGAGAACAGGGTGTCAAGAAAGTACACCTCTGCCGGGGCTAGAAACGTTAGCTTAATACTTTTCCCCACATCTCGAGAATAACTGGCCAGGGATAATAAGGGACCCTGTAGGTAGAAGTACATCTATCTATAAGGAAAATAACAGTATTTCTAAGTACTTCTACCCGCAGAAAAATTATAATTCCGTCCTTAACACTATCGTCCAAAAAATCAGAAATCAGTATAACCTCTATCCCTCTTAATAACCTAACATAGGCGCTACGGTATCGTACGAATAAAAGACTCTAAAAACCTCCTATTAATAGCCTCCTAAGCAGCCTTAATAGCTGCCTTTAGTTCTTCGCTCCCTATCCACTATAGCTATAGATATTAGTCCTTAATCCACGTCTTTATCTTAAACTATATATACTTTATAGGAGCGAAGTTAGGGGAGTAGGGGAGGTAATTAATTAAGATAATATCATGGTCTCGAAGCCACTCCTTAACCTTTCTCGATCTATAGGAGGGCGTACCGTCGTGTTAATATATCTTATAAAGTAGTCGGTCTTCTATAAAGCTATTAATCTGTTACGGCCGGCCGCCTAACATAGACCAACCCCATGGGTACACTGGTGTATATCCCACGGGACGGCCCTAGACGGGGGACAGCACAGGGTGACTTGGAGAGTCACGTGCTAAGTCACGTGCCACCAGGTACGGAGGTACTTAGTATACCGTCCGGGACGGACCGGGGTTAATCACTCCGACGAAGTGACTAATAAGTGATCGGTCACGATAGAATCACCTAGGCATAGCGACTACGTAAGGAATAGTCACTACGGGTAAGGAGGCATTATCACTATATAAACCAGAATATCCTAGGTCTTACTTCTACTAGAGAATAAGATATCGATTAATCTAAGTCTTTACCTAGACTATTAGTCTACGCTTAACTCTACCTTATAAAGAAAACGCCTAGTCTTTACAACATAACTACGACTAAACACTACAAATAATAATTACTACTCTTTAGTTAATATCCTCTTTTTATTTTAAACTAAAACCCCGATACTAGTCCCCTATCGTCCGCTATACTATAGAGGACCAGAAGCCGTCGTAATATTTTAATCGATCCTATTCGGTAAGCTAACCTTACTAGCTAATAAGTAGTACGCCCGAAGCAGAAGCTACTTCGCCTAAGGAAGAAGAAGTCACTTTATCTAAAGAAGAATTATCGTCTAAAGAATCCAGTTCCTCCGACGAAGAGGAAAGACCAGAATAACCTTAATAAGACGACGAAGTAGCTAGTAACCACTTTTTTAATATATCGAATAATAACCGTACTATAAACGCTATAAGCACCGCGACGCCTACTACTACTACTAAAAGAAGTAACGACCTTTAGCAGATTCGCGATATAATCACTCAGCTTTAGGGGGAGAATACGACCCTAAGAGCTTAGCTAAACTATCCTAGAATCAGGGCTAAGTATAGATACCCTATACCCCCTAAGTATAACAGGACTCGAGGATAGCTTTAGAGCTTTATTACTTAGCTTAGAGGCTACCTCCTATTCTACCAGGATAATATCCGTACGGAAGAAACTAAGGTACTCTATACCACGGCACTCCTTACGGGAGATACGCATGAATAGTTCGAGTCTATCTATAAAGACTACCTAGAGAATATAGGAATAGAGGTCCTAAGGAAGCCCGGGACCACGGTAATCTTTAAGAACTTCGACGTGTTCATCGAAAGACTTAACGCTATCTTCGGCTAGCCCGATAAGGAAAGAGTCGCGGCCGAATAATTAAGCTAGCTACGTTAGACTAAGTTAGCTACGGACTATACTACGAGATTCTAGTAAATCTCGTTAAAGCTTAGCTACCCGGATAAGCCCTTTATAGATCGGTATTACTAAGGACTTAAGGAAAAAGTAAAGGACGAACTATACCGATTAGACCGACCTAAGATATTTAGCGAATATACCGTAATAGTAATTCGTATCGATAACCGGAACTATAAATAACGCTATTAGAAAAAGTATTAAATAAGCGTTCCGTTCTATACGGCTAATTCGAAGAAGAAATAATTACACCCACGCTAGTTCGGAAACACCTTATATAAATACTATAGTAGACCTATAAAGCTCGATAATATTAACCGATAGAGCGATAAGCAGGGTAAAAGGGATATAACGAAAGTTAAGTATTATAACTATAACAGGCCAGGTCACTACGCACGCGACTATTATAAGCCTAAGAAAGAATAACCGTAACGATAAGCAAATACGATTAAGAAAGAAAGACCCTAAAAGGAAATTAACGCTATTAGATACCTAGAAATTTATAGGGATAAAATACTACACGTTAACCTCTATTAGGCAACCTGCTACGATAACTATTATCTAGTATACTAATCAGGGAAAGACGGAGCTAGGTACTACCCTAAGAGACCCTAGAAGATACTCGCTATAGTATCTAGTAACGAGTACGATAACGACTATGGCCTTAAGATCCCCGACTAGGATAAGGATAAACCAGCTTTATAAATTATCGCAGAAATCCTTTAAAAATACGGATAGACGAAAGAAGAAGCTAAGAGGTAAAAGCAGATCTTAGAAATCTAGAAGGAAGGAGATTATACCCGAGGGAGAATCGCTAAACTCGAAGAGTAAAATTAGGAAACAGAGTCCGACGGAACCCCGGATAATAACACGAACTTCTAGCGTTAACCTATAAAAGCAGCCGACCTAATTAAGGAGGAAACTATCTAGCTACGGATACTCGACTAACTTATAGAAGAACCCCTTAGATAGACCTACTAAGTTCGTTTCACTAAACTTAACTTCGATAACGCTTACCGTAAAACACCCACGAATACTAGCGGGGAATAGTAGTAAACTGTATATTAGCGACCTTACCGCGCTTAGGAAAACCGAGACACTCTTACTGACCTAATAATAAGCCTGCGAGGATCGGACGATTAACCACCTAGGCATAACTGCTACGGGTGCCGGTTAGATAAATACAACACCACTAGCTACACAGCACACGCTTCTAAGAAAATCCGATAACTAGAATAAGACTAAGGAGCTTAGGAGTCACGCTTCTAGACCCTCGATAAGCGTCTACGATAGATAGAACGGCTCTTAATCCAGTACAGGTTCTTAGATAAGGAAATATCCCTTAAATACCGAGCTAAACGGGTAAAAAACTAAGAGTATATTATCGCTAGGAGTATATAAGAGGCACTCGATAGATATACTCTATAACACGTAATAGTATAGGGCACTATTATATTAGAATACGACTTAATAAATACGAGATAAATATACTATTAGATATAGGCGTAGTAGGAAACTTTATCTTACCGGTAGCCGTAAGAAAGTTCTTTATTCCCTAGGTTAGAAAATACCTAGAAGAGGAGTATAAGGTTACTCCGTATACGGGGAAGGACTAGTCCTATAAAGAAGGTATTATTAACTAGGAGACTATACACTTTTAGGTTAAAATCCAGAATAAGACTAGAATAATAAAGTTCGATGTATACGATATAGGTTATAAGGATATTATCCTTAACGAACTATAGTTTAATAAATAGAATCCCTATATAGACTAAAAGCTTAGCTAGCTCCGGTAGCGATTAGAGAGTAAGTAGGAGACCACGAAGGAAACCTTACCCGATCCCGATATCCGTCGAAAAAAGTAGAAAGACTTACCGATAAAGGAGCCTTAGGGAGACTTAGATAGCCGCTAGAAGTTAGGGACTAAGGCGAAGGAAGTACGAAAGACTTTAAGATAGCAGCGATAGTATAACTACCGACGCGTAACTAATATTATTAAAGGAATCTACTAGATCGTCTAAGCAGAAAAAGGACTAGTAATAAGTAATTACGATAGACTCGCTAAGGTATTGCCAGAATACCGTAAATAC